GTAAAATAGGGTATGAAAGTTTGTATGAAACTTTGTCAATTTTAAACCGATCGGGCTGAGACTTTGCATGCAGGTATAAGAAGAATCATAGGTGAATGTCATTGTGTATAATAATACAAGCCTGAGAACAAAAACTGTAGTCTATACTTCAGCTCTACACCGAAGCGAAGCGAGGGCGGGCCGCTAGTACAATCATAAATCACATTTCATAGCAGGTACAACAAATATAAAATTTCCCACTATCAAAATATAATTACAGTAAAGTAGGACAAGATCAATTCAATTTGCGTAGGAGTCCCATTTGTTAAAACTGGCTGTTATTAGCAGACAAGACAAGATAAATGCAAATAATTATTTATTTTTCAAACAATTGATTAGCGTAATACTAACTTAAAATGAAGAGTTAACTACCTACTCACTAATCAAAGCCTTACTTATACGAAAGGAGTTTTTAGAATGTGACCTTATTAGTGCCAATGTCAACTTCTGCTACGTGAATCTTTCGAAAGGTCAGTGTTGTGGAACATAATTTGATAATTTGGGTGCAGCTTACAAAAAAATGACATTTATTTAGCTAGATACCTAGCTTAATGTAGATAAAAATATGATTTAGAGTTATATAAAAAGCATGCTCTTTGAAATTAAATTGTTGTTTAACTTCAGATTTGAATCAAGTATGAATGTTGATAAATCTGTTAAAAAAACGAGCGAGCCTTATAGTCGAGTCAATGAAGCTTTTTACCTGGAAACCCGGTGGAACAGCTTCGATTTTGATGATTTTTTTTAACAATTTTGTTTTTGACGTGACAACGTCTTAAATTAGGTTGCGGCTGGGAGTCACTTATGAAAAAGTGTAACGCTCGGTAACGTTACGATGAGTCTCTCGTGTTAAGTTTAAGTTTACATGTACAATGGTGTCGATTCTGGCATGATTCTCTAAACTTAAACTTAAATTTGACAACAGTGTATCCTTGTCATTCTCTATACAGAACGAACAGGAGAGACTGATCTTAAATTTAGTTTTAAGTTTAAAGAGTCATGCCAGAATCGATACCAATGTTTTAGTAAACAAAATATATTTCTATAGTTAAAATTTGTGCAATTCTTATTTTCATTCAATTCCTTGTTCCTATTGTGCAATTTAATTATATTCATATCAATAAATATTCTACCGAGAAAAAGACGTTGTCACGTAAAATCTTCGCCCGTAAAACTGACTTTACAGGCAACCATTTTTTAAATAGAAAATATTTGCCGATATATTTGTACGCACATAACTTCGGTTAGACTACGCCATCGCCAAATTTGCAAAAAAATATTTTTTTATGTTGTAAATCTTTCTTGTCAAGACAAGGTTTATGTAAAAGTAAAAAATGTCTACCAAAAATGGCGCAACGAAGTTCGCAGTTTGTAATAAAAATTTTGTAAGCTCAAGAGGTTTATGTCCTAGAACCTTACAAAGGCGACAACTTACGCGCGATGGTACCATATCTACCTCTATTTGTTTATTTAATAATTATCATTGTTTATAAGTAGTTCCATCTTCGATTTTGGTCGGTGTTTTTTTATATTCCATCCTATTTAGTGAAAAATGAATCGTCCAAATAAACAAAAACGTTCATAAAATAAAAACTATGGAGTCAAACTAAATTTTTATATGGAATGAAACGGCAAGTATCTTCCATCGTTTAAAAGAAGAATCACTCAAATCGGACCAGAAATCTTTAGTAATAGGTGTAGGTACTGTAACGTCCGTTACGTTACAGCCTCCTTGTTAAGGTAAACTTTTTTTATATTATTTGAAATCAGAAACCTCTGGAGAGGGGGAAATATTTTTTTATATTGTTTAAACAATTTTTATGACATTTTTAGAAAAAAATGTTTTTTTTATAAAATATCAATTGAAAACTCACAAAAAAATATGTTTATGTTATTTTTTTCATATTGTTATCACAAATAATTTTAATTTACATGTTATTATATCAAAAACTTTTAAAAACAATTAATTATAAGATCTTTCATGTAATATAATGACATGACGCTGATATACATAAAAAAGTTAGGATATATTTATATTTCATGAAATATAAGAAATTAATAGTTTCATTATTAACATAAATAAAAAAATATTAATAAAAAAAATATTTGATATATATATATATATATTTGATATATATATTGGGTCAAAGGCCGCGCTCTCAAGGATCCCGAGGTCGATTCACTCAAAGTAGCCTACAATTTTGCTTCCAAGGCCTGTAAAAAGGCTTACATCAGAGCGGATGCCCAGCGCGTTGCACGTATTGGCCAGGAACTGATAACGCATCATACGCTCCCGTAGCTACTGGAGTTTGGCCAAAGCCGTGCAAAAAACCTTCTGCCAGCCCTCGCTGCCACCTCTGAGATGCCCAGACGGAACTCTAGCTCATAAGCCGCAGGAGAAAGCCGATTTACTGGCAAAACTCTTTGCGGCTAACTCCCGAATCGATAAATGCAATGCACTACCACCATCATTACCTCATTGTGGCACAACGATGCCTGATATTAAAATCAGGTAGTGTGAGGTTCGTGCCGAATTGCAATCACTCGACGTCCGGAAAGCTAGTGGACCTGATGGCATCCCAGCAGTAGTACTGAAAAAATGTGCAACGGAGTTGTCTCCTGTGCTCAAGCGCTTGTACCAATGCTCGTATTCTTTGGGGCGTGTGTCGGAGACTTGGAGAGATGCTAACGTGCAACCGATGCCCAAAAAAGGGGATCGCTCAGACCCGGCAAACTACCGGCCAATAGCAGTCATCTCAGTTTTATGTAAAGTTCTAGAAAAGCTCCTTAATAACCATCTGACCCGTCATCTTATTTTATATTTATTTTATTTATTTATCATCTTCAGGGCAAAACACTACCGCTACAGAGCAACATTTCTATGCTCGGTATGGAAGTTCGCTCAGACCTGAATCCAAAGGACTACATCGAAATCGTGATCAAAACAGCTTCACGCAAACTCGGAGTCCTGAACAAGGTACGGCGTTCTTTCACGTCCGATCAACTGTGCTTGTTGTACAAAACGCAAGTGCGGTCCTGCGTGGAATATTGCTCGCACCTCTGGGATGGCTCCGCCAAGTACTTGCTCGATGCTTTGGATAGGTTACAGCGGCGCGCGATCCGCATCATAGGCGATGAGGAGGTGACTCAACACCTTGAGCCGTGACGTGGCGTCACTAAGCGCGTTCTATCGTCTGTACCACGGCGAGTGTTCTGAGGAGTTATTCTCTCTTATCCCACCTTCCCCTTTCCTTCAGAAGACCACGCGCGCTGGCCTACGTTGTCACCGTCTTACTGTGGCCACAATTCCAACGCGTACAAAGAAATTTGGTGACTCATTTCTTTGTCGCAATATCCGTAAATGGAATGCTCTGCCCGCTCACGTGTTCCCTCCCTCTTACAACCTGGGATCCTTTAAAAGAGGCGTGAAGAAGCAACATGCAGGCCGGCAGGGTGAGGATGGCTGGTGTGGCAGGTAGAACTGCTGTATCAGCTATCTTCGCGTCTGGACTTCACCTTCACTTAACATCAGGTGGGGTGGAGTCATTTGTCGGACCTATCTATAATATATATATATATATGAAGTAACTAAAATATAACGTAAGTGCTCAACGCATTCGTATTATTGACCAATACATCGTATTTTAATGGTTTAAATATTAAATTATTATTAAAAGCCTCATTTTAACAACTATGTTTTATACTAACATTAACATAATAATATTGTTTTCAAAAAAAAGCGATAAAAGTGACTTTTTTATAAAAAATTCATAAATATTGTTTAAACAATAAAAAAAAATATTTCCCCCCTTCCAAAGGTTTCTGATTTCGAATAATATAAAAAAACCAATTTTAAAAAAAATGGTTGCCTGTAAAGTCGGTTTTACGGGCGAAGATTTTACGTGACAACGTCTTTTTCTCGGTAGAATATTTATTGATATGAATATAATTAAATTGCACAATAGGAACAAGGAATTGAATGAAAATAAGAATTGCACAAATTTTAACTATAGAAATATATTTTGTTTACTAAAACATTGTACATGTAAACTTAAACTTAACACGAGAGACTCATCGTAACGTTACCGAGCGTTACACTTTTTCATAAGTGACTCCCAGCCGCAACCTAATTTAAGACGTTGTCACGTCAAAAAAAAATCAAAATCGGAGCTGTTCCACCGGGTTTCCAAGTTTTGCCTGTTTTATGTCTTTATTGACTCGACTATTACAGTATAGTCGCGTATGATGTGTAACATTTGAAACCTCACCTTATATTAAATAATGAAAGTAAAAAAAGAAATAAAACCTACTACAAAAGGAATAAGACATTTGTACTTTATGTTCTAAATTCAAATCAAATAGCGCGCGCTTCCAAAACTTCCTGTTACACACTTCCTTCCAACTTCACGTAATCACTCCCACAAATTGCACGAAAGCGAGAGGAAAGATGTTACACATCAAAAAACATTAACCTTTGTGGATAAACTATCTGTTACGAACGAATGAAGCTCAATAGATGCGTTTATTGACTCTCTATATCGATATCGACGTACTAAAACTCTTTTTGTGGCATTTTTTTTTTATTATTAAGTGCTAACTCGAATATGAAATTCGGAAATTATAGTTACAGTTGTTAGATAACTAACATATTTTATTGTAATTTCTTCGATCGAGAATCGTTAAACGAAATTGATTTAAGATTGGTTTCCCTGTGGTCGACGGTAGATAGACCAATTATATAGGTATCTAAGGTTTTGTGTTCGTGTATGTTTAAAATAGGTAAACAAACTTACACTGGTCTTGTTTTAAGACAAAATTAACTCGATTAAACTTTAAAATTGTTAGATGTTCTGCGGTGGCCTTTGACTGGACTTGTAGTCACCTCGCCAATAAGGCACTATAGGTCAAACTTTTAAAAATATATACCCACATTCTTATTATTTTTGTTTTTTCGTTTTCAGTGCGCTTATGCGTGGTGGAGGGTAGAGGTTCGTTCAAAAGAGTCACCAAGTTCTGCCCTGTGCTGGACAAGGAAAAGTCAGGGCTGGAATGCGTTTTGGGAACAGACCGGTGAGTATCACAAAGGACTGTACTTTTTACAATATTTATGTTCTTTAATAAGTATACCTAGTATGACAGATAAAACGACGGTCTATGCCACCCACAGAACACAGAAAGAGGTAAGAAGGGTGATCAAAGACCTATGTACGTGAACCGATGTCGCCGGCTCGCCCGCACTAAACTTCCATCTAATAGATAATGGCCAATCAAACGACGTGACATCAAACAATCTAACCAATCAGCTCCGCAATCGCTCACACCCGAGAGCCGCGACGCAATCAGAACCAAGTTATAAACTTGGTTACATATAACTGTGGCGCGCCTGCCCCGCCCGCAAGGCGCTTCTAACCTCTTTCTATGTGTTCTGTGATGGCACCTCCCGCACTAGACGGACACGACCAATGCCAGTGTGCAACGTTCGTATGGTTTTTTTTATAGATAGGTCCGACAAATGAGTTCACTCCACCTGATGTTAAGTGAAGGTGAAGTCCAGACGCGAAGATAGCTGATACAGCAGTTCTACCTGCCACATCAGCCATCCTCACCCTGCCGGCCTGCATGTTGCTTCTTTACGCCTCTTTTAAAGGATCCCAGGTTGTAATCTGGTCGTTGCGTCTTGTGAGTAAGGACTCTACGATGCCTCACATCGTAGAGTCGCCTTTGGTTTGTGTCATATTATCACAAACACACTCAGACTTGCCAAATCCACAGTCGTATAATCATCGACAATCGTTCTCCTTCTCTCTAACCTCCATTGTATTGAAAATTGACATGTCATGCCTTATCCAGGGGCACGGCATTAAAAACTTTCTACGTTAGAGTAGGATGGAAGATAACGACGCTCTGACAATGATGACAGTCAACTTTGAGTCTAACTATCGGCAAAGTTCTTGAGCAAAACCACAGACAAATAAAATTGCGCAGTAGACGTTTTTGTCTGTAAACTGTAAAATTGCTACTGCAGACTTCATGTCTATGGTCGATCCTAAAGAAGTTTTCCGGGGTGAATACTTATCAATGTATCAATATTATGTATTTTTATCCGTTACCCTAGCGCTAGTGTTAGAGATATTTATATACTTGATAATCTCCTTGCCAGGTTGGACTGCCTGATCCGCATCAGTAAGGGCACCGTTGACTTCGGCGTGTTCAGCCCCGAAGACCTGGTTGCTGCTCAGTGGGCCAACGTGGACGTACTCGTCACCAACGAGCTGCGATCCAGAGCCAGTAAGTATATACATATATAATATATAAATAAATATAGATATCGGATGAGGAAGTGAGTAGAAAAAGTAACATTCTTTCTATGCGTTTGAACAACGCTGACCATTGACAAGTTATTTCATTTTTATTGCTTACTCGCTGTGCCCCGCTGATTATTAGAGATATTTTCTCGCAGTAAAAAGTAGCTTATGTGTCAATCCAGGGTGTCAGCTAACTTCATACCAAATTTTATTAAAATCACTCCAGTCGTTTAGACGTGAAGAAGTAACAAACATACACACTCACAAACTTTCGCCTTTATAATATTAATATGATGAAACAGTGCTGGACAGACCGGATGGTACGATTGAGTCAAATGAATTTAGTACTAAGCTGACGACAAATACTGAGTCGCGTGTGTACATTTCTTGTGAACTTTTCATACATAATTAATCAAGTTGCGCGCAGTCGCTACGTCAGCGGAGCAGTAAACGCACGTACGTTCTCATAGCTCGTCGGTTGACGGACACGTACCAAAAAAAAACACTATTTTATGGACGTACGCCGAACCGACCGTTTCTCAGCAGCTGTAAGCGCATAGCAAATTATCAGCATAGCATATAGAGCAACAAGGAAGGGAGCTTAGTAAAAGACGTTATACTAACCAGGTTCAGGGTGGGGAGGAAAGCTATATTATCACTTTAAGGCTATGCTACCAACCAGTGCATTCACCTGGTTAGGAAAAACCGCTGGCTCGAAGTCAGCCTGATATAGCCTGGACCGATTAAAATAATGATGATTAAGAACGAATTTAGTTTAGAATTTGTTTGTTGAAGGCCCTTTAAACATATCGTAGGATGATTTGATAATTCGATAATTCGAATTCTCGCGAAAATCCTAGGGATTTTGCGAATGAGCGGAAAATAATTAGACAATGGCGATGAATCAATCTCAATCTTTATGGTATCGATTTTTTTCGCTGGCCGCTGCCGTGGCACTTTCGCTAGATTCAAGCGTTATGGTCACAACATAAACCTAACATATAAGATGAACCCAAGGAGCCATAAACCCGGGAATAAACCGGGAATGAAATAAACCAACTATTCTTAGCACAATCTTTCTGAGGCGACTCACGTCTTCGCCAAAAACCCATAGTTTTTCAGTAAGTTTGAGAAATGGCATCGCTACTGACAAATATACGCGTTTTCGCAAAATCCCTAGAAGTTTTGCAAAATTTCGATTTATATAATCATCCTATGGAATACACAACACAATCTTTGTAGAAATAAAACTCGTCAATTTGTGTAGAACCGTTCGAGCGCAGTATAGTAGCGGTTGCAAGTAAACGCATCTTGCCGGAACGTGCGTCGTCTCTCCACAATGTCATGAGGAACAGCTCACTGTGCCACCCGGGAGCCGGAGTCGACGACATAAGACCGTTATCGGAGACACTTACGGGCGTGAGTAAATTAAACAATTTAATACCTAGTTTCAGGTTTCAGGGAAGTCAGGCCTAGAATGCGTTTTGGGTACAGACCGCTGAGTGCCTATCACAAGGGACTCTACTTTTTATAATATTTATGTACCTAAGTAAGTATAGCACGGCAAATAAAACGACGGTCTAAGGCACCTCGCGCACTAGACGGCCACGACCACTGCCAGTGGCCATAATGACCAGATTAATTACAGTTGGCCAAGTGCGTAACGTTTGTATGGTTTCTTTAGTAAATTTGGTCCTTGCGACCTCTGGTCGTGGTCGTAGCGGTAGCGACATAAGGTCTTGGTCACCCATTCAATGACCGACCATTGCGAATTGCTTAACTTTCACGATCCCAGGCCGAATGCACTAACCACCTGCTCCATCGAGCTCCTTCAAGTACGTCCAGAAATTCCATTTCAGTCTTTATTACCAATCACCCTTTTCTCTCACAGTACCTAGAATCGTTGATCATCCCGAGATCGTGTGAGCCCCAGTTGTCATTAGCTGAGAACAAGATCAAAGCACTGGCGGAGTTCTTCGGGAGATCATGCAAGGCTGGACCATGGGTGTTGGACAAACACAGGGATGATGAGCTGAGTAAGTTATTGCTTGTATTATTCCTTATACTTAAAGAATCTAATGCTTTCCTATCTTTTATCTGATGATGATAACAGCAAGGTATTACTTGCAAATAACTTCATAAAAAAATATATTAATATGTTTCTTAAAAACAGTGATGTTTACACACCTAATACAAGAAACAAAAATAAACTAACTTTACCTGCTACTAGGCTTCACAAAATTAATAATTCAATCTTTGTGGTCGCTTACATAATAAAGTTCCAAGCAATATCCAAGAGTTAACCATAAATAAATTTAAAGATAGTATAAAAAAAACACTTATTAAAAAAGCTTATTACAAAGTGTCTGATTATATTACGTACAAAAATGCTTGGATTTGAACTGTTCCAATAATTCCAATAGATTTTCTATATTAAAGAAATCATAATTGTATTGTCGTTGTAACAACATAATGATTTGTAAATGTTACATTAGACGTTTAATGTTGTGGATTTTTTTTCGCTCGTTTTTCTCCGCAGCTAAAAAATATGTCCAATAATGAGTGGTAGGGAAAAAAAATTCAAGAGAGTTGTACTACTCATCCAATTTGAATAAAGATATATCGATTTCTGATAAAAAATAACGATCAGAAATGTATGGGACACAAGTCGGATTGTCGAGATGTAAAGGCCTTGTGGCAAAGAAGGAATTGGACCCCTATTTTAAAATGTGGCAATCCGGGCCGCTTACGATTTGTTGTTTCTTACGACTGCGTCTTTTACTTACACGAAATGTATATCAACAGTAGGTTTCTTGTGCGACAAAATAACCGATATTTAAAAAGAATGAAAGAAAAATAATTTCGTTTGAAACAAGAATAATATTTAAAAAAAAACATTTTTTTCTCAAAGCGGTTCCAACTCAACATGTGCTGGTGTTGCCATCAGCGCTGGTCTTCCGTTCGAACCGGTTTGGTGTCGCACGAAACAATAACAAGAGGAACACAACAAAAAACATAAAAACTCACAAATACAATAGAAACATATATAAGAACAGCAATAAAATAAAAAATCCAAAACAAGAAAGAGCGTACTATGTTTGGCTGAACGTCTGAAAATATAACCGCCACTGCCATTAAAGAAAGAAAAAAAAATATTTTATCGTTTCCCCGCCGGCATGGCAGTGAGTATAAAAACTTGTCTCCCTAAGAAATGTTACTATAAAGTTAAAGATTTTATAAATGATAAGGCACCTTGAGCACGGTAATATTATTACCGTGCCTTGGACTTAATATAACAGACTAAGTCGTTTTACTTTGCTAATTTGATTGAAAATTGTTAGTTAAACTTAAACTTATTGTTAATTAATAGGTAATATTAATGTGATGAAAGATGACATCAACACGTATTTTTAGTTTTAGATGTCGTCTTTCAATTGAGAACACTGTATGAAACAAAACAGGGAGAAAAATATATAGCCCTTGCTGAGTTTCTTGCCGGTTCTTCTCAGTACAAGGTTTCCCGCCGTAGATTTACGAACCGATGGCGTAGCATTTGACTTTCACATGAGCTTGTAACAGCCTAGACTGAATAAATGAGTTTGACTTTGTTGTCTCAAACTCAATGCTTTTCACCAATTTGAACTGGGTTCGCGTGGTGAGTCCATTCTCCCTATTGCATGATAAATGCTAGAGAGATCATTTAGTAAGTTTGAATAGCCTGTACGTCCGTTGGTCTGGATAGCCTGAAGCATCTGCAGTCGTTGGCATTCACCAATCTGCACTGCGGCCATTCTCTATTCTTATGGTCGTGATTCTCTGCAAGCATAAGGAAATCCTGAGCCACTGCATTGGTGACATTAATCACCACCAGCCTATTAATGTCCCCACTTGTGGGACACAGGCCTTCCCTTAAGATGGAGTAGATTGGGTCATGACCCACCATGCGGGCCCAGAGTGGATTGGTGGGAACTAACGACTGCAGATGCAGCCGGGACCAATGGCTTAACGTGCCTTCCGAAGCTCGGAGGAGCAGGTTTTGGTAAACCATCCAATGACCGACCCTTGCAAAAATTGCTTAACCTCGAAGGTCGAAGGACGCAGGACGAACGCGCTAACCACCTGCGCCATCGAGTTCCTCATCGTGGCTGATGGTAATCATCAAAGCGTGAAGCTTTGTTATACGTTTATTTTTTAAGCATTTAATTTCTAAATGAATAAAATCTGAAGAAAATTTTACTAGAAAAATAGTTGTCTGTGAAGTCGGTTTACGGACGATAATTTAACGTGATAACGTGTCATTCACTGTTTTCCTGGGGGGCAGCTTTATGGGGCTTTTTGTTCCGATTCCTTTAAGTCGAAGCACGCCTCTGCAGCTCTATGGGAGCCCGAGTTATGGCAGTCAGGGGGTCATGGGTTCATCAATTTATATCACGTCAAAAAGTGAAGATTTGTGTTAAACTCGCTACTCCTTTTCCTAGAAAATCGGTATTCGTCGCTGTGCGCCGCTTGCAGTACAACATGCAGCGAGCACGACCCGTACCAGGGCGGCACCGGCGCGCTCAACTGTCTTTTGGCGACTGGTGACGTCACGTGGGCGGAACTTGACGATGTCAAGGCCTACTTTGGGGTGAGTGACGTCACAGTAACAAATGACTGTATTCTTTAAGTATTTCAAACCTTCTAGCCTAGCCTACTGCAGACGACCTACGGGCGAGTGATCTTCTAAAACAAATGAATGTGTTCTACAGATATTCAAAACCTTCTAGTCTAGCCTACTGGAGACAACATCAGGCGTGTTCTCATCTGAAACAAATGACTGTCTAAAAGATCTTTAGAAAACGAGGCCCGTCTGCTGCCCGGTCTGCGTAGATTTTTTCTAGTAGAAATCTTTAGATTTATACTTTTATCTAATTGTTAATTTTTATGTCATTATCGTTATTTGCAGTTGAAAAATAGGAAGAACAACGTACCGTACCCAGACAGCAAAAATTACGCGTACCTCTGCAGGGACGGCAGCAGTCAGCCGTTGACCGAAGGCACGGAGCCCTGCATATGGCTGCACAGGCCGTGGCCTGTCATTATAGCTAAAAAGTGAGTTATAATAATAATTTTCATTAATTGCAATATACATATAAAATACAAAATTTACAGCTTCTACAAGACATATTGACAGTCGTTAGGGTCCTAGTAATGGCCACTACACAGCTGTTAAAATTATGTGACAAAAGTACTGGATTTTGATTTTTTTTTAATTTTTTTACATGAGGCGGTAGGTAGTCATATAATGAAAAGTAAAGTTTGTCTATAAAGTCGTGACATTAAATGATGGCGCCACTAGTATGCATGTAACAACCCTTTACAGTCGGACCAAAATGATTTTGATACTAGCAGTTCATTCAAGTACAATAGGTAATTAATAAGACACTATACAATCGTATTTTGTTTCTGTTTGATATATAGTAGGTACCTATGCTTATAAAAAGTTTAGCCAAGCATATTTAATTGAATCAGAATAAAATTATTATAGATAAAATAGTACTTTATAGTGTAAAAGTGTGTAATGTTGGTGATTACCGCTGAGGTGCCATTGAGACCAGAGCCGTTAGGTAATCATCAATACACACAAGTATCATCATACGACGTATACACACTTGTTAAGAAAATAATACTAAAAATCATTTTATAGTACATAAAAAGTTTATTTAGAGAAACAATTTGTAAATGTGCAGTTAGTAAAATTAGTGATAGGTATCTTCACTAAAAGCATCTGGCCATGGTTCTTTATGTGACCATTTCTTTCTTTGGTCGGCCTTGCCTGTTTTCCCAGGAGTTTCAAACTTTCCATCATTCTTAAAACCTTCGTTGACTATCCGACTCTCTGATTTTCCTGAAAAAAAGTAAAAAAATATGTAACGGAATAAAAACAATAACTTATTGACATGAAGCAATTAATTCAAAATTGCTAGAAAACCTGACCGAGTTGAACCATAATAACGTATCAAAAGAAATGGTCGTACTACAATATTACCTATTTACAATATCAATCTAACCTAAAAATGTGCAATGTAAACAATGCCTTTTTTGGTCTCAAAATCGTAAATTGAGTAAATTTGTAACTTCAGGCAGATTACAAACAAATAGTTACACGATTACATACCCGTCATAGATGCTGTTCGCCCATAAATATCGTCCAAATCGCACAAAATTCGTCCAGCTTGGTAGTCTTCGAAACATCGCTGGAAAACTTTAAAAATCATTTCCCGCGTGCCACTCCCGTTTACTTTACTCATTTTTATACCTTTCTGCGTAGTTTCGTCTTAATTTATTACAGTTTAATCCAAACAATAAAAAATACAAAAGGAAAACTGTTCCACAACTGAAACTCGATGACAGCTGATGTAATGTACATAAGTTTGGTGTTGCCAGACACATGAATTATGTTAGTTCCACAAACATTAATGTCACGACTTTATAGACAACTGTACAAGTGACCCCTAGATAGGCTATGAATATAGCCTGTGTTTAGGGATTCAGTCTCTTCCAATAGATTTCATAAGAAGACACAGAGCAGGGTTTCTATTACGAAGAAGATCTAATAGACTTAGGTAGCAACTGGGAAACAGATCGTCCGTCGCCGTTTAACTCGAGCCGTACAGTTTTCTTCGTTTGAAACTCCCTACCAAGGTTGCCAGATCTCCCGATATTACAGGAGTTCTGCCTCTTTTACTGAACTCTGTCCTGTACTTCTGCTTTTCTTAGAATGCGATTTTCTTTTTTAAATTGCACGTTTGTGTTTTCCGTCATTAAGAATGTCGATAACCTTAATAATAATAAAATAAATATGTTATTGTATACATCTACTGCTGTTTTTTGTAACGCCTCTCGATTTTTTAAAATCGGGCCTGGCAACACTGCTCCGTACTGCAACGCACACTAATCTGAATTGTAACGTAATTGTAACTAACCTCACCACGGTACACGAGCTAGTCGATACGGTGACGACCGACCCCTTTCCGAGTTAATGTGTCTGCTATGTTAAATAAAATAGTATGCACGGACCACACTCCTGAAGTGAAACTTCTTTTCTTAAATTACCTAATCTTAGGCGGTGCATAAGGCATAGGGGAATGGAGAAGCGCACGCATCACTTATACTCGTTTATATATATATATTGTCGCGTGTAACGCTCGTGACGCTCTTAGCGTTTCAGCCTTCGCTTTACCTTCGAGTTACCCTCCAACTTTCATGCACTTCAGGAAGACCTGTGCACGCACTAGCATCCCACACACACACATATATACATGTAGTCGTGTGATGCTCGTGACGCATTTCCGCTTTATCTTTTCCATAGCATTTTTCCATTTACACCAAGTACGAAAAGAAGTATCACTTCAAAAAGAAATATAAGCCTATAGCCATAATAACAGGGGGCCATTCGCCTAACGGAAATGCTTTGGAAAACGCTAACGCTTACGAACTCATTTTGTTATTTCTAACCGCCTGAGGTTTTCAAATGCCTCACGCTTTTTTTCTTTTCTTTTGCATTGGTAATAACAATGTTAAATAAAATCAGCGTGAGGTATTTTCCTAGCATTTCCATTAGGCGAAAGGCCCCTAGGTCAGAAATGAAAATCTTATAAATATATAAAATTCTCGTGTCACAATGTTAGTAACCATACTCCTCCGAAACGACCTGAGCGATAGAACACTACGTTATACACCCCTTAAATTTTTTTGGGCAATTTTCATTTTTTTATAATGTGGTCTAAAATACATACAACATTAAATTTTCTCTTCTACCAGCTGCCCCTATTTTTATGGCAGTACGAAGTTTGCTGAGTCAGCTAGTAATTAATATATAAAATAAATACATAAGCACTCCTTTATTGGCGCGTAGCCTACCATTTTTCGACTTGGTAGAATTCGTTACGCATGCCACGCCACTAAACAAGGCGACAGGATTATGTCTCTCCTGCCCTTTAAAAAAAATATTTATATTTCAAATGTCAGGTCAACAATCGCCTACCCTGTGAAACTCTAGGACCTGAGGAAATTGTACTAGAAATCATTACACTTAGTTTAGATGTCAGATTTCAGGAAGGATTTGAAAAAAAACTCATACACACGTAAAAAATAAATGTAATTTTCTTTCCAAATGATAAATCAAACTTGCCTTTAACAAAAATATAATGAACACTAATATCTCACTCACCGCAACAACTGAAACACAACTCCAGCAAAAGATCTTTATGAACTTTCAATCAAATTTTCATAGGAAATCAGCAGTCGCGGTGGCCGCCATAGCATTGTCTCTGGCTAACAACACAGTGACCGTAGACCAACACTGGAGGGGTGCCTTAGCTGCTTTACTAGAAATACATCAAGCACAACCTGAGCCCTTACAACCGCCTATGGTACCCATGGACTATCTGGCGAAGGCTAAAGGATTTAGAGAAGCCTACAGCCAGACCGGATGTGACCCGCCCAGGTACAGTGATAATGTTATTTTTCATTTTATAAATAATGTTTAGCTAAACAAAGCTAAAATCTATAATGTTGTACAATTTATTCAATTGTTGTACTATTATATAAATATTTCCAACACTCACACCAATTAGCCAAGCCCCAAAGTAAGCACTGTAAGGCTTGTGTTATGGGATGCTAGGGTAACGGATAGAATACATATATAGATAGATAGATAAATCATTTATTCCCATCAGTACAGCACACAAATTCAAGTAAAAAATAGAACAATTAATTACTAGGTATGTAACTGTGTGCCGCAACGACAGAAAAAGGCAAAAACTCAGCGATACCTTTGCTCTAAGAGCAAAGCACTGGTTTTCAGTTCTGCCTAGAAAGCGCGTAACGTGAAACGACATCGACGTGACGTGATTAATTTATTATTAGGAGAATTAAATCTATACTTATAATAAATCTGTAGAGAGGTCAATTCTGTACATGAAATATATTTTCAAAATAACTATCAGGGGGTGATAAGTGATCGATACTGATGCCAAAAATGCAATCAGTAAAATTTTTGTCTGTCTGTCTGTCTGTCTGTGTGTTTGTTCCTTATAGAAACAAAAACTACTCGACGGATTTTAACGAAACTTGGTACAATTATTCTTCATACTCCTGGGCAGGTTATAGTATACTTTTCATCACGCTACAATCAATAGGAGCAGAGTAGTGAAGGGAAATGTTGGGAAAACGGGAGAAGTTACTCCATTTTTTAAGCTTCCGTCGCGTGTGGAGCCTTAATGGTTAAAGTTACATAGAAATCATGTATGACGGAAATATTCTACATAAAATTGTCTAAAAAATATCCTACAACAGCATATATCTATCTTTTATGGTTGACTCACAATAACACGTGTAACTCCTGATAGCTTAGCAGTTCGGAGCATTCTGATTATATTTGTTTACTCTTACGTTTATAATACTGTCACTCATCCCTAATTTAAAAAAGTTAACATTATTACCTATTCAATAAAAAAAGAATCATAGAAATCGGTATAGAAACACCAAACTTATACATGAAATAAGCCATCGCGCCGTCGCACGTGAATACTGAATCATGCTTTAAGGATTATTTTTGTGTAACGGCTGCCGCGCTCGACACGGGTCGTGGCGGCGCGGTAAGGTATAAAAAGGCGGGAGGTCCAAAAGCGAGCTTCCCCGCCCCCCCGATCCTGAGAGACCTTCAGCCACTCAGTCCCAAACCGATACGGATGCACATCAGGGTGCATCCGTCCTCTAAGCGCACTAGCAGTAGTATTTACTAAGGCAGCGCTGCATCATCCCCTTCTCAGGGGTTGATCGCATCAGATGAAGCCTGTAAGGCCCCTAAGGCCATAGGCACCCCACACGGGTGTGTTTTAGTCAGTAAGAGTCTGACATAACTCTACAGCCGGCTGTAGGGTATCCATGAGGATTTCACACCCGCTCCCCCGCCTGGGAGGAAACAAAAAAAAAAAGAAAGCGAGCTTCATTCAATATTTGGCTGTCGATGCGTTCAGAGCGTTCGACCTTATTGACAGACAATAATTGATATTGAGAAACCGTGCTTATCTATACTTATAATAAATCTGTAGAGAGGTCTATTCTGTACATGAAATATATTTTCAAAATAACTATCAGGGGGTGATTAGTGATCGATACTGATGCCAAAAATGCAATCAGTAAAATTTTTGTCTGTCTGTCTGTCTGTCTGTCTGTGTGTATGTTCCTTATAGAAACAAAAACTACTCGGCGGATTTTAACGAAACTTGGTACAATTATTCTTCATACTCCTGGGCAGGTTATAGTATACTTTTCATCACGGTACAATCAATAGGAGTAGAGTAGTGAAGGGAAATGTTGGGAAAACGGGAGAAGTTACTCCATTTTTTAAGCTTCCGTCGCGTGTGCAGCCTTAATGGTTAAAGTTACATAGAAATCAAGTATGACGGAAATATTCTACATAAAATTATCTAAAAAATATTCCGCAACAGCATATGTCTATCTTTTATGGTTGACTCACAATAACACGTGTAACTCCTGATAGCTTAGCAGTTCGGAGCATTCTGATTATATTTGTTTACTCTTACGTTTATAATACTCTCACTCATCCCTAATTTAAAAAAGTTAACATTATTACCTATTCAAGAAAAAAAGAATCATAGAAATCGGTATAGAAACACCAAACTTATACATGAAATAAGCCATCGCGCCGTCGCACGTGAATACTGAATCATGCTATAAGGATTATTTTTGTGTAACGGTTGCCGGGTCGCGGCGGCGGTGTGCGTTTAGAGCGTTCGACCTTATTGACAGACAATAATTGATATTGAGAAACCGTGCTTATCAGCGCGACTTTTAGTCTTTAAATAGTTTATTTGAATTTCTTTTGTTGTTATTTTGTAAAATAGGTATTAGTTGTTTTGGTAGTGTATAAATATTCGTTCAAATTAAAAATTATTAGGCGTAGGTACTTTTCTTATTAAATTAGTTATAAGTATTTATTTTTAAGTGAAGTAGGTATAGGTATATAGTATTGCACAGGCGTTTCAGCTTTATTTTCATTTCCTTTTTGTTGTGAGTTGTATATATTTTTGGTTATAATTCTATAAGAATATTTTAGTTTAAATAGTCACTTAGATTTCAAGTGTAAGGTAGCTAAAGTTAGGACCACGTATTAGTTGTTTTGGTAGTGTTTAAATATTCGTTCAAATTACAAATTATGAAGCGTAGGTACTTTTATTAATTAAAGTAGTTATAGGTATTTATTTTTAAGTGAAGTAGATATAGGTAGATAGTATTGCACAGGCGTTTCAGCTTTATTTTCATTTCTTCTTTGTTGTGAGTTGTATATATTTCTGGGTATAATTCTATAAGAGTATTTTAGTGTAAATAGTCATTAAGATTTTAAGTGTAAGGTAGCTAAAGTTAGGACCTCTAACGTAGGTAATTTTGTTAGGTAACTGACAGCCTTTTCGTTACCGTAGATTATTACACAATGCCACCTAAAAAACCATTATCTTTATCTCGAACTTCGAGTAAAGCTAAGAGAATGAGAATTACGCGATCTCAAGAATTGGCAGAGGAAAGAGCAAATCGGTTTAACTCTATGAGAGTTAGAGCCTCAACTTTTCGAGCCAATGAAAACTCTCCAGAGAGAGAGATGGATTAGCAGCTAAAAGAGCAAGATGAGCTACATCACGGACGTCTCAAAGATCTTCTCAACGAGAGCGAAGGCGTACCATTGACCGAGAACAACATACGTTATCCCGAGAAGCTGAAACTGCTGCACAACGAGAATTACGTCTCACAACTGACCGCGAACGGCATACATAATCTCGCGAGTCCGAAACCTACACTGAGAGGGAATCAAGTCTCACAGCTGACCGCGAACGGCATACATTATCTAAAAAGAAATATAATATATATTTCCCTACTAAAATACGAAAGTTAATCTGTCTGTCACATCAAAACCACTGAACCCTGAGGAAGGACCTAAGCTACTTTTTTACGAAAAACGACGAAAACGCGGACGAAGTCGCGGGCAAAAGCTAGTTAGATTATATTTTTATTAAATTAAAAAGATTATTAAATTATTATTTATAAGTTATTATAATATAACTATATATAATATTATCATTCACCAAAAAATATTAATTATTACTGTTGTTATTACTTTTTAGTATTTAGATTAATATTGAATTTCTGAATTAATATTTACCCATCAGAATTTAACACACACAAATTGTGACACACCTATTAGAAAGTGGTAGAAACCGCTACCATACGACCACATGTGGTTATTCCTAACCTTTGCATTTCTAGTAAAATTAATTTTAAATGTTTTTTAAATGTTTGGCGCGATATGATCCTCCTTAGTGGAGGTGGAATGTTGTTCCAGCACCTGGTCGCCTGATAGCGGAAACTACCCTTAAACGCCTGCGTTTTATGATTCTGAGTCGATAAAGGTGGCTTTGCCTGTCTTGGTTGCCTGTCAGCGTCATAACGTAGTGTCGCAGTAGGGAATTTTAATTTCTCATATAAATAACTTGGACTATAGTACATATATAAGTATATTTATATAGAAATACATATTAAACATCCATGACTGGAGTACAAATGCTCGTATACATCACACAAACATCTGCCCCCACGAGGATTCGAACCTCACGAGTCGCCGACACCATGAAGCCCGCCGTACAAACCACTCGACCACGGAGGTCGTCAATTAACACTCTTCACCCAGACTATATTTGGATGGGTAGGAATAGCAGAGGCTCCATGTGAAAACCTTATGGAACTCCAAACGTACTACCAAATACGTGCTGGTTGTGAGAAATATTGATGTGGTATATTTTATCAAGTACTGAATTATAATAATAATCTTGCAATTTGTGCATAAATTTTATAATAAGCAGCTGAAAATAATCCTCCCTCTTACGGGCCTAACTGTTTACCATGTGGAACTCCGAAGTATTAATAAGAGTGATATTCGTAATGATTTATAGCAAACAGTCTAGCAAGGAACTGAATTGTTCATGTACCTATATATTTAATTACAAAAGTTTCTCTATCAAAGATACGAACGATAAAATACCCAATTAACAACCTTGTGGAACTCTGATCGTTTTAGAGACAGGCTTTTGACTTAAACGCTGATACTTTATATCTGTTTGTGTATGTAATGTTTTGTATATGTAGGTATGCATTTATACACCGTGAATTTTGAGTTACTGAAGAAACTAGAAGCTAATTCAGACAATAATTATTTAGGATTCATTTTTTTATTTGATTTTTTTCGATCAATGTTTCCACGTTAGCTCACTAATTTTGCAATTATTATCATAACTTTATTCAAATAAATCTTCTTTTAGGATCTACGTACATTAGACGAATAATGATTCCATCTTAAGTATGTTATTTACAAATTTGCGCAATTTTAGGATATTTTGTAAACGATAAAAAACAATATTTTTGTATGGGGCTGCAATACGTTCACTGTTTATATAACTGTTCGCACTATTTTTATGCATACGATTTTTAAGTTTCTCAGCAGGTAACTCAAGATTCACGGTGTATAATAATAAAAATGTATATTAAAAGTGATTATTTTCCTACAGGCATATAACGTTGTGCAGTACTTCGATTCTCGCTAAGAATAAATGCGAATGGTTGAGCGAAGCTGGCGCCGTTTATGGAGTCTCGCCGCCCTTACAGTGTGCTATTGAGGCAACCATTGAGGTAAACATTTGATACATTAAAAAAAACCTACTTTTAAAACTTTTTCCCCTTATTAATAAACAAGGAATAAGCTTAGACTTGTTGCGCCCTGTTTTGTTCATGTCACTCAAATGCCATTTGTGATTCAATAGACAGAGACAAAACATGGAGTAACGAATCCAAGTGAAGTCTTCGTTTATTAATAAAGGGGTGAATGTTTGCATGTTTTTTTATTTAATCACTATGAGAAATCTCAAACTGACTGCATGATTGAATGCATGCATGAATAATAGTGACTGTATACTTGAAAACTATTTAATATTCTAGCCGTTGTCTTAACGTAATTTTTTTTGGTGAGAATTTTCTAAAATCATGAAGAACTGGTTTATCTTCATGTATGTCAGTGGATAATCAATATATTGTAGATCTCTCACAGTGTTCTGTCTCATTTAGTTATTATTTTTTCACATTATGAGCTCAGATTTCAGAACAAAAGAATTTATATTATAATTTGAAATTATCAGATTGCAAAAAAAGATCATTAAAGAAAATGTTTTGTTTTGTCCTAACAAGAAAAAATACGAATGGAAAAGATTTTTTATCCAATTTAGTGCAAGCATTTGGAAGTTTGTGCGTACATAAAAATCAAGTCAAGTCAACATATCTTTATTCAATTTGGATGCATATTACAACTGTTTTGAATCTTCCAGCTCCAGACTTACATTTTGGCGATGAATTTTAGTTTATAAAGAAGAAGCTTAGATTAAAACAAAAAGGGAAGATACGGTACGCTCATACTAGCATCAAATAAAATATGATCCGTCTCATTTCTCATCTACATAAGCAACTCTCACACACGCACACTTCTGTAAATAAACATTCAATCGAGCGAGCGAGACGCAATCGTACGCTTCAACGCAGCGCGAGCGAAACGGCAAACCGTGATTTTTGATGTTTTTTTTATAATTTTAGAATGTTAAGTGTTGCCGTGGTATTAGTTATTTTAACTTGAACTACACTCGACTGCAAATAAACTGGGTCAACCGCTAGTAACTTGGAACTCTAATCTCGATTTTTTCAAAAAGTATAAAACTTACAACTATTAAAGCTATATCTACAGAAAGTGTGTTTCATAATTATTAATATGAGTAAAAATTTATTCTAAAGTACTGTCAACTTATTTTACAATCGAGTAAGAACTAGCTAACAATTCTCTAATGTTTTAATAAAGTCGCGATTTTCGTTCTTTTTTTATAAAATGAAGATAGTCTGATACTTCTTATCATTTCCTTAGTCTGTCTCCATAGTTTTCTCATACGTGAGTATTTTTGCTTCGTTCGTTACTTCCGAATACCACAATTGGAAAACGATTCTTCCTTGGCTTTTTTTAAATAAAAATTTAAGTAATTGATTAATCTCAATAAATTCTAATTTAATCACCACGAAACGCACTTTCTGTAGTTATAATTTTGATAATTGTAAGTTTTATAGTTTTTGAGAAAATCAAATCAGAGTTCCGTGGTAGCAAGTGTGTATAAACTGGGCTTATTTGCAGTCGAGTGTATTTGTGTTCTTTACAAAAGCATTGAAGGCATTTTTTTTATCTTTATAACACAGAATATACGTAATATTGTTATATTGAGTGCACATGCAGCGTGTTTGGATGTCCAATTGTGATTAAAGCGAATTGTGGTCATGCACCACAATTTAACACGGATCACTTTTAAGCCGCGAGTGCCTTATCTTCCCTTTTTGTTTTAATCTAAGAGAAGAAGTTAATAAGTGATTCTGTTAATTTCCATAGGGTTGCATGGAGGGGACTAGACGCGGGGAATATGTGGTACAAGCTGACAGCGACTGGCTTCTCAAAGGGATTAGGTGAGAGTTGACTTTAAATATAAAAAAAAATAGAAACTATATTTATTTTTATTTATTTATTCTTCATGTACACACTGTACAATGGCGGACTTAATGCCGTAGGCATTCTCTACCAGTCAACCATAGGGTGCTGTGGAGATTTAATTGGTAGGGTGCACAACTGAGGTGAGAAATACACACAACAACGAAAGTGTACATCCCGGTAAACTTCTTGAGCTATGACCATAGACAAGGAAGCCTGCGCAGTAGCAATTTTACATACAAAACGTCTACTGCGCAGGTTTATTTGTCTTTGGTTTTGCTCCAGAAGTATGCCGCTACCTATAGGTACTATAAGGTTTCCAGAAGGGAAACCTCGTTTCCACCAAGATATAATACATGTACTATACTTTGGTGTAAACTAGGGGTTGTATATTTATATGTGTCAGTATATCCGTTACTCTAGTATGCCATAACACAAGCCTTACAGAGCTTACTTTGAAACTAGGCTATTTGGTGTATGTGTGTTCAAGAATATTTATTTATTTATTTTACAAGTTTCACTTGCTTCGTGGTTTCATAAAACCATACCCAATAAGAATGTCTCTCTCTTTCTCTCTTTTTCTATCAACAACCATTTTTGTTACAGAGACTACTCTCTTACACCGATACTGCACGAATCCAATCCAATTGTGGACCAAACACATACTGTAGTAGCTTATGTCGCCGAATCGTCGGGCATCACCAAAATGGCGGATTTGCGCGGCAAACGAGCCGCGTTCCCACAATACGACGGCTTCGCGTGGCATTCCGTTTTACGCTACATCACAAAGAAAGAGGATGTGCAATGCAAAAGCATCAAAGATTACTTTAGCCAAATATGCGCGCCCGGTTTTGAGAAAATGAATGTTACTGATGAAGTCAGAGAAAGATTTACTAAAAGCTGTTATAAAGAAGATGATGGTCAGGTTGTGAGCGGGGAAATGCAAGCGTTACAAGCACTCGTTGAAGGCAAAACTGATGTGGCTTTCATAAGAATGGAGACTTATAATTTGTATGCAGGTTAGTGCAAATATAATTGTCCCAACTAGCAAAAGTAAGTGATATAGCGGTAGAGACAACATAATTGATTTAGCCTTTAGCTTTTGAATTTGGTGCCTATAACGTTTTGATTACGTGTAAAGATTCCAAAAGGGGCCCATTTTACTCAACCTTTCGGTGTTATAGAGGTTGAATAAACGTGATATTTACTTTATAGTTGTGTAATTATCAAAGATGTGAGTTTTATATCGCAATTTTTTCCAAATGCTAGTAACTTGTTTTGTATTCAATAGAAAATTGCTAGTGTTGAATATATTTTAGTAGATGATAGATTTAAGTTAATAAGTGAGTAAGAAGATGACGCTGTTCTATTAAGTGACTGTTATACTTTAACGTTTTCAATCATTGTCTGTACCAACGCCGCTACTTAGGTGAAGTCCTAGATGACACTCTGGGTCAGGAGCGATTTAATTGTAATTATTCCCGCCGTATAAAACTTAGGGACAGTAGGGGGTGATGACAACAAACCAAAGGTACTCACAGAAAGTAACCCAGCTATACTGGCAGCACGATTTCCGTTGAGGCACTAGGTAGATTTTGATTTCGGTGGTGACTACAGCAGGTGATGTGTCTAACCACTGGTTAGTCCTTTTAATAGTAAACTATCAAGTGTTCACTCCACTCACAGACAACGCACTTGTGTATATGTATATTAGTCGATTCTACAATCTGAACGATATATGATTCTAATACATAGGCCTTCCTTACGAAGGAACAGGGAGAACGGAGCATATTTTATAACGCGGGCCCAGTACGGATTGGTGGGTTTACACGACTGTAGCAGCAGAGACCGATGGCTGAACATAACTTCCGAAGCACGGAGAAGCCTTAGATCTACGAATTAGAAATTATTTGGAAGCATTATTCAACAAAGGCCGCTTAAACAGGGTTCTAAAACTCATACAACTTCATTGCTAACGCGACACGCACCCAGACAAAACAAAATAGTTTGACAAATCAAATATCTGCAAATGAATTCGGCTATCCATTCATTGGGTAAGATAATGTTAAACGGAAATCCCAACAAATCCAATGATCGACGTGTTGATAGTAGTTTAATCGCCCCGCCTAATTGATCGCAGTTTGCATGGAACCACTTTTAAGCGCTGTTCGTATTTCATATTATTTCTAATTCGTTGCTCCAGATAATAACTTTTGGGTCTAGTCTAAAAATAATTTAGGTCCACTTGCAGCAATTATATCTAAAATTAGATTTAGCCTCTACAATAATGTGAAATTAACATTGACGTTTTGTCATTTTTCTATGGTTTAAAGTTGAAGCTAGTTTTAGTAGAATCTAAATTTAGCAATTTACTGCAAGTGGCCCTAAGTGTACTTTACGAAGTACACTTAAAGATATACCTGTTATTAGTAAGTACTTCGTTAAACGATATTTATTTTTGTTACAGCAAACAAATTACCGCAATTCCCCTGGGCGAAAAACCCAATCAGAATCACACCGATTTGTCCAGAGGAGAACACCGTATACTGCTTCCTGAGCTGGTCCAATCTCGGTCACATATTCACAAACAAAAACATCACAGCCATGCGCAAACAAGAAATCATTAACGTTTTCACAAAATTGGACCAGCTATTCGGCAAACATTCGCCATTCCACATCGCTATGTTCTCAATGTACGGAGCGTTTAATCATCAAATGGACGTGTTATTCCATAACAACACATGGAAATTGACCACCGACGATATTCTGCGATCGTACCCGTACAATAGGATCCCGCTCAATTTCGAACGGAGCTTGTCAAACTCAACTGACAGCTGTCAACTGGAGGATTTCACGAATTTTGGCGCTAGAATGCAACCATCACTTATGCTTTTGGCGTCTCTAGTCTTAATTTTAAGTAGATATGTATATTTTTATGAATAAATTTATATAAACAGATCAAATTATTGAGCTTTAAAAAAATGTTGTGTTATTTTTCTTCCTATGTTTACTATACTAAAGCCAAGGCAAGCAATATACGTTGAGAATTCTGAAAAAGAACAGCCATCACTATAACCTAGATCAGTAAGAACTGAGCTGGGTACTTTTTGTTTGAGAATAATTGAATACAACAAGAGAGAAATCCAAATTTTTGTATCAGTGTAATATTTGAAATTATTTATGAATTCTTACTAAACATCATTTGGAATACTAAATTTATAAAATACGCTGATTTCAAATACAAAAAATGAGAATACGGTGTCATAGAGTCGGTTAGTTAATGTACTACTTGAGATTAATTCTATAATAAATAATAATGTAGCACAGAGCTTAGCCTCTCATCTCCTCTTATAGTGTCAATCTCGTGAACGCTCGTTCATAATGTATGAAACAGCTTTAGCTTCGCTCAACCATATTTTGTCAAGCATTGTTCAGCACAACGAAAACAATGCCCACAGGTTTTTCATAGTACAGGATCCCAACACTGCCAGAACTCACTTATTTTCTCATGAACGAACAACGATATTAAATACCCTAGATACACCACCAGAACTCAAAATGTGTCCCAATCAAGAAGTGCTTGAACTCCACTCAAGCACATCTTGGTTCATCGTCACGCGCGGACCGTTACAAAGTCAAGATGCCACAGAGCTCCGCGAAAATAATACTTAGAGTACGAAAAGTGTCGTTTTTTCGATAGTTATCTAGTCAATGTTTGTTAATTTAACGCATTTGAAGAAATTTTTGATCTAATCTATACTTATAATGAATCTGTAGAGAGGTCAATTCTGTACATGAAATATATTTTCAAAATAACTATCGGGGGGTGATTAGTGGTCGATACTGATGCCAAAAATGCAATCAGTAAAATTTTTGTCTGTCTGTCTGTGTGTATGTTCCTTATAGAAACAAAAACTACTCGACGGATGTTAACGAAACTTGGTACAATTATTCTTCATACTCCTGGGCAGGTTATAGTATACTTTTCATCACGCTACAATCAATAGCAGCAGAGTAGTGAAGGGAAATGTTGGGAAAACGGGAGAAGTTACTCTATTTTTTAAGCTTCCGACGCGTGTGCAGCCTTAATGGTTAAAGTTACATAGAAATCATGTATGACGGAAATATTCTACATAAAATTGTCTTAAAAACATCCCGCAACAGCATATGTCTATCTTTTATGGTTGACTCACAATAACACGTGTAATTATATAAATAAAGTCATTGTTTATAGCACAAGCCTGAGAACAAAAACTATAGTTTACACTACAGCTCTACACTGAAGCGAAGCGAGGGCGGGCCACTAGTACTTACTATAAACTGATTTAATATAAAATATTCAAATGCGTGGTCGGTTATACGTCGCCATATAGCCGTCTCTCTTCCTCGCGGTCCATGCCTGCTATATTGCTAACAGCGCGTTCAGAATTGCTCGTAGAGTCAAAGAACTAAGGGATAAATTCTTCCGTATATAGAAATAAGTATAAAAAATTTTACGAGCTTGCATTTCGAACTGTCAGAAGTCCCTGCGTTTTATTTAAGACCTCATCCAGTATGTATTAAAGGTTACTTTCAATATTTAAATGCCTTATATTGATTTTGACTACGCGATCATTTTACGGAGCTCCGTGGATCGTTCCATGTACCTTTTGGACAGGTTTCGGCCACGATTTTGTTCGTGTTGGGGTATTTAGGGTATTTAATATCGTTGTGGGCGAAATATGATTATCGAATAGTATTAGTGTGTACAACGAACGTATATATACTCGCTAACTTGTGCTGTGGGCTAATTTTCACGAATCAGGTGGCACAGGCACGTAAGAATTTTACTCACTTCATTTACAGTCTGGGGACTAATTATTACGTATTTTGTAGAGAATATTGTAAACAAATTGAAATTAATACTGCCTGACACATTCTGTTCGCAGTATTTATTGCCAGACACTTTTAATGTCGAAAGCAAAAAACACAAACTTGCTTGTTGTCTGAAATAATTTTGATAATTAGATAATAAGAAGTTATTTAATTATTGTAAAAGGCTTCCTGTACCTTATATAGTACATAACTTTAATAAAGCTTGTACGGGGAGCCCGTAACATAAAAACTGATAAAACTTGTAGTAAATAGAAGAGGGGTACATACAATTATACGACGATTCACGGCACAGAAGAATGTTTAATCACGTAACACAACAGTATATACATACAGCACAGCACACAGAAGGAGTAAAAGCAGAAGAAACAGTCACAGAAAAAATAGGAAGCACAAACTAAATAACATACAATTTATAACGAATATTATAAGCAAAAAAGCGCAAGCGTTAGGTGTCGTCGTAATCTTTCGACTGCCGGCCGGGCGGCCGCGAGGCGCAAGGAATGCGCAGGAGCGGGGCCGGCCGACCGGTTATTGCTTGAACAATAGCGCGCCGGGCGCAGCCGGCGAGCTTGTTCGCTATATACAAAATTATTGTGCGTCACAGTGTCCGCTCATTTTTATTCATTAGCAAATTACGTTAACAAAATTATATTTATCTAATTAAATAATTTTACTACACAAATATATATTATTATTAAATATTCTAAATTATTATACTTAACACATTATTGCATACTATTGAATATTATAAATTTCAATTATCAATATTGTATAAAATAACGGTCGTTGCCACATCACCCCCTTCCAGAGACCGTCACTACGGGCGATAATAATCCGGAAAGCGAACCGAACGCCCTGACCGGGTAACTTTTTTATTACTGTTTTCTTCGGTTTCAGGTGATTTTGCGGTGGTTGTGTTATTTGGTGTTGTGTGTGTAAGTGTAGTGTTTGTATGAGTGTGTGTGGTATTTGAGTCGTGCAGTATGTAGGCCGGTTTTATTCTGTCTACCGATACTGTGACTCGATTGCCATTTATGAGAAGTTTGAAAACTTTATCTCCTCGTTCAAAAACCTCGTAAGGACCTGTATATGCGGGTTTTAACGAACCCTTAATGCTATCGTCCCTAAGAAAAACGCGATCACAACTTTTCAAGTCTTTGTAGACGAAAATGCGCCGTGGGCCGATATGTTGTGATGCTGGAGAAGGTTGAAGCTTTTTAGCAACGTACCGCAGGCGGGCTAAATAGCTAGCTGCATCTGTGGTATCATCGACATCAGGCTGAAAAATTTCTCCAGGTAACCTTAGTGCCTCACCATATACTAACTCGGCCGATGTTGTCTGCAAGTCTTCTTTATAAGCAGTGCGAATGCCAAGTAATACCAATGGAAGAGATTCCGTCCAATTTTCTTTGGCGTGGCAGATGATGGCTGCCTTAAGCTGTCGGTGGAACCTCTCCACGAGTCCATTACACTGCGGGTGGTATGCAGTAGTGCGCCTGTGGTTAAAACCTATCATCTCGGACAGATGTTTAAACACCGCTGATTCAAACTGTTTACCACGGTCTGTCACAATGATTGATGGGCAGCCAAATCTAGATATCCAGCCGCTAACCAAAGCCTTCGCCACTGTCTCCGCAGTAATATCAGGTATAGGTATCACCTCAGGCCAACGTGTGAACCTGTCGACGGCGGTGAGGCAATACCGAAATCCTTGCGATAATGGCATCGGGCCAATCAGGTCTATATGCACATGAACAAATCGCGCTTTCGGAAGTTGAAAAGTTCCTAAGGAAGTAGTAACGTGGCGAGAAACTTTGGAGCGCTGACATGGCAAGCATGAGCGGGCCCACTTCCGGCAGTCCTTTTTTACACCTGGCCAAACGTAGCGATCGGCTACCAACTTGGCGGAAGCATTCGCCCCAGGATGACTCATACAGTGTAAGCTGGTAAAAACCTGGTGGCGAAATTCTTTCGTGACGTATGGTCGCAGGTTGCTTTCATCCATATGACAAAACACCTCGACGTTGGCACCAGGCAATAGGATTTTCTGAAGTTTTAGGGATGTATTGTTACTTTCCACTAATTCTCGCAGCTCACGGTCCTTTTCTTGAGACAGGGCTAACTGGGTAAGGTCTATGGGCTGAGTTATCTCCTCAATACGAGATAAGCTGTCGGCCACAACATTATCCTTACCCGATATGTGCCTTATGTCAGATGTGAACTGCGAGATGAAATCCAAATGCCTGAATTGCCTCGGAGAACAACAATCTTTGCGAGGGTGAAATGCAAAGCACAGAGGTTTATGGTCCGTATAAACTACGAAGTTCCGAGCCTCGACCATATGGCGAAAGTGCTTTATGGCTTCGTAGATGGCCAGCAGTTCTCTGTCATATGGAGAATATTTTCGCTGCGAAGGACTTAATTTACGGGAAAAGAATGCTAATGGCTGCCATGGTTCCCCATCTCTGCATTGTTGCAGTGCTGCCCCTATTGCAGAATCTGAGGCGTCTGTGACTAGCGCCAGGGTTGCTTCGCAGTCTGGGTGTGCCAGCATTGTAGCCTGACACAGACTACTCTTGCAGGCGTTGAATGCTTCCACCTGTTCAGGCGTAAAGTGTACAGGGTGCGAGCCTTTAACTGATCCCTGTAAAAGGTCATTCAGTGGAGTTTGGTGTTGGGCTGCACCAGGTATAAAGCGCCTGTAAAAATTAATCATGCCCAGAAACCTTCGAAGCTCACGGACGGTTTTTGGCACGGGGTAGTTACTAATAGCTTCCACCTTGCTTGGGAGTGGTGTAGTTCCCTCTCCTGAGATTCTGTAGCCCAGAAAAGTCACTTCGGAGACCCCAAAAATACACTTAGCTGCATTGATGACCATGCCATATTTTTGCAGTCTAGTAAAGAGTTGTCGTAGGTGGTTTTCATGGGTAGTGGCATCCCTCGAGAAGATCAAAAAATCGTCTAAATACGCATATACAAAATCAAGGCCCCGGAGCATTTCGTCGACAAATCTTTGAAAGGTTTGACCGGCATTACGAAGTCCGAACGTCATGAACGGAAATTCGTAAAGTCCAAACGGTGTTGTGATGGCGGTTTTCGAAATATCGTCTGAGTTAACTGGTATCTGATTGTAAGCTTTCACAAGGTCAATTACACTAAATATTTTACAACCGGATAGCGTGTGTGAAAAATCATGTATGTGCCGGATAGGATATTTATCAGGCACTGTCCTAGCATTGAGTCTTCGATAATCCCCACAAGGTCGCCATCCGTTATCTTTTTTAGGAGCTAAATGTAAAGGAGATGACCAGGCTGATTCTGAGGGTCTGGCTATACCACTACGGAGCATAGCTTCAAACTCCTCTTTGGCAATTTTTAATTTATCGGGAGCAAGCCGTCGTGGATTAGAAGAAATTGGCGGACCGGGTGTAGTTCTGATGTGATGTACTGTATTGTGTGCAGGTGTGCGGTGTATACCTGATGGGCGTGTAATGTCAGGGTATTCGCGTAGTATGTTATGATATTTTGACTCACCAAAAATCACCTTAACCGAAGAAATTACCTCCGATGAACGGGCAGACAAAGCCGGGGTGGTGAGGGTAGTACTGCTATCAATTAGGCGTTTGTTCCTGCAATCGACAATTAAGTTATAATAAGATAAAAAATCTACTCCTATTATCGCTCTAGTTACATCAGCGACAATAAATTGCCAAGTAAAGTCACGACGCAAGCCTAGGTTTAGTACAAGATTTGTATAGCCATACGTTTTTATAGCGGTTCCGTTAGCCGCACACAATTCAAAATTAGTAATTTGACGCTGTTCACGTACTAAATGTCTAGGAAAAACACATAAATCACTACCTGTGTCAACCAGATACTGCACTTTCGAACGTTGATCCGTTACGAACAAGCGACCCGGAGATGGACAATCGTCGGCCGCCATTACCGATTGCCCCTTTCGTTTCCCGCCATTTTATAATCACAGGGGGTTATGCATCTCGTTGCTTTTTCTCCAAATTTTGAATGATACCAGCATAGGGGGTATTTTCTATAGTTGGACTGCGAACGCTTTGAACTGGAACGGTTGCGGCTGTGGTGGCTTGGCGATCGTCCGCGGGGTCGTGACAGTCTCTCAACCTTGGCTGTTAGGGCTGCTACCTGCCTCGTCAATGCTGCGATCTGACTAGACATCGGATCCATGGTCCGCTCGTTCTGGTGTGACGCGGTGGCGACGGCAGACGTTGACGCTACTTGTGGACCGACGACGTCGTGGATGCGATCAGCTAGATCAGCGAGTTCATCGAGGGCAGCTTTTGGTTGGGAAGCGATGATAGTTTGCGTACTGTTCGGTAAGCGACTCGTCCAGATTGTACGCAAGAACTCTTCCGGCACTCCTGGTCCAGCCAAATTTAGAAGGTGTCGGTAAAATTGCGATGGCTTCCTGTCTCCCAACTCTTCATGCATCAGCAGCTGTTTGACCTTCTTCTCCCGGGATGCAGATAACCGTTTCGTCAACTCCGATTTCAATTTTTCATATTTGTTATTTGCGGGTGGGTTGCAAATAATATCCTCAACTTCGCTTGCAAATTGTGGCTCTAAATGGCTTATCGTATGATAAAACTTCGTTGTATCGCTTGTAATATTGGATAATACGAATTGCGCTTCTAACTGCGAAAACCATAGCGACGGTTTTTCAGGGTAAAAAGGTGGCACTCTCACGCCTACCCTATATGATTCGGCGGCGGCAGTTACGCCGCTCTTCCCTGCCTCAGTATTTCCTGCTTCGTTCATCTTTGTGTTCAGTCGGGGTCACCAATGTAGTAAATAGAAGAGGGGTACATACAATTATACGACGATTCACGGCACAGAAGAATGTTTAATCACGTAACACAACAGTATATACATACAGCACAGCACACAGAAGGAGTAAAAGCAGAAGAAACAGTCACAGAAAAAATAGGAAGCACAAACTAAATAACATACAATTTATAACGAATATTATAAGCAAAAAAGCGCAAGCGTTAGGTGTCGTCGTAATCTTTCGACTGCCGGCCGGGCGGCCGCGAGGCGCAAGGAATGCGCAGGAGCGGGGCCGGCCGACCGGTTATTGCTTGAACAATAGCGCGCCGGGCGCAGCCGGCGAGCTTGTTCGCTATATACAAAATTATTGTGCGTCACAGTGTCCGCTCATTTTTATTCATTAGCAAATTACGTTAACAAAATTATATTTATCTAATTAAATAATTTTACTACACAAATATATATTATTATTAAATATTCTAAATTATTATACTTAACACATTATTGCATACTATTGAATATTATAAATTTCAATTATCAATATTGTATAAAATAACGGTCGTTGCCACAAACTGATGAAATAATAAAACTGTAAATAACTTTGAAACTAGGATATATTTGATTTACTATAAACTGATTAAACTAATGAGGACGCATGGTATGATTGATGACGGAATGCGAACTGAACGATGCAAAATAAATTATGAATTATACGTAAATTAGGTTAATAAAGAAACGCTGCGTCGGCAATGTACGCGCTTGCTCGTACAAAGCTGTATTTAAAATACACTTAATAAGCATGATCGCGCCTGTCCTCACAGTGGCAGTTCAAATAAGCTTAGTATTTGGCCCCGAAGTTTTGCCCGACAGCTTGCAGGTATATTATAGTAGTATATGATATATAATCACACTAATATTATAAAGGCGAAAGTTTGTGAGTATGTATGTTTGTTACTTCTTCACGTCTAAACGGCTGGAGCGATTTTAATAAAATTTGGTATAGAGTTAGCTGACACCCTGGATTAACACATAGGCTACTTTTTACTGCTGGATAATATCCCTAATAAACCGCAGGTAACACCGCGGGGTACAGCTAGTCATAGATAAATATCAGTTCTCTGACTGTAAGTTTTGTGGTTTTTGCTTTCGACATTTAAAGTCTGGCAAATAAATACTGCGAACAGAATGTGTCAGGCAGTATTAATTTCAAATTGTTTACAATAATCAGTCCCCAGACTGTAAGTAAAGTGATTTAATTTTTTTTTTACAACCAGTATTTATACAGCTAGGCAAACTTCTTAAGCAGCGACCAAAGACAAAGCAACCAATAGCAATTTTACATAAAAATACAAAAAGTCTCACTGCGCCAATATTTGTACTCATTACTTGATCTTGGAGGAGCTCGATGGCGCAGGTGGTTAGCGCGTTCGGCTGCGATCGTTGAACTTAAGCAACTTTCGCAGTGGTCGGTCGGGCTGGGTGACTAAAAATCTCGAGTTCCTCCGTGCTTCGAGAGGCATGTTAAGCCGTTGGTCCCGGCTGCATCTGCAGTCGTTAGAACCCGCCAATCAGCACTGGGCCCGCGTGGTGGGTCATGGCCCAATCTCCCTATTCCATCCATAGGAAAGGCCTGTGCCCCAGCAGTGGGGACATTAATAGGCTGACAGACAGAAAGACTTAATCTTGGGCAATGTATGTGGCCTCCGATTTGGTACAATTCTCTACTCTTGACCTTCAGTTCTGCGGGACACAGAGATGGAATTGCTCCAGGTAGCCCTGGAACCTTACTCACCAACAGAAAGAAAATACCACAAAAAGGTAATGTTTTTTTACTGCGGACTTCTGTAAGTTGTAGGTTAGGTACTTCCCCAGACGGGTGCTCCAATTCGAGCGGAAAATCCGCTATGCCCTATCTCTCTTAATGCTTGGATGGGGATGGGAACTTGGAATGGCTGATGGTAGCTAAAGCGATAGTTCTTAGAAATATAGTCTCGACTATGATTATTTTCCGTACTTATTATGTAAAACAACTGGCTAAAGATTATACGTATATGCCCTAGAACTATGGACGGAGTGGAAGTAATCCAACAACACGCAGATCTTGTAAAATATCACATAAGTACGTAGATACGGCTGAGCGTTACGCGTATGTAAAACAGATTTAAACATAAAAATGTTTATTAGTATGCGTAAACACTTTCATAATGGGTACAATACAATAGAAGTCAGAGAAGCGAAAAAATCATTTTTGTGACCTTCTATCTCAAATATCTCAGTTGCCTTGCACCCTACCATAACACACACCACACCCATTTTGACTTCTGACACGTTACTTCTTTATGTCAAAAAGAAGGGCAATGCAAATTAAAACGCTGTTATATAAAATAACGCGGTGTTAAAAGAGCGCCGCCACCAACTGTGTGAAGAATACTTTATGAGATCCACTGGTTTTATTTGAGAGCTTTCAAAAGAGGTCGTACCGTACTAGTGTTAACATCATCGGTCCTTACAAACAGAATAGTTCAAGTGCCTATTCGGTTCCCATCCACGTCATTCTAGAAGAAAGTTACACATCGTTCCCGAAGAGTAACTGAAAGCCCTAATTCCAATACATATCAGACACTTGTTCTACCTACACGATGGCTATATATTGGCATGCATTAATCATAACCATTCACCACATGTTGGCTAACGTGAAAAGCGGGTATTATAAAGGGATAAAAGGCCTCCGTTCTATATTTATTTATTTATTTATCTCTCACTCATCCCATTTTATCAGTGCTGCCATTTTAGCGCTTTGCGCGCTAGATCTTGCGCATTTTTGGTGTGGTTAGCGCCTATTTCAAAATTTTAGCGCCTAGCGGATAATCTGGCGCTTTTTCATTTATGTCGTTGTAGCACTCTATTACCGATTATTTACGGCCTCGGGAAACCCCTCTATTATTTTTTTATAGCAGAACTACACTTATCTGTCTTCTTGTGTTGTGACGCGTCAGAGAGGTATCGGTTTCATATATTTAGTACGGTTAGAACTATACTTGTGTATCGCGATGTTTCGACACCGTTCTCACTCTAACCGTACTACTAAATGTATGAAACCGATATAACTGTATGTTGGTTCACAACACAACACGATGGATAAGTAGTAATATTGCTGCCATTAGTTCATGGTTTTGTTTTCATTCATTCATGTTTAAACTTTGCTGGAAGTTATAAAGAAATCATGTAGTTATACATTCTGCGACAGACAGACAAAAAATACATGAATGGCCATAATGAAGCTGGCCCTATTTAAGCTATGGAAGATTATTTTTGAATTAAGATTAAATATATTTATTTTGACGTTTTGGTTGAATTTTGTCTGTTTTTTATTTAATAATAAAACTGAAATAAATTTAGCGCATAATCTAGCGCTTTTTTGAAGCACGTTTTTCTTGAAATCTAGCGCTTTTTATATCGTTTTAGCGCTCAGTCGGATTTTTGATCTGGCAGCTCTGCATTTTATCGATACAAGTATTCAATTCCGTAGAGTACGTCCATGATGTCCATTGTCACTGTCAAAGTCTGTCCATGACGTATTGTAATGTTTTGTTGATGTCAATTAATTTTCCGAACTTTCCCGCTACTGGAAAACTTTTTGTGATCCTAAGCTGAAAAATGTCTTCTGCCGACTTGAGCAGAATCCTTAAAGCTCTTGATGCAGTTAAACAAGATTATGTGTGTGGTGTTTGTTCCAAAATGTGCATAAAACCTGTTACTCTCAGCAAATGTTTCCACATTATTTGTGCTGAACATTTTGAGGGTCTGCAGGTCTGTCCAACGTGTGGTGCTTCATTAAAAGGTTGTACAATTTACGTTGATGACCGTCTAGGTAGTTGTGTGAACTCCGCCAAGGAATTGGACAAAATATTCGAGAATTTCAGACCTAAACAAACCAAGTCAAATAAAAGTGATACAACAGTCAAAACAAGTAGAAAACGCGGCAAAGCTAACGTTGACTCGAAATCGAAAGATGAAAATGATGAAAAGGAATCAAAACCATCCTCAGACATTAGTAACAAAGGTAAAAAAGCCGATTTGAATCATACTCTCTTGTCAACAACCAGCAGTATGAAAGTTAATAAATCAGCTGAAAAACGTAATAATAAAGGCGAAACTTTGCTTCATATATCATGTAGACTAGGTAAAGTAGACAAAATCACAGAATTGCTCAATGAGGGTGCTAATCCAAACACAAAGGACAATGCTGGCTGGACACCACTTCATGAAGTTGTCCAAAATGGCAGGTTAGATTTAGTAAAGTTGCTTTTGCAGTATAACACATTGATAGATGTTCCTGGACAAAGCAATGAGACACCATTGCATGAGGCTGTTAGATATGGCCACATTGATATTGCAGAAGAATTAGTTAAAAATGGTGCAAATATCAATGCCAAAAACTGTAAAGGAGAAACTCCTTTAGAGCTGGCAGTCGGTGAAATGAAAGAAAGATTAATAACTGCATCAGAAAACATTATTCATACACAAACTGTTAATATAACCCTCATTTCAAATCTGCAATCGCAATTAGATTTTGATGACATCAGAGTGTTTTGCATATCTCAGTATAGAACAGTACACAATAAGTTGAAATTGTTAACTAAACATCACTCTAATTTACATATTGAGCAAAAATTCACAAAAAAGGTTACACATTTGATAGTAGACACAGAGGAGGACCGACGTTGTCTATCAACCTTAGACATTCTACAAGGGATAGTTTACGGTGTATGGATTTTAACTACAGAATGGGTAACAAAGTCAACTGAAGATAAATTGAAGCAATTTGAGGAATATGAAATCACCGGAGTCGGTGCAAAGGAGTTCAATGGCCCCAAGAACTCCCGTTACAACAAATACAAGCAGTTGCCTGGCATTTTTGACGGATGCCATTTCTATCTGCATAATTTCTCCACAAAGTATGAGATAACAAAACACATTATAGTTACGAAAGCTATACTTACAAAGTTGATTTCTGACGCTGGTGGAATCATATTACGTAGGGTACCGAACCCAGAATCCATACCAGACTCTGAGAAGCTCGTCCCATATCACGCCGTTAAGGATGGAAAGCTGGCTAAGTGTTCACATTACATAATATTTAAGGACATTTATGAGCCAATGTATAACATGCAACATCTAAAAGCATTACCCATTGGTTGGCTCATAGAATGTATTGAGAAATATGAACTATGTGATCCAATCTCATATAGTTATGTCTAACAAAACATTCCATTACAATATTTTATTAAAAAGTAAACTGATCCATCACAATTTACATTACAAATGTTATTTTTTTGTTTTGACATGTGTATAGTTAAGCAGTGTTAAGCAAAAAGTAAGGGGGCATTTTTGAAGCATCTAAAAATGAGTTCTGTGGACCAATGTTAAAGTATGATTGTGAAAGCAGAAAGCAGCTATTGTTAATTTTTGGAATCAAACAGAATCTCTCTAACATGAGTTTGTAGAACAAATTTTCACTTGGTTCGTAATTGCCTGCTGGTCGCTTTCTGCTTAACAATGCTCAGTTATTGCCTGGCCAGTACAATTATGTTACAATTATGCTCTCTATTATCCATTAAGTTAATATAAATATCACCTGTTTACATATTAAACATTAACTTAACTGTTACTTGCAAATATACAACTAGGTATGTACTTTTCATGTGATTATGAAATCACTTTTAGTTTTAATAATTATTTAGCCTTATTGTTTAATTCAATTTAGTTATCAACAAAAATTATGTTGTAAGTATGGTATGGTGAAATAGCATTTTTTAATCTACATTAATATTAATAAATCTTTAAATAATATTTTGTGATTTGTTGAATCCTCAATTTGTTTTAAAATAAATATAATATAAAATAAAATAAAATTTAAACAGATACAGGATTCAACATTTGCTCAATATGTATGAACATAATGACAATGCTATGCAAATTTAATGATTAATTAATTATATTAAATATTATTTACCTAATTGGTCTTATTAAAAATGACGTTAATATTTTTTGATCAGTCTCTTATTACTTATTTTTAATATCATTATCTCCATTAAAAATTTACCTTTTAACATTGATGCTCTGAATTCTGAAAGCAAGTAGTATTAAAAGTAAAGTAGTAGTAAATACAAAATGCCGGTTGTAAATTTGATTTACCTCCCATGTGAGGTACTTAAATGAGTTCGTACTATTTTGTATGGAAGCTGGCCTATCTATCGACACCTGCTAAAGTTACCATCCGGACTCTTAGACTATAGTCGGTCGGTATGGTCCTGACTTTGTCTGGATTTTGAAATTACGTTGAATATGAATAATAAAAGTACATATTGATTTAAATATCATACCATTGTAACTAAGTGAGTAATGGTACCTTTTTGTGACTAAAAAGCCCGGACTTTTTACAAAATGTCAGGACTTTTGAAATTCCTAAATGTTAACTCTGAGCCCACAGCCACTTTTGTCGTGGTTGTGTGTGTATGGACAAATACATATACATACATTATGGGATATTCGTACAGTCAGATACATACAGGGTGTAAAAAAACCTATGACAAAGACTTAAACTACGCATTCTGTACACCCAAAACAAAATATTATACGTGGGTTTTTTTTTATTTTTAAGTTAAAAAATACATTTTTTTTCCAGTACGCGATGTACAGCGCGGCGCGCTACTGTGGCGCTACGCAAAGAATGTGCCTGTGTGTGTATATGTGTGCGTGTGTCTAAGTGCGTCGATAAAAAAAAATCTAAATAACGTTTTGAAAATATTAATTTATAAATCTTGAAAAAAATGTTTTGGTTTTGACCTTCAATATCTCCATAACCATATATTTCCCTAGTATGGTCCAGAACAAAAAATTGATCGTCATGATGTAGAAAATACGTGGCCTTCGACTTCGTTATCGGTATTTTTACACCCTGTATGTCGATCGTCCAGTACCCTTAGCACGAACCAATATCGAATTCAAATTGTTTAATTGTACGCATTGGCAAATACCGAGCGACGGGGACAACAGCAGTTAACGCTGAAAATCTAATATATAAAATTCTCGTGCCACGGTGTGCGTAATTGAACTACTCCGAAACGGCTCGACCGATTTTCGTGAAATTTTCTATGCATATTCAATAGGTCTGAGGATCGGACATCTATTTTTCATCCCCATAAATGTTAAGAGTGATCCAACCTTAACTTTTTTGAACAATTTTTTTTGATACATGATACCACAGTACTGTATGTACCCTTAATTTTCACCCTTCTACCACCAACCCCAATTTTTTTGTGGTAGTACGAAGTTCACTGGGACAGCTAGTTACCTATAAAAAATGCAAAACTCAAGGTTTGGCTCTCGACGATTTCCTTCTCGAAAATTAAATACACACATCAAAAGTGTCTAGGGATCAAGCATTTTTATGCGGATTTCTTGAGATTGAGATGTGGCTTTGTAATAAATTTATGATTTTATAAATTTATATGGATCCTTTTTGGTGCATTTCATAATTTGAATCAGGAACTGTGAATCAAATTCGAGTAAAAGATGAAAATCAGCTGTCAATTTTTTCCCTATAAAAACATACAACGCATTGAAGACATTATTAGTGCTACTGTTTCCCTACTACTGATTAAAACCAACGTTATTATGGAGCGGCGACGTCATTTAAGCAGGGAAGAAATGCTCAGAGCCGTGGGAATGATAGAAGCTGGTTCCCGGCAACGTACTGTGGCTTTAGCTCTGAATACAAGTCAGAGTGTTATCAGTCGACTTTGGACACGATACCGAAGCACTGGTACCGTGGCTGAGCGCCATGGAGGACGGTATCGCTGCACCACACGGAGACAAGACCGATACATTCAAATCTTAACTCGAAGAGCTCCAACAATAACCGCCGTTAGCCGTGAGGCTTCATCACTGTTCAGGGAACTTAATTAGCGACCAAACAGTCAGAAACCGCTGCATGAAGTGAACCTTCATTCCCGAAGACCGCTACGGGTACCACCTATAGCAATGCACAATCGTAGGATTCGATATCAATGGGCTCTTGAACACAGAAATTGGGCAGAAGAACAATGGCGTTTCGTGTGCTTTTCTGATGAGTCTCGTTTTGGTATGAGACCGGATACAAGACGTATACGACACTGGAGAACCCCTGGACGCCAACAGCGATTAAAATCCTGCCAGGAAGTCCATCCTTATAGTGGTGGAACCATCATGGTATGGGCGGGTATTTGGATCGGCGGAAGAACTGAGTTGATTTGGATCAGAGGCAACCTCAACGCTCAAATTTATGCTGAGACGATTGTATCAGACGTCATCGTTCTTCTACAAGTGCAAATCGGTCCTTTATTTCAGTTAATGCATGATAATGCACGACCGCACACCGCAAGAGTTGTAAGACAGACTCTCGCCGCAGCTAACATCAATGTCCTGCCCTGGCCTGCTCAGTCGCCAGACTTGAACCCGATTGAGCATGCATGGGATATGCTACAGAGAAGAGCTCTGCCGAATATGGAGGGTATCCAGTCGCAAGAAGACCTTTTTTTGTTGTTGCAACGAACATGGGCGGCCATTCCACAGCGTGATTTGGATGAACTCATTTTGAGTATGCCAAACCGATGTTCTTGTGTTGTTAGTGTTCGCGGTAGAAATACGGATTATTAATTGTTTAAGTTACCCAATAAAATTTTAGAGAAAACTGTTATTTCAGTCTTTTTTTCGAACTTTTGTGTTAGTGGTTCAAATGTCAAAAATCCCTTTATTAGGAAAATGGCAAATTTCTTTATTAATGCAAAGGTGACTTGGTTTATCGTTACTGTGACAAACGAAAACACTTGAATCCTTAAAGAAAATTTTAATTAATATCAATCAGGAGAAAAGTTATTGCAAAAATATATGTTGATCCCTAGACACTTTTGATGTGTGTATATTATGTGAAAGAAATTTTACACAAAGAATAATATATAAAGTAGTTATACTATGTTTTGATCTTTTTGTTAATTTTTGGCCTTTTACGAGGGCTTCTTGGTTTTTTGAAACACATGTTATCGAAAAAAGGAAGGCAGGGGCATAGAATGAGTAAAATTATATTTTATGAATGAAAATCAATTCTTTAGTGGTAAAAATTAAAGGGGGAATCAGTCGAGAACGTTTGTTTGGGAAATCATTGCTCGCCTCCCTTCTTAAGTATTAGTAGTTGTTCATGAAATAAGTTAACGCCCTTTTATCTACTTATATTTTTTATTAATCAATCAATCAATCCATTCTTACCAACGTAGTAGAAGATTATTGATGCCCTTTTTGAAAAAATCTGCTGGACGGGAGGCAACAAATTCTTCAAAGGCATTTTGAACTGCCTCTCGGTTATTGAAATTATTTATCCAAATTCTGGAAAAAAGTAAATGTCGGTAGGGACAAGGTCTCGGCAGGAGCAGCGCCTCCGCTGCTACTGCACGACAACGCGCGACCTCATACTGCACAGTACAGTACTGGTGAATACGGTAGAGGACGGAGAAACCAGTATGAACTGGTGAGTACTGTAGATGACGGAGAAACCAGTACGAACTGGTAAGTACAGTAGATGCCGGAGAAATTCCAACCACAGCTCAAAGGCTGCTGTGCGGCATGATGTCGCGCGTTGTCGTACAAGAGCAGCGGAGCCGAACGATTGACAAAACTTGTTAGAGATGTGCGAGCTTCTCCATCATTGTGTTCAGTTCTTCACAGTCCACATCTGCAGTAATGCTCATCCCGTTTGGTAAGAATATGTGGTGAATTACACCGGCGCTATACCAAAACAGTGACCATAATTTTTTGGGGGCCCGATTTCGTTTAGGGAACTGTTTAAATGCTGAACCACAATGTAACCAGCGTGCTGAGCGCTTGCGATTGTCGAACAGAAACCATTTTGTGTCGCAAGTATCAATGCGATTCAATATGGCTTCGTTTGTGTGCCTGTTGAGCAGTGCAAGGCTCGACTCGACTCGTAGTTCGCACTGGCGACCATTCAATTCGTGGGGTACACATTTGTCAAACTTTTTTACCTTGCTAATTCGACGCAAATGGACCAATATTGTTTTAAAGCTAACATTGAAAGCTACTGTTAATTCAGCTGTAGCTTGAGAATCATCAGCTTCCACAATCGCCTTTTATTCGTCATTGTCGACTAAACGTTTTCGCTCAACCACGGGGTTCATTTCTTAGGTCAAAATTTACAAAACGTAAGGTAAAAACCAGTATACATACCACTCCACCGCGGAGGACATCATTAAGCCGTTGTTTTTTTATGTTAAGGCGCTTTGCAGACGACGGGGCGGGGCGGGCCGGTCAATTTCGCCGCGAACGATAGCACAAAGTGAATCCTATATTACAAACGCACACAGAGGGCAAAAAGACCGCGCCGCAGGTGCCCGGCGGGCACTGGCGGCGCGGCATGCCCGCCGTGGATCATACAAACCAGTTTAAATGCAGTAACGTAGACGGCGGCGCGGGGCGGTTAGCTCAGTCCGCGCCACGCGCTTTTTAGTGATGGACTATTCACTAGAACGAACGGCCTGAACTGACTGCCTCTGCCCGTCGTGTGCTTTGTGTACGCGGCGCGGGCAGCCGCAGACATCGACGGGCAGACGCGGTTTTTATTGCTTCGCGGACAAAATGCCCGCCCCGCCCCGTCGTCTGCAAAACGCCTAAAAGGTTGGCAAACAAACTTATGGCCCGCCTGACGGTAAGCGTCCACAAAAGCCTATAGACTCTCGCGATACCAAAAATATATAGGCTCCACGGGGTAGCGGTTTGGGTCAGTGCAAGCAACTCACACCGTCGCCTACTCTGACCCAAACCCCTACCCCGTGGAGCCCTGCCCCCCTAGCATGAGCACCGCGAAATGATATAAAACGTGTTTTTATCACGTTCCACTGTCAAAAATTACTTTTGGAGTTTGACAGGCGCTTTGCAGACGACGGGGCGGGGCGGGCCGATCAATTTCGACGCGAATAATAGCACAAAGTGAATCCTATACTTCAAACGCACACAGAGGGCAAAAAGACCGCGCCGCAGGTGCCCGGCGGGCACTGGCGGCGCGGCATGTCTGCGGCTGCCCGCCGTGGATCATACAAACCAGTTTATATGCAGTAACGCAGACGGCGGCGCGGGGCGGTCAGCTCAGTCCGCGCCACGCGCTTTTTAGTGATGTGGACTATTCACTAGAACGAACGTCTTGAACTGACCGCCTCTGCCCGTCGTGTGCTTTGTGTACGCGGCGCGGGCAGCCGCAGACATCGACGGGCAGACGCGGTCTTTATTGCTTCGCGGATAAAAAGCCCACCCCGCCCCGTCGTCTGCAAAGCGCCTTAGGCCAGCGGTACCACTTCATAGTGGCCACGGGTCGGCTGGGATGACGACGAAGAAGTTTCGTGTACATCCGTCCCAGAAAGGTAAGAGGGAATAATTTGTAGGGAGTCACTTACAGCTAAGTTTATCAAACTTCATAGTAAGTACTTACTAAATAAAACAATGTTGATTTTCAAACTTTTATTTAGTAATAAAAATAATATTTTATTATCTATATACAATCTCATTCATAAATAAAAGATAAGAACACATATTCATAATTACAATTAGGAACATGGTGTAATAATTTCGCCACCTTTTAGAAAATATTATTTTTTGTTAAAATTTCAAATGGCTTTAATTAAAATAAAAACTAACCTTAATATATGAATATAATAACATTCGACAATACAATATAAATTGCCCTTAACTCAGTTAAAAAGTACTAAATTAGTCAGATAAGAACTACTGCATAAACCTGAATCACCCAGACCCGGGACAAAGCTAATTATAGATTAATTTTTCATCTGGCTAACTTTGTAGCTAGAGATCAGTACCCTTAGGGATACTGTACCTCTAGCAAGAACCAATATCGAATTCGAATAGTTTGCGAGTCCCAAATGTCATTGTCAAATTTTGTATGGAAACCTGAACAGCAGCGCCGAGAACGGACGTAACGAGAACTCAAAATCAGTACACATTTGACAATGACATTTCGGACTTGCAAACTATTCGAATTCGATATTGGTTCGTGCTAAGGGTACTGGTGGCAATCTAAGTAAGTATATGATTTTATCGTCGTTTATATCGAGACGCAAGTTAGTTTGCATTGCACCTATAATAACTAGAAAAAATACATGGCGAACTTAAGTAGTTCTGATTATTTTTAAAATAATTTCGAAATTGTAAAGAAAAAGAAATGGCAAAAAATATAGAGACCTTTTAGTTTTGTAACTTTGTAGGGCTATAAAGCCAATGTATAAGATTAATCCTATTAGAAATTTATTGGATTCGATTAATAAGACGTAGGACTACATAAATAAACAGGTTTCAGAACGATAAATATAGAAATATGCCGAAAAATAGGATAAACCGATTTGTATGAAACGCGCTAAAGACTCACCCCACGCAACGCACGAGAAGCGCGTGGTGGGGAAAACAGACTTGTAGCGGGCGGAGGCCCATGGAGGGGCGTGATATAAATATCGCGGACACCATTTTTTGCGCGCCACAGCTAAATTATAATGATTTCGGCCGCGCAAATGCGCTAAAAATATGCTAATTTGTAAGCCCCACGTATATACCTATAGATTTAAGCTACGGATACTATATATCATAAATAAATTAATAATAAAGTAAAGCGGGGGTGAGGTAATGGATCGCTGGCCAGCTAAGCACGCGCATATAAAAGTCGGGCCGAAACAGGGTCGTACATGTGGACCGCATCAGCCAAAAGTATTTTTCGACTTAATCGCGCACGGATCCGTTCTATAAACAAAGTGTTCCCGGCTTATTGTGTAATAAGTGCAGGCGAACCTTGCCTGGCCGCTCCTTGGCCAGCGGGGACCGCTCTCCCTCTTAGCCGCGGAGCAGCACGATCGCTGGCTCACCCGACGTCCCTACAGTCGTCGAAACACCATTCGGCTCCGCCACGAATACCGTCGACAAGCACCGATGACGCTTTCGCAACACCACCTACCCTCAAACCACATCACAACCTACCCTCCGCAAGTCCCGCTGCAACAACCGAGGGAGCCGCCAGCGAATCCTCCAGGATGGAGGGGACACCAACGCGTAGTGCCAAATATGAATTGACGCAGTGATGGTGACTCGGATCATCCAATCCGGCCTAATGTCGGATAGGATGAATCGTTGGTTGGCGACTTATGCTCGGCTGTTGGAGCGAGAATCCGTTAAAACTCCTTGCGTATGCCCCGCAGACCAGCTGGCGATGCAGGCGCTCCAGGCGATATGTAGCTCGCCTGTTGAGGTGCCGCACCCGGACGTCCCCTGGTACGGCCCGTATGGAAAACGACCACGAGAAACGCCGCCCGAAACTCCGGTCAAGCGAGTATGCCGCCCGCGTGATCCGCGACTGCACCGCTCTCTCAGTAGCGACGACAGAACCAACACGCCGCCGCTGCCAACCACGCCGGCATCGAGAGACATGGCATCCACACCCGTGCCACCGCAACCCCAACGGGTTCACCCAGCAAGACGCATCAAAACATCTCTCCCCCAATCGACGGAAAAAAAACATCATCAGAAAAAGGGTATGGTAACGTAGCTATACCGTGCAGAGAGCCGCAGGTACAATTTTCGAACTACCCTCCAATAACTTATTCACAGACAGTGACCACGCCCTCGGCCCCACCCACAAAAGCTCCCGAAAGCTCGTCTACGATGCCAGCCCACCTGTCGTCCAAGCAAACGACATCGATTCCGGCACCCAAACCAGACGCAACACAACAGCCCCCTAGAGAACGCAAGTATCCCCCTATCGTAGTTGAGAAGATGCCCGACTGAATCAGCCACTTCAAGGCCCTGCACGAACAGCTGGGGCACCCTCAGAATGCCAGGCCCTTTGGGATGGGAGTGCGCTTTTCCCCCGCGGATGGAGAGGAGTAACGACTCGTACAGGCGTACTTTAGACAAAGTACAAGCCGGTGTGAGTTGGTACTCCTATGCCCTCCCGGAAGGACGGAGCGTGAAGGTAGCGATTAGAGACCTACCATACCACACAGAACCGACCCAGATCCAAGAAGCCCAAACCTCTAAGGGCTTCACCGTTAGGCACGCAAAACGTATCCGGGCACGAGCAGGACGACCCGGATGCATTTTCTTCGCCTCCCTGCAACAGACACCAGGTATCATACCTAATATTTATAATGTAACAGAATTGCTTAGCATGTATTGAGGCGTGGAGAGAGGACCGGCGCAGTGCCACAGGCCAGGGCTTTCGGCACTCTTCAAAAGGATGCCACCGGCCCTTGGCCTGCGTCCGTTGTGGTGAGCCCCACGCAGCAGCTGACTGCCCCCGTCCGCGCTCCGAACCTGCTACCTGCGCGAACTGTGGAGGCGACTCCTTTTATGGACTTGCGAACCACACGTCGTGCCCAGCCCACAAAAAAAGAAGCCCGGAACAAAAAAGCGAGTACGGTGGCCAAGACTGGCCCCGTCTCCGATCCCATTACGAGAGCGGCAATAATACCAAATGAGGTGAGTGAGACAGCTCCCTCGTCATTAATGGCCCCCGCAAATGCGCCGAAACCAAGACTACCCCCGACGACGACGGATAATAAATCTACCCGCCGCAGGAAGAGAAAACGTGGAAAGGGCACCACCCTCTTCGAACCCGCCCCCAAAATGGCGGCAGCGGACTCAAACCCCGCCCCCATAACTGATCAAACACCCGGACTGAACACTGAACCTGCTTGGATCCAGCAGTTCACTAAAATGATGACAACTCAACTCCAATTATGCTCCGCTCAAACGACGGTCCAAAATTACGGACACTGAAGGTGGTGCACTGGAATGCACAGTCGCTCACAGGTAAGCGTCGCTTGCTTGCGCATTTTTTGCGCGAGCACGACGTTGACATAGCACTTGTGAGCGAAACTTTACTCAAACCGGGCACTAACTTCAGTGTTCGTAATTACTTCACATATAGGCAAGATGAGTCCACGCCAGAAGGGCGCACCTACAGAGGCCTGATGACACTGGTACATAGGAGAGTCATTCACCAGCCGGCCCCAATAGCGAAGCTAAAGTCCCTGTACGCTCTCGGGATTGACGTCAAGCTTCAAGGTATGGTAACCCGATTTTATGCAGCATATAGACCACTCCACCAGCCCTTAAGACGTCAAGGAGCTCCGTGATCTCTTGCACCCTACCATCATAGCCGGAGACCTCAACGCCAAGCATACGAGCTGGAATTCTCTCACCAATAACACAACAGGGCAGGTGCTATACAACGATGCTCACACCCACAATTACGCAGTTCTCGGACCGGATGAGCCAACCAGGTACGATGCGGACGGGAATGGAGATACTCTTGATGTGGAGATACAGGGGCGTGGACGATACCATCACTCAAGAAGTGATGATGGACCTCCCTTCCGACCATCGGACCAATAAATACTACTCGAAATTAACTAACTACTCTCGAAGGTGAATATTCCCCCCCCCCCCCCTGCGGGGTGGCGTATGAAGACATTAGTAGCACCGTATGAAGGCCCATACCCAGTATTGGAAAAACACGAAATATATTGAAACCAGCGTTCATAGCTCAGGAGGGTAACGACATCAAAAACGCATCGCCTGCAAAAAAATGGACTGAATCGCTGAACCGCGCGGCGATAACGCGTATTCGACACCGACGTATGTTACTAAGTCAGGTCGAATAGTCCAACCCATCGTCCGTTTTTGCAATTCATTAATTTTCTAAATTACAGCATGTAATTAATAAAATAGCGAACAAAACCAACTACAACATGGGCAGCTACTCATCCAAAGACATCGTGAACTCCCAGAGCCAAGCAGCCACAAGTGGCGGGAACGCAGAAACTTCAAGCAGCATCACGAACAGAAATATCGTGAACTCCCAGGGCCAAGTAGCCGGAAGTGGCGGGAACGCAGAAACGTCAAGCCGAATCACAAGAACAGAAATATCGTGAACTCCCAGGGCCAAGCAGCCGCAAGTGGTGGAAACGCAGAATCGTTAAGCAGCATCACAAGAACAGAAATATCGTGAACTCCCAGAGCCAAGCAGCCGCAAGTGGCGGGAACGCAGAAACGTCAAGCAGCATCAAAAGAACAGAAATACTCCCAGGGCCAGGCAGTAGCAAGTGGCGGGAACGCAGAAACGTCAAACAGAATCACAGGAACAGAAATATCGTGAACTCTCAGGGCCAAGCAGCCACAAGTGGCGGGAATGCAGAAACGTCAAGCAGAATCACAAGAACAGAAATATCGTGGACTCCCAGGGCCAAGCAGCCGCAAGTGGCGGGAACGCAGAAACGTCAAGCAGCGTCACAAGAACAGAAATGCTGATGGATGTAGTATGCCTCATTTTTCTTCTCGTGCTGGCATACTGCGTACTGAAGCGATGCATCGCACATGGCGGGAAGCGTAAGACGTACCATTTATATGAAAATCTCAATAAAATATTCAATGTCCGTAATTATATAGTTTTATTTCTCGATTTATAAACTAAAACACATTTAACCAGTTATGAAAATGAGAAAAATTAATTCACAACCAGTTCGGAAAAAGTGAATAAAAAATCTTCTTTCATAGATGATAAAAAAATGGACTATAGGCATCCAGATGCGCGAGGGTCCTAGTGGACGGACAGATGGTACAAATAAAGCCGTACACGAGGTATTTCGGGTTCTAGAACGATGAAGTGACGGAAGAATCGACAACCATTTCAAACTACTGGCCCTTGAGATTTCTGATGTCATCTTTCAATTGACGTCACTGTATGAAACAAAACAGGGAGAAAACAATAGCCCTTGCTGAGTTTCTTGCCGGTTCTTCTCAGTACAAGGTCTCCCGTCGTAGATTTACGAACCGATGGCGTAGCGTTGACTTTCACAAGAGCTTGTAACAGTCTAGACTGAATAAATGAGTTTGAATTGGTGTTTGCGGCAACAGTACTGGGAATGTTGTTGCCATATGGCGCAACTTCACTTGGTCGCTAGCCAGAATACGAGTACCAATGGAATTCGGGTAAAAGACTCAGTGTAAATGAAAGGAGTCAAGTACGCCCGTATTCGGATAGATTTCCTTTTGTTTATCCGACACCGTTTTCCCGTGTTAATATTGCTTCGGGTGCCCGAATTCGAGTAATATCTTTCGTGCTCCCGAATACGAGCTAACGACATGTACCCTAGCTGTCGAAGGCTATTTGTGGGGGTTATAAGATGTATGGCACTGTACGGTACGTCGGCGTGGGCCAATATCCATAGCGCGGTCAATAGAGCGGAGCTCAGAAGACCTCAAAGGCTGGTGGCTATAAAGGCGGTCTTCAACGTGTATTTTACTCTAAATAATCAACGAAAACATATCAACTTTCAACAAAACAGTCTACACAAAACTTTTGTTTCACTACCAACAATATTAATTAACCTAGATACACCAACACGAACAAAATCGTGCCCGAAACCTGTCCAAAAGGTACATTGGACGATCCACGGAGCTCCGTAAGATGATCGCGTAGTCAAAAACAATATAAGGCATTATTTAAACATTAAAAAAGTCACCTTTAATGCATACTGTATGAGGTCTTAATTAAAACGCATGCGTCAAAGAGTTATGACAGTTTGAAATGCAAGCTCGTAAATTTTTACGACTTATTACTATATGCGGAAGAATATAGACCTTATTTCTTTGACTCTACGCGCAATTCTGAATGCGCTGTTAGAAATATAGCAGGTACTAACCGCGAGGAAAAAAGACGGCTATATAATCGACCATGCATTTGAATATCACAAATATTTTCTATTAAATCAGTTTATAACGACGATATTAGTATTAGAACAAAATTTGCTTCAAATGCGTTAAATTAACAAACATTGATTAGATACCTGTCGAAAAAACGACATTTTACATACTACAAGTATTATTTTTTTGCATTATTTCACGGAGCTCTGCGGCATCTTGACTTTTCAACTATCCGCGCGTGACTGTGAACCAAGAAGTGCTTGAGTCGTGTTCAAGCACTTCTTGATTGGGACACATTTTGAGCGCTCGTGGTGTATCTAGGGTGTTTAATATCGTTATTCACTACACACATTTGTTTGCATCAACAAAGTTTTTGCTTTCCAAGACCGATCCGCGCGGGGATGATTTGTGTACAACACGTACACGTACACGTACACGAGGGGCAGGGTATTGTTTAATTTTTTTTTAGTTCCATTCTTCCCTATTGGGAAAGGCAAAGCCATGCGGCCATCGTTTTATTTTTGTATTAATTTTACTTTTTTACGTTAGAATGCGGGTGTGACGCATTCTTATGTTTCTTGGAGTGTTTGGCACGAAATGTATCGAGTGAGCTTTCTCGACAAGCTTCTGTGAAATAGTCAACACTATAATAAAGTTCTCACATCCACTTGACCGATATAGCGAATATTTTAAAGATTCCGTTAATTCTATTCTAACACAAAATCACACCTTTATTTCGCAATATCCACTATGAACGAATTTAAAGAATAATTAAAATATGACACCAACCGCACTCGATGAAATCACACCAAAAACCCGGTATTGTTTCATATTTTTTTTATTTGGGATTCTCCCTTTTCGGGGAAGGCAAAGGGAACAATGCCCATACAGCCAAGTCTTAAGTTATTTGAATTTCTTTTTTACATTAGAATGTTGGTGTGACTCATTCTTATGTTACTTGGAGTGTTTGGCACGAAATGTATCGAGTCAGCTTTCTCGACAAGCTTCTGTGAAGTAGTCAACACTATAATAAAGTTCTCACATCCACTTGACCGATATAGCGAATATTTTAAAGATTCCGTTAATTCTTGTTCCGTTAAGTCTATTCTAACACAAAATCACACCAAATTTATTTCGCAATATCCACTATGAACGAATTTAAAGAATAATAAAAATATGACACCAACCGCACTCAATGAAATCACGCCAAAAACTCGGTATTGTTTCATATTTTTTTTATTTAGGATTCTCCCTTTTCGGGGAAGGCAAAGGGAACAATGCCCATACAGCCAAGTCTTAAGTTATTTGAATCTTCTTTTTTTACATTAGAATGTTGGTGTGACTCATTCTAATGTTACTCGGAGTGTTTGGCACGAAATGTATCGAGTTGGCTCGATTGTATTGGTTTCAAATGTATCTGTGAGGTCACAGAAGCTTATCGGAACTACCTAGTCAACACTACAATAAAGTTCTTACGTCCACTTGACCGGAATAGAGTATATTTTAAAGATTCCACTAATTCTTCAGTTGCGCAGACGATTGTAACACAAAATCACACCAATTTTATTTCGCATTATCCACTATGAACGAATTTCAAGAATAATTAATATATGACACCAACACACACACACACACACACACACACACACACGCACACTATGAAATCCCGCCAAAAACCCGGTATTGTTTCATCGGCCATTTTTTTGACTACTCGATAGAATTTAAAATGCAGCTTTTCACGGACTTTTTAATTTTGACATAAAATGTTTCTATCACTGATAGTGCTGGCACTACGCTTGGCTATTCGTATCTACTATTTGTAGACTTGACAACAGTCTGTCCTTATGATGATTTTTTAAACAACGAAAAGGACAGACTGTAATCTAGTTTACAAATAGCAAACACGAATAGCCAAGTGAAGTGCCGGCATTGTGTTAACAAAATGCTTAGTTTTCGTATTTAAGTAACAAGTAAAAGTTATCTTACACATTACAATATGTTACATGATGTTTCATTTATTTATTTATATGCCTACCTAACTAAATCTAAGAAAATCCTGGATTATATCCGGAATAATATTTATGTTCTAAATAAGAGATCAGACTAATTTCTTGTAAACAAACAACAAAATATTCCGAAATAATTTCATTAAAATCTAAGACTATAAGCTATTGAAAACCATCCGGGAATCAATAGAATTTTCGGAAGATGGCTTGCGAAACATATTTAATATTTCAAAGAGTTTCTGAAAATTTCCGTATAATTTCCGAATGTTGCCCGATTTTTTTTTTAAGTTTTCGGAATTTTTCCGATTTTTTCCGGAATGGTTTGCTCACTAGTGTGGGATGGAATGGCCGCGTAGTGGCGGAGCGGACTGCATGTGTCAGGTGTCGAAGCTGCGAGGCATATATCTGCGGTAAACGAAATAACAACCTAAATAAATAAATATTAATTACACTCACACCAATTAGATTAAATAACCACAAATACTATTGTAAAGGATAGAAAAACTCTAGGGATCCTTAATGAAAAAAATCCTAGGGATTTTGCGAAAACGCGGATAATTAGACAATGACGATGACATTTCTCAATCTTACTGAAAAAATATAGGATTTTTACTTAAATATGACATCAGTGTAGCCTTGTCATTCTTTAAACAAAATGAAAGAGAGAGACTGATGTTAAATTAAGTTTTAAGTTTAGAGAATAATGCCAGAATCGACTCCAATGGCGATAACATTTCTCAATCTTACTGAAAAAATAAAGGATTTTTACTTAAATTTGACATAAGTTTTAAGTTTAGAGAATCATGCCAGAAACGACACCAATGGCAATGACATTGCTCAATCTTACTGAAAAAGATAGGATTAGGAAGAAAGATAGGAGTATTATTACTATCTGTTTTCCCGGACCAATATAATCTAGACATCTTCAAGGCCAGGGTGAACTGGTATCTTCTAGAAAGGCGTGTACCATCCCAGGCCTCATCATCGCTTTCCATCAGGCGAGATTGTGGTCAAACGCCTTGCCTATTAAACATAAAAAAAAAAACAAAAAAAAGCACACCTGTATATATTAAAGTTTATACTCACTGCACACTCATATCATGTACTCTGAACACCGTGTATCGATGGTTCTTGAACACTGGGTAGAAATGGTCTACTCTCGTAGTGTCCAGCACTCGGCATAACGATGGTCGGTCGGATAGATCCGGCCGCTCCTTGTCCCATATAGACTCGTATGTGCAATTCAAACTGGAAGAGGGGATAAATCTAAATATATACAGGATGGTCCAACTAGTGACATCAACATTTTTTTTAGATTCCTCGCAGCTGGGGGTATCCGAAAATACCCCATGTATGTTCCGCGATTTTTCTTAGTTTTCGAATTATAATTATATATTTTTTTTTGTGTATTTTTAAAGATTTCTGCCAGCGAGGTTTCAAAAATTCTTTACTTTTTGCGTAGTAGGTATTTTGCAGTCTTTTTTTGTGACATAATTGTCTTGAATGTTGTTTTAATAATATATGTTACTAGTGGCCCGCCCTAGCTTCGCTTCGGTGTAAAGCTGTAGTGTAGACTATAGTTTTTGTTTTCAGGCTTGTATTATACACAATGACATTCTTCTAATACCCAATTACAATAGGCACGCGCCGCCAAGCCCGGTAGCGTCGGAACCGCTATGTCCCAGAATTTTAAATTTGTAATATCTTCGAAAATATTCATTTAAATTATATGCCTTAAAGGGCCAAATTGTTCTATATTAAATGCACAATGTATTTAAGGTACTTAATTGGATAAGGATGAATGTTATATTGCTTAAAATCGCTTCGTAAATAATCTATTATTTCTCGTAAAAAGTATAGGATAAAAATTGGTTATTGTGGGTTATCCTTAAGAGATAGACATATATCATCGCGGACTTTTTGTAGACCTTTTTAAGGTGTATAATACTGTAGTACATTATTTTGATCTATCTCGTGGGGTTCAGCCAGCGTTTGCAATGTAAGCGCAAAAATGTGTTTATTTACGACCTTACATTAAAAACCTCTAAAATTATCAGTGTTTCTCTACTATATTATGCATGTATTATACATATAAACCTTCCTCTTGAATCACTCTATCTATTAAAAAACTGCATCAAAATCCGTTGCGTAGTTTCAAAGATTTAAGCATACAAAGGGACATAGGGACAGAGAAAGCGACTTTGTTTTATACTATGTAGTGAAGAATGCGAACTTCGTACCGCCATAAAAAAATAGGGGTTGGCAGCAGAAGGGTGAAAATTTAGGGTTGTATGGTTTTGGTATGATGTATTATAGCATGGTGTATATAAAAAAAAATCAAAAAAAATATTTTTTTAAATATTACAGGGGATGAAAAATAGATGTTATCCGATTCTCAGACCTACTGAATATGCACATAAAATTTCACGAAAATCGGTCGAAATAAACAATTGAGAAAAATGCGTGGAAGACAGAAAAAAACAACAATTTCATTGTCACATATTAACTGTTCTACCTACTGTGCCCCTAGCACGAACCAATATCGAGTTTGTATCGTTTACAAGTACGAAATGTCATTGTAAAATTTTGTTCAGAAACTTGAACAGCAAAAAATCAGTACACATTTGACAATGACATTTCGGACTGTCCTGTGAAACATTTGATGTTCGTTTTAATTTATTTTGATTCGGTTGTAAAATCGATTAAAATATTCATCGGCTAGTTAGGCTGTACGAAGTACGTCAGATCAGCTAGTAGAAAATAAATATTTCCAACACTCACACCAATTTATTAGCCTAGCTCCAAAGTAAGCACTGTAAGGCTTGTTGGATACTTGTGTTACGGATAGAATACATACACTGATACAAATATATAAATATATATATCTAGAAATACATAATGAACATCAATGACATATAGGGTGAAATTGAATGTTTCTATGAAACTTCGTGAGATTGTTGGGTTATGTGTATAGAGTATGCCTGTCTTTTTTCGGATTTTTTTGAAGTATATTTTTTTCATGTATTTATTTATAATTTGTGTATTTTTATGTCCTTTCCTCGTTTTGAGTAGTTATTCATTTTAAACAAACAAACTTACATATCCAGTGAAAAACAACTAATAAATAAGCACTTCTAAAAAACGGAAAAACATTGAAATTCCACCGCGGGTCAACGACCGACCGCGCCCGCCAGCCGTTGAGTAAGTAGCTACCTAACTCTAACCAGAGCTCAACTGACTCGTTTGATACCACACAATAGGTACAATAAAATCGTCTTAGATGCCTTTATTGAAATTGAAATAATAAGCACATGTGTCATCTTTTCTTAAGCAGAGAAAAACTTTAAAAGCTAATAATAATTTTGTCACGATTGGAAATAGGCAAATGTTAAACAAAAAGAAATACTTATTGCTTAATACCCCAAGAATGAAATTTATAACCAGGTATTCAAAAGTACTTACGAGACCGGCGATTTAGGTAGGTACAAGGAGGAACGAGGAACATATTCATTTTTTTCACTAGAACTTTTTATCAAATCAATCACACTGGTAGTACACAATTAGTTGTTTCTAATCAAAAAGTATTTACACTAGCAATAAAAAGAGACTTAAATTATTATCTGCAAAATTGTTGCTCTAAACCACCATTTTGCTGCAAACAAAGGTTGCCTGTTTGCGGACGTGTCTTTTCACCTTTTTTAAAGTGTCCCTATCACTACTCACTGCACAAAATGCAACTTCTATGGTTTAGGGACTCATTCGTAAACCAAACCTACTTCGTCACACTCGCGATAGCAGTACACCATCTCTAAATATTCTTGGTTTGTATACCGAGGCATAATGAAATTATCACAGTGTATGTCACCAAGTCAAAAGATGCGCACGCTCACGCGCGATTAATATACTTGCGACTGCGTTTTGCATGCAATCAAAGCAAACGTCCGCGTGCGGGGAAGAGGGGTGGTGGGCGGAATTCACATCATCAAAGACGCCGCAACCGGCGCTAGTTGCCAGCGTGCGGCGCGCCGCCCGCCCGTGCTTGCCGCAAAACAACATATTATTATGTGTGTGTGTGTGTATGTGTGACTGTGGCTGTGATTAAATGTGTTCGGAATTTCATGACGTGGGCAAATCAGACACGAAGAGTTCCTTCCTTCCCTAAGCTCGTAAGTTATACCGATTTGCTCTTAATTTTAAGAAGATTTATATTATTGATTAATTACCTGTGCTTTATGAAATAATATTCAAAGGTATTGTATATCAGTGAATAAATAATTATAATATAGCATCTAAGACTATTTTATTGTATTGTTTTTAAATAGTGTGGATCAAAGCGAGTAGGTAAGCGCCGAGTCATCTGTGCGTGTAGTTAGGTACCTACAGGCGGCCGCCGGTCGTCGCCCCGACCGGCGCTGATCTCGACTGTAGGCATAATGAAGGCATTCATTAAGTTTCCGTTTTTTTATTAGTGCTTATTTTAAGTTGCTTTATAACTTCTATGTAGACGTGTTTAAAATGAATAATTACTCATAAGGAAGAAATGACAAAAAAATAACCAAATAAAAAATTAAAAAACGAAACAAATTATTTTAAAAAATCCGAAAAAAATCAGGCATACTCTATACATGTAACCCATCAATCTCACGAAGTTTCATAGAAACATTCAATTTCACCCTGTATACAAATGTTCGTATTCATCACACTAAAACTCGAATCTCTAGAATTTAGCCGCGCGCGATGTGGAATCAATAAGCGTATTCTACCGGCTATACCACGGCGAGTGTTCTGAGGAGTTATTCTCCCTTATCCCTCCATCACCTTTTCTTCAGAGGACCACGCGCGCTGGCAGTAGGCCACCGACTTACTGTGGCCACTATTTCTACACGAACAAAGAAATTTGGTGACTAATTTCTTTGTCGTACTATTCGTAAGTGGAATTCTTTGCCCGCGCACGTATTCCCTTCTTTCTACAATCTGTGGTTCTATAAGAGAGGCGTGAAGAAGCATTTTTTCAGGCCGGCAAGGTGAGGTTGGCTTGTGCAGCAGTTTATAACTGCTGTACCAGCTGTCTTTGCGTTTGAACTTTATCACCACTTAACATCAGGTGGGGTCTCTACCCTACATTTCATCATTTGCCTACCTCGCTATAAAAAAAAAACCTACATTTGCACCTACTGGAATTAGAAATTGAGTAGGCTCGTATATACGAGTACCACTCGGCCACGGAGGTCGTTAAGTATACATATTTAAGTAATGACTCACCTGCTTCTCCCGTAGCAGTAATGTCTCTCCATGACGAGATATGAGGCTCGGAGCTGAGACAGCTCCTGATACAACTCTTGAGAAGTGAATCTTCCATACGCTTTGTATACGGCGTACGCGCGTTGTCTATGGGAAGGTAAATTATGGTAAATAATACGTCCCGGTATTAGGTATTAGGTTTGGACAATAGACACACATACAAACACACACACACGCAAACACACACAAACTCACACACACACAAACATACACATACACGCGCTTAGAAACGCGACACAAGAACCTACTCATCATTTCTATTTTCTATACATAATTTTAGCTACCCATTACATTAAATGAATACATTCTGATGTTATAGTTGTCTATTCATCATTGTAAACTTTCAGGTTTTTTTTTTTCAGAACATGTAATTTTGTTATTATGTACCACTGTAAAGAGGGGAGAGTACTGGTCCTCTAAGATACCGGCTGCGGCGTAGTTCAGATACCAGTCAAAAGAAAATCAGCGATTTACTCTGCGAGTTAAAGATTCGCTGAAAACTTAAACCTAGATTTAAGTATACGACGCATGTGTTTCAAATTGTATGAAAACTGAGCTTGTCATATTTTTAGTACTTAGAAGCACAACTTACCTAAGTTGCGGAAAAGTATGGGGCACCCGTTTCAAATTTTATCGTTTTAACAACTAAATATAGAACAATTAAACATTTTGTCATGTTGTGGCACGCGAAGTACAATATACTTGCGTCTTTATTTCGATATATGAGGCTGAGGCGCTAGGCTGAGCGTTTCGCGCTAAATAGAATTAACCATTTATTGATTTTTTTAATCGCATTTATTATTAATCTTATTTAAAGAACCCTTAACATTACCTGGCCTCCAAATGGTAACTTCAATTATTATTGCTTTCTATCTGTGGGAAAGGTTACCAAGACCATACAGCCTACATACTGATACATACTGATTCAAGCAAGTATAAAAAGGTTCACATAAAAGCTCTAATAATACCTGGCCTCCAAATGTTCGTAATGCGGATGATTCACTATGGGTCTCCTAGCGCTCAGCATGATGGCGGCCATGACGGGCATCGAACCCGCGAACGCCGCGCCCGATACTGTGTTATTGCGCACCCATAGGATCAACTCCTCTAGTTGAGGGTCACTGAACTCGCCTGAATAAAAAAATAAAAAATAAATAAAAAAGCGAGTGTGCCTATGACCACACGACTGAAGTGAAACTTCTTTAGCTCCTATGATCTGAAAATCATAAACTTAACCTAAAGATTTGTTGATAGAAAAAAAACAACCAAATCGCACTGGGCCCATTATCGCACACGAATCCGCGCTGGGTCCGTTATCATCCACTAATCCGCACTGGGGCCGTTATCACCCACCAGTCCGCGCTGGGTCCGTTATCATCCACGAATCGGCACTGGGTCCATTATCACCCACCAATCCGCGCTGGGTCCGTTATCATCCACGAATCCGCACTGAGTCCATTATCACCCACCAATCCGCGCTGGGTCCGTTATCACCCACCAAGCACTAGATTCATGTATTTTGTGACGGGTATTGTTCATTGTTTACTGATGAGTCACCGATGACACTATCTCAAATTTATTCAAGTATTTCTTGGACTGCAATACTCAACAGAAATAGTTTCAAACGTATGTGAGATTGTCATAGCAAAAAATGCCACACCATAACTTGGGTGAAGTCTGCTATAATATATACATTTATATATTTGTACATCGCACCCCAAGTATTTTTTAAAAAAATATTCAACATACAGTTTTGATTTTCCTACCATTTTATTATATGTATAGATTTCTTTATATTTCAGTATACAGGGTGTTACAGAATTCCGAAATAAAATTTGTAGGTATGTATTCCGAAATAAAAATTTGTAGGTATCTGAGCGGGGCGCAGGGGCGCCTGGGGGAGTGAGGGGGGTCTGTATAGGTAGTAGTAATCGTACGCATTTATAGGGTTGTCATAGGCAGGTGTAAAACGATATTTTTATAAATTTAATTAGAAAATAAAAGTGGTCTGAATGGCGTCAAACTTTCGTAGGTAATTCTATACAAGGAACACAACCAAACCCTAAAGTTTTATTTCGGACTTTTGTCACACCCTGTATAAATGCAAGAGGGCCAATCATTGTGGGGGGGGGGGGGGGGGGGGTTAAACATTAATATTAGACCTACAACGAATAATATATTGCGCAGTATACCGAATATTCAGCGAGGCCCCTGACCGAATAGCCGAATATTAGGCAAAAGTATTCGGCTGGATTTTAGCGCCAAAACTTGTACAGACGTGATTGTTTCGCGCTCCTTTGTTTTGTTCTTATCTGTCGTCCTCAAGCTAAAATATAAAGGGTAAATGACAAAACCAATTTTTGAGATATGGCCAAAAACGGCGCGTAAACTTTAAATTATTGCTATTATGTAACCATTCATCCCATGACTGAATGAATTAAAAACTGTTAACTTGTTTAATACAGAGAATGATTAAATTATGTACCTGTTTTATGTACATACCAATGACTACTTAATAAATGATTATACAAGAAATGAGAACCTCACCCTTCTAAATTTTGATTACCACAATTATTCAAATAACATAGAATCCTCCATTTTTCCAATTCAGAAGATGATTATGTACCAATGACTACTTAAATGATTATATAACAGATATGAAAATATGAATATATACGTAATCAATCGATTTTAATTTTTCATTTTACCAATTATTTCTCTATGACAAAATATATTATTTAAGTATTCGGTATTCCGCCGAATAATAAGTAGATATTCGGTATTCGGCCGAATATAATAAAAGCAGACGAATAGTAACCAAATATTAGATGCAAGTCTAACTCATATAGATTCTCCTAGTTACCTTCGTAAGACAACTCATGGCTGATGTTGTTGAAGAGCGCGTAGAGTAATGGCGCTGCCAAAACGGCCCACAAAGCTGGCAACATCTTCACTAACCGCTTTTTAGCCTTCGGCAAACTGGAAATGTATTTGAACAATTAATGTAATTAGCAAGCGTGAAATTTTAATTTATATGTATTACTAACAGTCCCAGCGAACTTCGTGCCGCCATAAAAAAATAGGAGTTGTTGAATAGTGAAAATTTAGGGTTGTATGTATTTTTGTATGATGTATCATAAAAAAATAAAAACAAAAAAATTTGTCCCAAAAAAATAAGTAACGGCGGACCACCCTTAACATTTAGGGGGATGAAAAATAAATGTTATCACATTCTCAGACCTTGGTAGATCTGAGAATGTGATAACATTTATTCTGGTGAATATGCATATAAAATTTCACGAAAATCGGTCGAGCCGTTTCGGAGTAGTACAATTACGCCCACCGTGACACAAGAATTTTATACATTAGATTAATGCAAAGTTGAGTTTAATAAATTAATAAAAAAAATCTAACACACTCCAATTAGCCTAGCCTCAAAGTAAGCACTGTAGGCTTGTGTTATGGGATGCTAGGGTAACGGATAAAATACATATAATGATACATTACACAGCTATATTTTTTTTTAATTTTATTTACTAAGGGATAAAAAACGGTTACAATATGGAAATTAATATTTTTATAAGGAAATTCAAACAAACATTCATGACTTAAGTACAAATATTCGTTTTCATCACACAAATATTTGCCCCACCGGGATTCGAACCCAGACGTCTAAGTAGGCGATACCTTGAAAATGGAGGTCATCAGGTTGGATTTTCACTTTCCCGCCTAAACCTTCGAAAGTCCACTGGAGATCCGTGATTTACAGTATTTCAACCATTTCGCAGTCATGGCGGAGATGTCACTAAATTAAATAGGGAAGATGCAATATTTTTATTTTTGTTTTCATTTTAAAGAATTCCATGTAGAATAAACCACAGATATATTAAAAAATTAAAACATTGTGATTTATCGGAAAAAATGCGGTTTTAAATTGACAATTTAAATTTTGGCGCGAAAACGAACCTATGGTTGCGATGACGTCACTCCTGTCTGTCACTGGTCGTAATTGTTCGTTGCTGGCTTTAAATTTTCATACTTTTGCAAATTTTTCGACTTTCGAAATATTTTTTTGAAAAATTTAAAATGGACTATCCATCAACATCATGTGATCATAACAATACCACTAATATTCCGAAAAAAAGCCGTGTTGACTCATGTTTTGTGCCAATCTACTTCAACAAAGTTCCCAAATAAATTGTTTATGACTGGAACTTCTGAAAAAAAGTGGTTTCAACCTGCGAAGAGAAATGACAATTATTCTCCAAAGACCATTACTCGATGCTGAGAAGATCACTTTGACGTAAGTCAGCGAATATACTTGTTATATGCTTAATTAATCTGCTTGTACGTAAAAACGCATTAGTAACCTACCTAATACTTACAAAACCTGTCTATAACTTTTTTTTTAATTTTACAGTTGGAAATTTTACAGATGGAAGTTCGAAAATTAGATAAAGTTTAAAATGTGTGGCACAATCTTCACATTGGCAGGACTGAACCAAGCTTTGCGTTTCATTTAAAATAACTGTAACACGACAACCTTCTTTGCGTACTTTATGCTCCGGAGAACTCGACCTTTTACTGTACATAATTTTTCATCTCTTTTAATTTGGACATAGCCGATTGCATTATCGCCGTAAGATTTGTAGAAGCCGCTGAATAAAATACGAAGTTTAACAACTACGATTTTTACATACCGTAGTAATTTAGTCCCTTTCATTTCTACACTTAAAAACTCTGCACTTTGGACAAAAAAAGTTATAACCATGTCAACGCTAACTCTTGGTAAATTCCTGGAGTCTGCTTTGATAAACGCAACTTCTATTTTTATTAAATGTAAAAAAACGCAATAAATATTCCCATAAAATAATATTTACTATAGCAACCATAACCTCAAAGAAGTTGTCATAACAGGAGTGACGTCACTAAACGCTGATTGGTGTTTTAAAATACGTTCCGTTTCAAGTATTTTTAATTCGTAATAATTGTTAAAAAACAACATTATGTAAAATAAAAACGTTGCAGTGGCATTTCTTTTATATTTTTTTAACATTTTAATCATAAAATTTTCATAAATATTATATATGCATCTTCCCTATTCTAAAATATTTCTTACTAGCGGCCGCCCGCGACTTTGTACGCGTGGAGTTAGTTAGAAATAAAGGTTCACTGCTCGTTCGCCGTAGGTGATAGCATGATAATATGTAGCCTATATGTTGACCCGACTTCTTAATAATATTCGTGCCAAATTTGAAGTAAATCCATGCAGTACTTTTTGAGTTTATCCCGGACATACATACAGACAAACAGACAAAATTCTAAAAACTATATTTTTGGCTTCGGCATCGATTGTAGATCACACCCCAAATATTCTTATAAAAAAATATTCAATGTACAGTTTAATATTATATGTATAGATTAAAGTTTAACCACTATCATATTGAGCTGGAGATTTCACCAACCAGCTGCGCCTTAGAGCTCCTCTAAAAAAAACTTACTATAAAAATTCAACTTTGCCCAGACTAGATTCTAAACAGCGTCCTTCTCTATCTGAGCACATAAAATTGATATTTCTAGGGTTCCGCAGCTCAAAACGAATAAACGGAACCCTTATAGGATCACTTCGATGGCCGTCTATCTATCAGTCCCCGTGTCTGTCTGTCTGTCAAGATCCTTTATCTCGGGAACGCGTGAAGATGTTAATGTTTTAACAATTGATATAAATAACACTATTTGTATTTATACTGTATGACACAGCAATCAAAATGCAGGTAAGCAATTAATGTATATTTAATCATTATGTAATGAAAGGTGACATCATTAATCATCTCTGAAGTCATTTTTAATTTGACGACTGTAAATAATAAATCAGGGAGAAAAAAAAACAGCCCTTGCTGAGTTTCTTGCCGGTTCTTCTCAGTACAAGGTCTCCCGCCGTAGATTTACGAACCGATGGCGTAGCTTCTAGACATTCATGAGTGCTTGTAACAGCCTAAACTGAATAAATGATTTTGATTATGATTAATCGAATTAAAAGTTGAAAGTCTACGATCCCTTGAAGCTGTGAAAAGATACGGTCTTTTATGTTGCGTACCTACAATTTTGTACAGAACACTCGGCGGGAGAGTCCGACTCGCACTTTTCCGGTTTTTTATTTTGATTTAATGTTCCGTAGTAAAATTTTCATTGCATACGAAAAAAACGGGAACTCTGTTTGACAAAAAAAAATTGACGACCTCCGTGGCGTGAGTGGTTCATAGGTCGGGTTTCATGGTGTCACCGACTCGAGAGGTCCCGAGTTCGAATCCCGATGGGGGCAGATGTTTGTGTGATGAAGTAGTATTTCTATACAAACATACTTATATATGTACAGTATATGTATTCTATCCGTTACCCTAGTATCTCATAACACAAGCCTACAGTGCTTCCTTTGGGGCTAGGCTAATTGGTGTGTGTTTAAAAAAAATAATAATCACAAACAACATTAATATACTCACACATTAAAATACTTAGTGTTGACCAGTAGAGCAGAGACAATGCAGAGTTGCGTCACGAACAGCAACTTGAGTCGCATCACTAACGTCGCCATTACTCCATAAACAACCAATTGGGCGACGCAGTAAAACACATCCGGTTCTACTTTCAAACGCTTCACAAACTCGACAAATTCGTCTTTAGTCTCCTCTCTATTGTCTATGACTTCACTGTCTATAACGTCCAAGTCTTTGATATTCTTCAAACCTTTTCTATTTCTTAATTTTGTGTCAGCGTTGTTTTCTATGCCACTATCCTCATCGTCTTGCATCTCTTTCTTTACCTCTTCTACTATCTCTTTCTCTCTCCGGTAAGCATTTTGAATCCAATAATTAACTACTAAACTAACACTGAACAATACCATAGGTATCAAATTAGTTTTGCACAATTTAAGCACTGTCTTTAAAGGCAAAAAGTCATACACCTCCGAACAAGTATACAACATAGTATGAAAATTGCTATAGTCACTATTAAATTTCGAAAACAACAAATCCCATATGTGCGAGTCTTCCTCGGCGCCCATGAAGTCGCTTATGATCTTTTTCACGTACAAAGACGCAAATAAAGCTATGAAAACTCTCAGAAACACCAACCACGCTTCCACGAACAAGTCCACGCGATTTTCGACCTTAACTCTTAAATTACTTAAGAGCAAACTGTAAACAGACACTGATATGAAAAACGATGTATATAAGGACGTTTTTAGCATGTCGTTCCCTTGGAGCAGTAAAACTGCAGTGTGTAAGCCGCAAAAGTGCGCGTGTAGGAACACGCATAGAGACTTGTTGTCTATGATGTAGAGTTGTTCCATGATGAAGAAGATGAAGGTCTGAGTGAAGAATATGAACTGGGTGAACTGCCAGAAGAGAAGAGACAGCCAGTTCAGGAAGAACACGCCGAGCTGGAAAAAGAGAGAAACGCGTTGAATTTGAGTTGGTATATATAGAATGTTATCGACGTTCGACATAGCTGAGAACCATCTATTCTAACCACCATCAGGACTATTTTCGTCTTTTAGACTATAGCTGGGAAATTAACAGTTACGAAGTTGGTCATGGTGAAAGTCAAAAACATTTTTTAACGGGTTAATGCACGAAACTTTATTTATTTATTGACGTTTCGCAGCCTTTTCAGGTCTGCATCGTCAGAATAATGATTTTTTATTTACTTTGACGAGCTACCTTCGAAAGACTTTTATTGAGCGTTCGGATATTTCATTGGAAGATTTTTTAAACTTTATTGTCTATGTATAAATTTATTAGTTAATAAAGTTCTTTATTTAAAATTATTTTTTGTAATTTTGAGTTTATTTATTTGACTCTAACTACCGTAAACTACAACCGGTTCCAAAATTGGGAGACCTTTCTGAGAAGAACCGGCGAAACAAACTCAGAGAGGCTTTCTATCTCCCAAAAACTAGTTTTATTTAATGAGTGATGTGCGTGAAAACCTAAGAAACATATACACAAACATTTTTTTGTCAAGATTTTATGGAAACAAATTGTAAACATTACTTCTTAATTTCTATCGAAAGGAACATTATCAAAATTTAAAGTAATACGTAACAAAAATAGCTTTTAAAAGTCAGTCAGGGTCACGTGTAAAAAGGCCAAGATCGGCTTTGTATACCTATATATTTCGTTAGCGCGATGTAAGCTTTCCATAGTCTTGAGTATGCTGTTAGCGCCATCTCTTGAGAAGGCAAGTGATGTCTTGCCTCCGTTTAGTTACATGTGGGGGGTGTAGATGACGCGTTCACATTAATATGGATAGCAGGATTTGTAGGACATGACCAAACTGCATCTGTAGTGTATTGTGTGTGTGTGTGTGTGTGTGTGTGTGTGTGTGTGTGTGTGTGTGTGTGTGTGTGCGTGCGTGTGCGTGTGCGTGTGCATGTGTGTGTGTGTGTATAAATTTAACCATTTGTATGTATCCATGTCTGTTTTTCTATTTCATTTCATATCTAGGTCGAAATCAACTATTCGAATTTGATAATGGTTCGTGCTTAGGGTACTGCTTGCAACAGAAGTGGCCATGCAAGTTCTCTCTTTCGTTGCAAGCATAGTGCACGGCACGCGGAATTTACTACTTTAGATAGGAACATGATCTTCTACGCGACTATATATGGTATATGATCTTGTACGCGAGTATATAAGATACAAGCGGCCACCCGCGTGTTCGTCCGCGCGTTAACTTCAGTTTTTTAAGAACACCACAGGAACATATTTTTTTTTCCGGGAACATATTTCCTTCCTCATTTCATGTGTCATATCTAGGTAATAAACTACTTATATGCCAAATTTCATACCATACGTTCAGCCGTTCTTGCGTGGAAGTAATACAAACTGTCGCACACATACATACAGTGCGTGCGTCAGGATGACGCTTTGTGTTTCTCTTTAATTGCCTAGTGTTCCTGTCATTTTGATATCAAAATAGCGGAACCACTTCCTAAGTTCAATATTTTAAATTTTTATGAGTTTAGAATTCTTCTATAAATGTATGAAATAGCAGAAATTCTGCATTAAATCCTAATCGCATTATATTCGTAAAACCTGGCGGGGTCCCGCCATCTTGACGTTCATAAACTTTCGCTGTATTAGTAAAAGTTAGATAGTAGGATTTTAGACTATGACCAACCTGTATTTGTAGGGTAGTCTGCCTCCCTTTATCCCTGAGCTGAATGGATACAAGAACCGCTTGCATCAACAGAAGCGGCCACGCGAAGTTCTCCCTTTCATTGGGAGCCCAGTGTACGCGAGTCGCTTCAGAATGGTTTGCAAACAACTGGCTTACGGCTAGGAGACCACCTATGATGCTCTCGCTATGGAAACAAACAGACCTGTTCTGTCTCATAACGTCTCCACTGGTAAAACACACAAAGACCAAAATGGGCGTCACCAGCTTATGACTAAGGGGGGGACATTGGGGCAATATATTAGGTAAGGAAGTCAATTGCTCGCACTTTGGTCGGTTTGCGGCTAGCTATATTTGATCTCTAGGAGAGGGGGGGGGCAATTTTGAGTGAAGATCTTGGCCCTGTCTTTTGTCATGTGAGTGACAGTTCAGGGAGGGTGAAACTGACTACGTAAATGACATATACAAGATGTGACGTTTAAAAAACAGCTGGTTTTCGTTTTCACTGTATTCATTAAGATTTTTGTCGCACTATACACTTGCGTTATGTTTTATCTATGTCTTTGGGCACAGCCTTCCCTGCGGACGGAATAGGGAGATTGGGACATTATTTTTAAATCAATAGATCTGTTACTCTGCTTGCATTAACCTCCTCGAGTTCCATAGCGTACGGTTTTGCTCGCAAATGGCTCACACCTTTCAGAAATTTAACAAATTCAATTTTTAAACTACAACTGTTTAGTAAAATAGATTAAAGTGGCATGCTTTCGTTTCAACAAAACTGCTTCCAACTGCATCTAATCTATATCTAGCATAATTTCCTATGTATCTACCTCCATACCTAATCAGCGTGGCGTGTAGGAACACAGCGGCGGCTGCCACACCAGCCAACGCCCACACCGGCTGCAGGTAGAACAGTGATGGTACACCTAAGCCCACGCAGCTTTCCACCGGTTCATATCCCGGTCGAGACACTATGTGACACTCCATGTGAGCCGTTGTGTTCAACCAAGGCTCGAAATAGCGGTACAAAGCGCCGATGATCACCTAAAATACGTTTTTCATCATCACAGTGACATTCATTATCACTACATAGTATAAAGCAAAGTCGCTTCCTGCTGTCTGTCTGTCCCTATGTTATGTATGCTTAGATCTTTAAAACTACGCAACGGATTTTTATCCATTTTTTTTTAATAGATAGAGAGATTGAAGAGGATGGTTTATATGCATAAAACATGCATAATATAGTACAGAAATACTGATAATTTTAGAGGTTTTTAAGTAAGGTCGTAAATAAACACATTTTTTTTGCGCGTACATTGCAAACGCTGGCTGAACCCTATGAGATAGATCAAAATAATGTATTAAAATATTGTACACCTTAAAAATGATCATCCTTACCTCTGGATGTATATTGAAGCGGCTGAAAGCGTTAACCTCCTTTGGGTGCTCAACTAAGTTATCATACATGATCCTGGAAACGCCTACTGTGAACGGGTAGTCCTGTGACAAGGTCTTATAGTAAGAGTAGTAGAAACCCATCTCTGTACGTAGGGACATCTCCCGCTCCAACTCGGACAAGTAGGAGAAATTACGGTCGTTCTCAAATAACGTCCATGAGTAGTAGTAATGGAAGAAGGCGAGGGTCACAGCTGGAAGAGAAACAAAAAATTTAGGGACCAGCTCATAATAGGTAGTATATTGTCACGAACAACCTAGACTAAGGGGCCAATTGCCTAACGGCTATCGCTTAAGATTTCATTTTGTTATTTCTGACTGCCAAAAGTTTGTAAATACCTTCTGCTCATTTTCTTTAATATTGCTCTTTTTATAACTAATGCAAAAGAAAAAAAAACGCAAGACATTTGAAAACCTTTGGCGGTCAGATATAACAAAATGAAATTGTAAATGAAAGTGATAGTTATAGCAATCCTGTTAGACAATGAGCTCCCAGGGATAAGGCAAACTATGGCCCATCTCCAGGAAAATTCAAAGGTTCTCACCAAAAACTACTATTTTGTTTACACCATCTAGTAGATTAATTGAAATTTCTGTTTTTTTATTATGTATAATTCCTATAATATTCTTTTTGTATGTTTGTATAATTTGGTTAATAAAATGTTTCTTTCTCTCTATCTGTCTATCTCTCTCACTTTGAAAGCAATTTGTCATAATTAATTAATACATATTAAAGTCTCCTAGCTAAGCTACAGAGAGACAGACAGGTGAATTCAGACAACGGGCAGATGGACAGACAGAGAAACCAAAAGAATTCTTCGCTGTACAGATCCCTTAAATAAAGGGACTAAATTAAGAAGATGTGACAGCAATCCTTTAAACACCACAGGGGGACTGTCACATGTTTTCCACTGCATTCCCCTCTCTATAAATGTGTGTGAAACTCCTTGGTCTATTAAAACAAAGGAGTTTTTGAGGAATCTTTCATAATCGAGGCTACTACTTCAGGCACAGGTCAAGGTGGAAAGCTAACTGTTAAGTTGTCTGTGTTTTATAGTACTGTTTATGGTTTCATTTACATAAACAATGGTACTGAAAAACAAACAAGAAACACACAAAAACAAACTGTAACAATATCAATTGTTTAGAAGGTCATTTTATAAAACAGTTACGATTGACACACCTATATATTCCAGCATCCAGGATATTTAGTATGAAACTATGCATCGGTAATTAATCTAATTAGTCTAGTTGAAATTTTATATTACAAGGAATAATATAAACTCAATTTATATCTTTCAATTTACAAATTTTTCGTTATATAGTTAAATAAATTAGACTCCCACAAAGGTTATCTTAAATTTGCCAACAGTGCATCTTTGTCATTCTCTATACAGAATGAAAAGGAGAGACTGTTTTTAAATTTAGTTTTAAGTTTAAAGAATCACTCCAGAATCAATACCATTGTATAAGTAATAATATAACAGGAAGCAGCTGCTACCACTCAGCATGATTTTTACATAGATTTGAACTATATACTGGTGCAACTTATTATGGTGTTGTATACAATTTTGACACTATAAATCAAAGAAGAAAGAAACATAAACAGAGATAATATATTATAGGTACTGAAAAGACTTAAGTACTTATATAAAAAGTACAAAATATACCAAACTACTATCACGGGTGGGAGTCATGTTGAAGCGTGTTTAAGCAGAGAAATTCCTGACTCTAATCCTTAATAACTCTTCATTGACTGATTGCCCTGAGAAATTATGTTGAAAAAGAAAGTTTGCCTGTTAAGCTATGTACTGTTTATATTAATCAACTTCAGAAGTCGCAGTAAAAAACGAAAACCTAAGAATTTTAAACTTAATTAAAGTAATCGTTGTAGCTTACCAAGAAGAATAATCACAACAAATCTTCCCACACGTTTTTTAGAGCGAGGAGCGGCTTTCACCTCCACTGTTTTTTCTTCTGTCGGTGTCTCTTTCATTTTAGCGAGATAAAACTTTTACATTGTTATTCAAATATATAAATAAAATAAAATTCTACTGTAAAAAGATGCGAAACACAACTTTTCTACTGATTCTGAATTTGACAATGTACTACAATCTGTCATCTGTCTGACTGACACATTGACGTTTATTTCGATGCCCCCAATCTTCCCCAATCTACTTTCCAAAAAGAAGAAGATTTACTAGGTAAGATCAGAAGAAGTCATGGACCTGAAAAAAAGATTAAGTGAGAAAAAACATCCGTTTTTTTAATAAAATTTATTTACTAAGATTGAGAGAAATAAAAACATCAGATTTTTAATAATATTCATTTATTAAGACTGAGTGAGAAAAAACATTAATCAGTATCTAGCTATTCAATTCCGCTGATCTCTGCATTACCGCCGGAGTAATCATCGTCGTCGACGTCATCATCATCGCTGCTGCTTTCGGCTATAGAATATATGGATTATTGTAGGTTTTAAAACGACAATTTTATTTTAAATAAAAATGGTTATTCTGTTAGAGTCTGTGCGGAAAGAGAATGGGGTTTAGATTGGAGGGCGCTGTAGTGCTTTTCTACCGTATTTGTGGGGTTTTACCCTTTTTAGACATCATTAAATACAAAAAACTTCAAGAAATCACAACAACAAACAAATCCGTATCAATACAAAACTTTGACGTTTTACAGATTGCTGGGTTTGATTGCCAAATAAAAATCTTAATGTTAGTTCCGTTTTTCGCCACGCCCATTCTCTTTCCGCACAGACTCTACCCGTATTTACAAAAAAACTAAAGTTATCATCCTTTTCATATATTTCACTTTGCCAGTACTCATTTTCTATACGATTTACACGATTTATTTCCTTCTTCCAATCGTCGCCCGTGATAGTAGCAAGTGCTTCTATCGTCAAACTTTCTATTTCGCTTTCCGATTTTCTTACGTTTTGTCTGACTCCCTTAATTAAGTTAAATTAAGCTTAATTAAGTGCCAAATATATTCAGTTGGGTTTAAGCCACTGTACGGGGAGCCCGTAACATAAAAACTGATAAAATTTATGAAATAATAAAACTGTAAATAACTTTGAAACTAGGATATAAATATAAGTACTTGATTAACTATAAACTGATTAAACTAATGAGGACGCGTGTTATAATTAATGACGGAATGCGAACTTTAATTGTAGAGTGGCAACCTCAAAACTTCGTAACGTGAGTTGAAAATGTTATCAAGTACCTACATAGTTTTGTGGCAGTTTGTGCCTCTTTATGAATTCATAAAGTTCTGCTATTGTGAAGCATGACTGCATTTCTGCTTTTTAGTGGCCATATTTGGGGGCTTAGATGCTTCCATGCTGTGGTAAGGAGTGTTATCCATGACGATAATTGCATTTTGCGGGAGATTAGATATAAACCTTTCATTGATCCATTTTGAAAAGTTGGCACCATTCATTTCGTCCTGATAATCTTCGGTTTTTAATTTGGACTTAAACTTAAACTTCAACGAATCCATTTTTACCCCCATGGTGAGTGATAATCCACCGAGACGTCTTGAGCTATTCCTTTTTTTGACGCCGGTTTTAATGCTTGCCTGCCAACATTTCTTCACTTTGTAGTGAGCATGAATCCAGGTCTCATCTAAACATGTGACGGGTTTTTATGAGCCCCCAGTGATCATTATGACGAATGCATCACAAATATTTAGTACGCCAGGCTTTAATGTTAGGTCTTTGCACATGAACTAACCTATTGAGCGTATACGAACCTCTATCAGCATTGTATGATTGTTTTAAAGTTATCTTGGATGAAGCTCTTAAAAAAACTTACACTACAGGCAAACGGTTGATTGTCTGTGGTGACTTCATATTGATTTATTAGAAAAATGTAGTTCATGTACTAAAATAAAAAAAAAATTCAATCATACAATCTGAAAAACTTATTCATTGAGCCTACTAGAATAGCTGCCACTTCGGCCACTTGTATTGATATATATAAGGATATTATACCACAGAAAAAACAAGTTATTATAAACTAGATAGTGATCATTGTGGCCAGTTGATTACATTTCCGTATCAGCTCAAGCAGGTGACAAAAAAACACATCACTATTATACCAAAAACTGCTAATCGTGTGAAACGTTTTAAAAATCAATTAGATAGAAAAATGTTTTATCTAAAATATAAAGACAGTCCAAATGATTTATATAATTTTAATAATGTTTCTGTACCCAAAAAATATGTGTTAATTATGCGGTAAATTGTTTAAAAAACTATGCCGCTTAGCAAAATCAAATTACTTATGTACAAAGATTAAGAACAGTACTGACAAAATCAAAATGACATGGAATATTATAAACAATAATAATTATAACCTAAATATTGATAATAAAAAGGTTACATCAGATATTGAAGTTGCTAAAGTGTTTGAAAATTTCTTTACTGATATTCCAGTTTCAACTACGAAATCTTTGAACTCTTCCCCCATTGCTGCCGAATCAATCTTAAGAGAAAACGTGAAACCTTGTACTAGTCATTTTCATTTTTAACATGTTGACTTTAAAGATATGTAATAAAAACGTTTCACCAATTAAATAAAAAGAAAACCGCGTATCTGTGGGGCAATTCCGTTGATGTTTCTAAATCGGTAATTGAGACAATGGTGTCGATTCTAGCATGATTCTCTAAACCTAAACTTAAATTTGACACCAGTATATCCTTGTCATTCTCTATACAGAATGAAAAGGAGAGACTGATGTTAAATTTAGTTTTAGGTTTAGAGAATCACGCCAGAATTGGCACCATTAGCTCCTATTCTAGCTTGCATATTTAATGATTGTGTTAACTGTGGTGTTTTTCCTGACCTCATGAAATACAGTAAAATTACTCCTTTGACTAAAACCGGGAGTACATCAGACCCCACAAACTTTAGGCCAATTTCTGTACTGTACTAAAGGTGGGTTTTAGTAAAATTTTCGAAAAATCATGTTGGATCAAATGTAATTACATTTTAATAAATATAATATACTACACTGTAAACAATTTGGTTTTACACGGGGTCGTTCAACAACCGATGCCGGTGTTAAACTTAAACAACAAATTTTTGACGCCTGGGAGAACTCGCAGGACGCTCTAGGTGTGTTTTACGACTTGTCCAAGGCTTTTGATTGCGTTTTTCATGAAACATTACTCAGGAAACTCCACCACTATGGATTTAGTGATACCGATCTGGACCTTATTGCATCATACCTGAGGGATAGGATTCAGAGGGTTGACATTAATGGTAATAAGTCTCCGGGTTCGCCGGTTAAGATGGGTGTCCCGCAGGGCTCAATCCTAGGTCCTTTCCTTATTTTTAATTTATATTAATGACTTACATTACTATGTAAGAGATAACCATGAGATAGTATTGTTCGCGGATGATACATCACTTTTATTTAAACTTAAACGCAAGGAAAAAGTTATTGACGACTGTGTGAACAATAGTATCCCTAAGGTTATCCACTGGTTCAATGTTAACAATTTATTACTTAATGAAGGAAAAACGAAATGTATGAAATTTGTATTACCTAATGTAAAACAGGTAAAAACCAGTGTGAATGTAAAGGATAGGAATGTGGCCCTTGTAGACACCACAATATTCTTAGGGATAACTTTAGATTCTAAGCTTCAATGGGGCCCACATATTGATAAATTGTCAAATAGACTTAGCTCTGCAGCATATGCCGTAATGAAGATACACCAGTTAACGGATGTAGATACGGCCAGATTAGTGTACTTTAGTTATTTCCATAGTGTAATGTCGTACGGAATTTTATTGTAGGGGAAATGCAGCCGACATTCAAACTATTTTTGTGCTGCAGAAGAGAGCTATTCGATCAATTTATAATCTTAAAGTTAAGGATTCCTTAAGAGATAGGTTTAAAGAATTTGGTATAATGACGGTCGCATCACAATACATTTACGAAAATTTATTACTTGTAAGAAAAAATATTAATTTGTTTCTTATAAACAGTGATGTTCACACACTTAATACAAGAAACAGAAATAAACTAACTTTACCTGCTACTAGGCTTCGCAAAATTAGTAATTCATTTAAAATTCTTTGTGTTCAATATACAATAAAGTCCCAAGCAATATCCAAGAGTTAACCATAAATAAATTTAAAGATAGTATAAAAAAACTCTTATTAAAAAAGCTCATTACAAAGTGTCTGATTATATATTACAGACAAAGATGCTTGGGTTTGAACTGTTCCAATCATTCCAACAGGTTTTCTATATTAAATAAATCATAATTATATTGAGGTTGTAACAACATAATGATTTGTAAATGTTGTTACATTAGACTTAATGTTGTGGAGTTTTTTTCGCTCGTTTTTCTCAGCAGCTAAAAAATATGTCCATAACAAGAGGTAGGGAAAAAAAATTTGGACGATTCAAGAGTTGTACCTACTACATCCAATTTGAATAAAGATATATTGATTTCTGATTGCTGACACTTTCTTAATTTGTAACCAAATGACTCCAGCTCTCAGCTGCGCTGCCTCGAAATACTAAGTCCTCTTTTGCGGTCGCGAAAATTTTATTGCGAGTTGGAATTTCTTTTCTCACATTGTACATAGAATGTATAATGCTATGCAGTGCAGCAATTTCAAAACTATCGCAAACAACATATTTACCTTGAGCTTTCTTTTTTGGCGTCATCATCTTGCTACAGCTAGCCTGCGTATTATGCGATTCAAATAAGAATTGGAATACCAATGACCTCCATCTGTCAAATGTCGCTTGAAAAGTACGGTTTGCAAAAAAACTTGCACATTTTTTTAGGACCGAGCTAATCTTAGAATAAAAATTAAACATTTGTAACCAAAAGAAATAAATCATGTAAAACGTATAGAAAATGAGTACTGGCAAAGGGAAATATGAGAACGTTAGTTTTAATATAAGTACAGGTAATAAAAAGAGCGTTTTTATTTTAAATAAAGCTGTCGTTTTAAAGCCTACAATAATCGATATTTTATTTTATTGCCAAAAGCAGCAGTGACGATGATGACTACTCCGACGGTAGTGCAGAGATGAGCGGGGTTAAACTGTACTTCCAGGGCCCAAGAATTGACACTTCAAATTTTTTTGGTGAAAAGGTATCCTTTAATTAAGTCCATATGCAAAGTCTCCACACCAGGGCACTGATAGTTTCTGAGAAAAATAAAATATTGCAAATTACTTTTCTAGTAAATGAATAACACAATTTTGATAAATTAAATTCTATTTTTCATATTCTGTTTTTTTAGATAAGCATTATTTTTAATTTTATGATTTTCATGTCAAGAATATCGTACAGCCATCGAGAGTTTTCTTTGGTGGCCAACAATTTTCAGTTATTAGAAAGAAGAGAGAATTGTTTTTAAAGGTGAGGGTCTTTAATGTTCTCTACCATTTTTTGAAGTTATACTTCTTTAGGCGCGTTATAAAAAAATTATGAGAGTGAAATTTTTAGATGCGCGCGCATCACTGTAATTCAAAAGTAACAGCATGAAGTTGGCCGCGGGCGCGTTATGAAAAAATCATGTGAGTGAAATTTCGAGATGCGCGCGCATCACTGTAACACAATAGTAACACCATGAAGTTGGCCGCGGGCGCGTTATGAATGTTAGTGTCCAATAATGGTGGATTATTAACCAATTAGTGGTTAATAAACCACCATTAGTAGACATCTGTTCGAAAGGTACTTTGAACGATCCACGGAGCTCCATAAGATGATCGCGTTGTCAAAAACAATGTTGGCACGCTCGTCGCCTCTGATCACTGTTTTCATATTTATAATATTTATCCACATGTTTCTAGTTTCTATATAGACACAACGTGTTTTAGTTACTTACAAGTGTTAATTACATATGGACTAATAACTTAAATTCAGTAGTGATTTTAATTGAATATTTTGAATATTTATTTAATTTTTCAAATTAAAACTGAACTTAATTGACTGTGTTAACTATCCTTTTCCAGTCCTTTTATTATTTTATTGTAATTATTAATTATTTGCATGCAATTAAAAAATATTTTTAATGATGCTAAAGAAGTATAACTTCTCACGCGCGTACATAAGTTACACGCATCCATTTTTTTTTTACTATACACTGCACTTCCGCATCATCTCCGGCGCTGCGGGATTAGCAGCCCCTCCGCCCTTGCGTAACAAAGGCTCACAGGCACCTCCGGCGGCGAGCAGCCTCAGCCACTACGGGTCGCGAGTGCCTGTAGCATTGTTATAGCGGGCGGGGGCTGCTCCCCCTCCGCGCCTCCGGGCTCTGAAAAACACTCTAGGTGTAGGGCAGACCAAGACCACGGCGTTCGGGGTTGACAAAGTCGGTTCTTTATTCAAGTTACTTAAAGAACGTAATAATAAGAAAGAAAATAGGTATATGAAAATGAATAAAAAAAAATTACTGTTTATTTACTATTATTACCATATACAGTTAAAACCTTTTAATAGTTTTTCTAATGGATTTTTGTAGTTAATTCTAATTTTAGATGGTTGTATAAAATTTTCAAAATGGTTTTATCTATTTACTAAGAAAAGTAAACATTTTCATTTTTTTCTAAAAATCTACCAGTGTAATATTGTGGACACTTTGTTTAATAATGTGGTTAACAGAAGCCTTTTCAACAACAAAAATGCGTAGTTGAAACCAACAAAACTGTGAAGTTTTTACAGCGGGCGGGGGCTGCTGCCCCTCCGCACCTCCGGGCTCTGAAAAACACTGTAGGTGTAGGGCAGACCAAGACCACGGCGTTCGGGGTTGACAAAGTCCGTTCTGTATTCAAGTTACTTAAACAACCTAATAATAAGAAAGAAAATAGGTAAATGAAAATGAATAAAAAAAGAAAATTACTGTTTATTTACTATTATTACCATACACAGTTAAAAGCTTTTAATAGTATTTCTAAGGGATTTTTGTAGTTAATTTTGATTTTAGATGGCTGTATAAAATTTTCAAAATGGTTTTATCTATTTACTAAGAAAAGTAAACATTTTCATTATTTTTTCTAAAAATCTACCAGTGTATTATTGTGGACACTTTGTTTAATGATGTGGTTAACAGAAACCTTTTCAACAACAAAAATGCGTAGTTGAAACCAACAAAACTGTGAAGTTTTTACATTTGGGCCCTGGAAGTACAATATATCCATGAGCGGAATTAAAGAGATTCTGATTTTGTTTATATCACTCAGTCTTAATAAATAAATATTATTAAAAATCTGATATTTTTATTTCTCTCAATATTAGCTAAATAATGTTATTTAAAAATCTGATATATTTTCTCACTTGATCTTGGTAAATATGTTTTATTAAAAAAACTTTTTTGCTCACCCTACCTAACCGTTTTGAATTGACGGCTATTACGTCACAATATGGTGATCAGTCGGTCCTATTCTTAGTTGGATCCACAGAACATTATTACTCGTTGGATCGCATTGTATCTATCTTCTCGCGTCGAATACGTGTTAATGTATTTTTATTAATCCCCGTAGCCAAATGAACTCGCTCGGCTACTTTACTTGCATTTTGCAGGGTTTTCAAAATGGCAGCGTACGTATCACGACTCAAAGTTATATTTCCTGGCCCTGAAAGTATACTTGCTGCCTTTAATTGTTCGATCAATTCTAAATTGCGCTGTTTCTCGCTCTCAAAGTACTTGTCTACGTTGGAGACAATCTCTCGAGCTCTCCCATGTAAAACAACACCTCGTTTACTCATTTTCGGGAAAAGGAGTGAAACTAACAACAACGTATCACATAGAATTAACGAAAGAAACTGTTTCAATCTCGGAGCAATTCAATTGCTCCGAGGTTTCAATTCACAAGCTCTTGCACGCAGTCGCAAGACAAAGCAAGCACTCAATGACCCACAGACCAATAAGAAAACAAGTACAATGACCACAGACACAGACTACTTAGATCGACGAGATGGCATGCATAGCTTCTAATAATCGATTTTTAATTGATCCGATTTTAAATATTACTGATTATTGTTTATCGATTTCTTTTGTAGATAAGATGAGTTAGTACTTTTATTAGCAAAATAAGCCTGCAAGTATCTCCTAGTCATCAGCTCCAACAGAGTCGCTTTTTTCAAAAGCTGGAAATACTGTCCGCAAGATGTATTAGCCGTATCTAGGGCAAAACTTGCCCAAACTTTATTCTACTGATTTGTGGCTGTAGTTGTTGACTGAGTTACATTTATAATATCAGTTTCAAGAATTTTGTATTTTCTTTGTTTTTTTAATCTGATAAAAAATATTAAGTATAAATAAATGGTGGTTTTCTTTATCTAGGTATTACCTGTGCAGTAACCTGGTTCGAACAATGGAAACAAAATAAATAGAAAGGTCATGGTAGAGTTTTAAAAATACTAATTACATTAAAAATAAAAATATTTAAGACATATCATAAACAAAGTAAAATACACCGTTCTTGTTGAGTATGGCTACTAAATTAGCAACAGTCGGCTAGGTGTTATAGCACAAGAATAATAAGAAGAATATAACTAGTAAAGGGAGCGGATGTTGATAGACCACGCCTGGAGTACTGTGTATAAAACTTATACTGTTACTGTGTATAAAAGCGCCATGCACACAGCAGCAAACGAATTCAGATAGAAATAAAATTAGAAAGAAGTTATTAATTATCAAATTAGCAATAGCAATAAACGAAACGAGAACATTTACTTTAATTTAGGCAAATATGCTTTGCACGAAACAATTAAATTCTTTAACCAATTTACTAATCGGTGTAAAATCGATAATATTCAATACGGCCAAACGATTAAACCCAACAGACTATGTATGGCAAAAAAAGGCGGGAAAAGTTGAAGTAGGCGGGCGTCGTGTTTTTAACTTTTGGAATGAATTCTATTAGTTTTTTTTTCAATCAGTAGCGTACTTATTTAAATCTAAAGAAAATATAACTAGAAAAAATTCCAACTTGGCATTGAATTGAATTTGAAAATATAACTAGAAAAAATGGCTAGAAGATTTTCTACGCGGCCGTCAGGGCCGCGGTGAAGGTGCGGGTTCGAATCCCGTCTGCTGCCTGGTCCGCGTGGAATTTTTTCTAGTTATATTTTCTTAAGATTTAAACATCAAGCTGTTACATGCTTAAAAAATTAAAATTATGGCGTAGTTTTATTTAATTTTATATTTATATTTGTGCAGTGTTATTTTAGTTAATTCATCGGCTGGTAAGTCATAATTTAATATTTACAATGAACGAACCCCCTGACCCAGGGGTACCCGTTTCTAATACAGAACAATTTGTGAATAGAGTGTAGGTAAATACTGACCAAAACAAAAAGTCAATACTATTGTAGATTGGACTGCTCCGCCCCGCTAGTTACGTTTTTAATAAACATACCTCTCAATTAGCAATGTTCAGTAAACAAAGTTTTTAACAAAATTACACATTTAAAAAAATAGCAGCGATGAACATTGTTTAAAAGTGGATTTAGTTCTCTTTTTTTCTCGATTGAATTGTGATATACGGGCTCAACCATTTTGTGCTCACAGAGTTCACAGAAGTGCCCATAACCTAGGCTTGTTGAAAATATAACGATGTAACGATATATCGATATTTTTTGCCGATATATTTTGATGCGATATATCGATACAAAATAACCAATATCGAAATTCGTATCAAACACGATATTTTTTTAATTATTAGCGGCATATCACGATCTAACTAAATTCGTATCTGGAAAAATCGTAACTGGATCTCAGATTAATGATATTCAACATATCTATGATCTGTGCTGTATTTAGTATTGTCTATTATTTGTAAATCTGTTTCGCTGGTGAATTGGTTGTGCTGATTTCCATTATATTCTGTGGAAGTGTGTGACTGTCTAGTCTTGTTTACGAAAGATGGCACCTGAGAGGTCCTGCAATCATTATCAACATTCGAAAATAGGGTCTATTTTTAGGGAGATAATTTTCGTTCCATTATTATTCCGCGTGTCATATTTTGTGAGATACTGTACTGTCATGTAGTGTAGCGGCAAGCTGGTACTTTGATAATTCTTTCTTTAATTATAATTTGTATTGAACTATTATGACTGTTCTAGGCTGACCTAAATATATTTTTGGGAAAATTGGTCTGATATATCGATGTTTTTTCGCGATATATCGAAGCCGATATTGATATTTTTTAAAATATCGATGTATCGATATTTTTTTCAACTTTCGACATCCCTACCATAACCTCCGCCACTTCCGCGAAGGCATCTGATTTTTGTTTTATTTTTATTTAAAGTTGCATCCTAAATTACAGCTCATTCACATATCAACATAATACTTTGAATGATACTACTTATTTTAGGGCAGCAAAATACATCCATCTGTTAATAAGGAGGGCGAACTCTGAAGTACTAATATCCCAGGCAACTAAGGCATCCTCTAATTTTAAACTACACCAATAAAAAATGCAACGCAACATAACAATTCTTATAAAAAAAGGTTGTTGGTTAAGTTAAATATTAATCGCGCTTTCAATTTATGCGTTTCTTAACGACCTGTTAAGTGCGTTTGTCGTACAGCGTACGGACGATCCTTTTTTTCCACTCAAAACGCGCGGTGCGGCAACAGTGCGGCGCCGGTACCGCGAACGCTCAACAACAGGTGTGTAGCCGTACCGCGCGTTTTGTGTGAAAAAAAAGGATCGTCCGTACGCTGTACGACAAACGGACAGCTTCGGCACCGCAGTAGGCCGTCAAGAAACGCATATATTGAAAGTGCCCTTATACTAGTTTTTTTTCATTCGACTGCTAGATGTTTAAATTTTCTAGTAAACTTTTCTATAGATTTATACTAGCTTTCCTCGATACATGCACTACACAACACAAACATAATTATTTAAATTGGATCAGTAATTCCAGAGTTCAGCGCGTTCAAACAAACATATTCTTCAGCTTTATAATATTAGCACTAACAATAATTTTCCTTTGTGCAAGTGTGTTAAACCAATGAAATCAAACAATAATTATTATTCTAACGGTTTATTGTTACCAACAATATATTGAATACATGCTTCGACGACCAAATATCATACGCTATACAGTAAAAAAAACGACATAAGAAAATAAACGAAAAAATAAATAAAAATAATCATTTATTTCATAAAATAAATTAACATGATTTCTCGTTGAACTTATTTATTTATATTTTTAACGTGGCAATCACAATTGGGAACTATACATAAACAATTATACACGTGTTGCGTGGTGGCGTGGTAAAAATTACACTAAAATGAGTAACAACACTGCGATTTTGCCAGCTCTAACAATATCAGTGAAAACTACTGATTCGTAGTTTGTTACATTTACATGTACCAATAGTACATTAATATCATCATTCCAGTCCTGAGAAGCCGTTCAATTATTACAATTTAACTGCAAATCAGTTAGGACCAACTAAACAGTACATGCGGGTGTTATTATTTTCAAATTCTGCCCAAAGTAATAGCCTGTCTCTTTTTCATTACTGCCCCTATCTAATAAAGCATCTTTTTTTAAAATTAATAATTGATAAGTCAAAAAAGGAAAATTCACTAAGTTTAGATCACACCTGGAAGAGGCAAAGTACAGTTTAGTTGATTTTCATTAATTTATCTATGGTAACTGGTTTTCTGGCAATGTTGTTAATGTCTAGGCGGCGTTGATATTAATTTATTCACTTCTTCTTGCCTGCTTCTTCGGCTTCTAACCTTTTGCGCATAGACTCTGGCATCTCAGCTGGCGGTGGTCGCGGCATTCTCAACCATACCTGTTGGGAATAGAAAGGGTTTTTGTTTAACGCTTAATCTCCTTTTGAGTAAATGAATTATATTGTAACAGTCCGTCTCATAAAGTTGAATATCCACAGTTGGAAGTTCGGTAGGAACAATTGGTTGATTATGATAATCATAGAAAAAACTATCATGTGATACTTTGAGAAAAAAAAAATTAAAAGAAACAAAAATATTGTTAAATAATCCGTCCTAAACTTTTTGAGAGATCGCAAGTAAATTTAAACAACAGGCAGCCATTTTTTTTTAAAACAAATATCGCAAGTACTTTTCAATTAACAGCCTTTATACAAACACTGACTAAAGTTAAGCCCAGTCCAAAAATGATGCTGTCACTTTGGTTTACTATAAAGAATTAGTAGACTGAGTTAGATTTAACCAAAGTCTAATTTTAGTCTACATTTTGGGATAAGGCAGTAATAATATACCACAAAAAAATGAACACTATTCTAAATCATGTTCAGCCAAAATTTGTATGATTTTATTTCTTAAACTCGTGTACTATAACATAATTCTGCTCACCTTAACGGCATCATATATGAACCATTGCAGGGCAGTGAGGGTACCGATCATGACGATCCTGGGGCCGAGACCCTTCCATACTCCGGCCCAGCCCAGCTTGCTTATGATAGAACCAGCGGTCGCAGTCTTATCCTGAAACACAAAAAATATATATTTCAATAATCTGTAGGTAAATTCTACTTCCTACTAATATAATATAAAAGTTTGAATGTTGTAAGCAACTTCATCATCATCATCAACAGCCTATCTTAGTCCACTGCTGGACATAGGCCTCTCCAATTGCACGCCACTGAGATCGATATTGGGCTACTCGCATCCAGCTCCTGCCAGCCACCTTGCGCAAATCTTCACTCTATCGCGCCTGAGGACGTCCTACACTACGTTTGCCTAGACGCGCGGTCTCCACTCCAGAACTCGTCTACTTACGCAATAAAAATAGTTATAATAAATATTTCCAACACTCACACCAATTAGTCTAGCCCCAAAGTAAGCAGTGTAGGCTTGCGTAATGGGACATTCAGGTAACCGATAGAATACATATACTGATATAAGTATATATATTTGTATAGAAATACATATTAAACATCCACGGCTGGAGTACAAATTGCTCGTATTCGTCACCAAACATCTGCCCCAAACAGGATTCGAAACTCGGAACTCCCGAGCAAGCGACACATTGAAACCCGGCGTACAAACCACTCGGCCACGGAGGTCGTCAAATGAACATATTATTAGGTCTGTTAAACAGACTGTGATCTGGTATCTCAACTGGTTAAGTTTGGAGACGACGGCGCAAGTGGTTAGCGTGTTCGGCTGTGATCGTTGCAGTTACACAACTTTCGCAGTGGTCGGTCATTGGATGGTTATCCAAAAATTTACTATCTCGAGCTCCACCGTGCTTCGGAAGGCACGTTAAGCCGTTGGTCCCGGCTGCACCTGCAGTCGTTTGCACCCAGCAATCCACACTGGGCCCGCGTGGTGGGTCATGGCCCAAGCTCCCTTTTCCATCTATAGGGAATATATCCTGTGCCCCAGCAGTGGGGACATTAATAGGCTGATGATGATGATTATTATTAGTCTGTTCAACAGACTGTGATCTGGTTTCTCACCTGGTTAAGTTTGGAGACGACAGTGTCAGCGGGATGCGAGACGATGGCGCAAAACACTCCGGCGATATATCCGGCAGCGAAAGTGACTACCAACTGCTCGCCCTTGCTGCATTGGTCGCGGGGCTTGGGCACCACAAACTGGATAAATAATAATTATAATTAGTTAATAACTTAAGGATATGGGACCTGAGATCTGGTAGCTTTTTTTTCTCAACGGGTCAGTCAGATACAGAGAGGTAACGTTGCATCCCTAATATCAGATAACATAAATCTAGAGTTCTGTTTTAGTTACTAAGAATGGTTACGTCAATCTTATTGGCTGTTTCAGACAATCTTCCAAGACAAGAAAGATGAAGAAAAAGATGTAGAAAGCTAACATTTTATACAATAAAATGCACAAATATATGAAAATATCATTTTATTAAAGTTACGATACAATATAGTTATCAATCAACCTTATTAGCGTTTTCAGACACTTTATTTAAGGCACACGGTTAAGCATTCGTAAAGAATACTTTCATTATTTGATTTGAGAAGCAAGTATTTTAGATTATTCAGTTATATTTACAAAACCACAAATACATATGCTTAACTAGTCCTTTTCGTTGTTGTTAACTACAAACATTGTTAATTTTGTTTGGCAATTATATTAGCTTAGTAGAATCAACATCTGGGATTTGAACACTGACAATGCTTCACGGAAACATTAATTTTACAGTGGCATATGGGCTGGAAGACGGTGTCAGGTAAACAAAACGAAACCTACCGGGCTCCATTGGCACTCATATGCACTATAAAGCACATGAAAGAAAACCCAGTCTACATAGGACTCTACCATACTATGAGGACTTTATTTATTTTATTAGCAAATTACAGGTGTATAATATAACAAATTTTGATTTTACACTCTAGCATACAGAAAAGTCTCTCAAAAACCCCATACCTTATACAATAACTCCAAGGTCTTCTCGAAGCAGGCGAACTTCATCATGGTGTAAGGGATCTGTCTGCCCCACAACGGCACCAGGCCCTTGTAGAAGGTGCCGTAGCCCTCGTTCTGGACCATCTTGGGCCACGCTTCACGGAGAGTGTTCGCGAAGCCAGGCATGGTTTGGATTCTGACCTGTTGTTGAAAAGATTTAAGTTTGTGAATAAACCTAATGAAACATTAAGATTTAACTAAATTGGAACCCTGATATACAACTAAGAATCAACCATGATCTGAATATATTTAAACAATTAACTCCTTATATTTAAGTATTTAATGAGAAAAAACAAGTACAAAATACTATTGAAACTGTTTCACAGGACTTTATCACATTAATGAAGCATATAAGCAAAGAAATAAAAACAAAACTTGAAAAAAGATGAATCTAAGTTACCTTTTTAATCAAACATATAACATCTAACAAAGTACCAGTGACATAAGAATTTGCTTTCAAGTAATTTTATATGAAAACTAGCTGACCTAGCAAAGTTCGTACCGCCATAAATATAGGGGCAAGTGGTAGAAGAGAAAATTAATTAATTTATTTATTAACACCCAATTATAAAAAAATGTCCAGAAACAAATTTTAGGGGTGTGTAACGTAGTGTTCTATCAATTTCCTGGGATAACATTCCTTCTAACCCATATTATGAGAACACTACGTTACAATACCCAATAGTTTGAATTTTGTCGCGAAGGCGCATTGTAGGTTTCAGAACACTAAGTTACAGGTGGACAACCATTATCACTTAAGGATATGAAAAATAGATGTTGTCCGATTCTCAGACCTACCCAATATGCACACAAAATTTCATGAGAATCGGGAAAGCCGTTTCGGAGGAGTTTAACCACAAACACCGCGACACGAGAATTTTATATATTAGATAAAAAAAATGAAAAAACGACAAAAACCTTGTTGTTATAGGACACAGTATATTAGGGACGATAAAAGTAAAAGGTAGTCTATGAAAGATCAAAAATTAATTTATTTCACTAAATAAGCCTTCAGCTCTCATAATCTTCGGGTCACAGGGCAACCCTGCAGTTGATTGCTCATCAGCCACACTGCACTGCAGAACGACTGCTCAGGTCGTTGGTCCGAAGAACTCTCAACTGCAGCCCCCCTCAATTACAAGTTGTCATCATTAGGCTTTTCAAGGCATTATTTTATAATTTATTATATTCAAAGTGCATGAAATACTGACTTAGTATTGATCAATAACAAAAGATAAAAAGTACAAAATATTAAGAAGCAGTTAAAGTACATTACATTCTCTGCAAAAACTCATGTCCATAGTCATGACAAAATAAATTTTGAGAGACTTTTGCATTTTTTTAAAATCGGTTTTGACTATAAATATTAAAACTGGATTTTTAAGTTTTGATTGTATAAACAAATAATATCTGCAGGTCTAATTACTTGTTCGCCGAAATATAATATTTCTTTGGTTGATGTATTTCAAACTTTGAATTTTTTTTAGTTTCTCAATACATATGTATATTATGTCCCTTTGAATAACTTTCTATGCATAGATCCTTAAGGACATCATATTATGCAATTACCAGTAAACAATGTTTAATATAAAAGAGTCCTCATAAACAATAAAATAATATAATGTTGATTAACAATGTACTAACCTTAGCGGCCTCTAGAGGTGACAAAGCGATATCAGCAAAGAACTCAGCCGAAGCAGAGGCAGCTAGATACACTCCAGTACGGTATACGTATGCTGTCTCCTCATCGAGCATGCCGGAGTACAACACCTTGAACACTTCGTAGAAACCGAACTTGCAGAGACCCTAGAGGGAGACAGATTTCTTAGTAAAACTGCATATCAGAAAGAGAGGAGTTATTCAATAGAGCTTCTTTAACCTCATTATGTTTTATGTCTTCATCGAGTTCAGTAGGAACAATTGGTATTTTATATAATCATTGAATACTTTATCATTGAATAATTCCTATAGTTATAATGTTTTTTAAGCATGTAACTGCTTGATGTTTAAATCTAAGGAAAATATTACTAGAAATAATTCCATGCAGACCAGGCAGCAGACGGGACTCGAACTCGCACGCTTCGCTATCCGTGCGAATGCACTGAACATTAAATAAATAAGAAAATTAGGCTACCGCGGCCCTGATGGTTGTGTCGAATTCTTTCTAGCCTTTCTTAAGCTGCAAGGCAGTGGCATCTCTTCACATTGTAGGTGACCCACATTATCTTATCACAATAATTTATCTAACTTACGAGTTCAGTGGATGTTTGACTCAAAATCGGATTTAAAATTCTCTTTATTAAAATCATAGCTAACATACATGATAATATAACGATTCTAGAACAATATTCTATTTCTTTTTTGCGTCTGTGGCTTTCTCCATTTTACACAGAAATTTCGCCAATGTACTGGACATTGACCAGTGACCAGTGAGAGAGAAAAGAAAAAGACTGCTCGTGAAAAGCTCAAGGAAGAATGGATATTCGGTTATTTATTTATTCTATTATTACTTTTCTCTATGTTAGTAAGTCTGCCACTGTCATAGGGTTGTTATCAAACTCCCCTGGTTTCGGGATCGTGTCCTATCTGCGTCTGGTGCGCATAAAAAAAATTTTGTAAAGTTTTCTTTAGATTCAAAAACCTATCAGTCAAATGCTTAAAAAAATCAAATTTAATTGGTAAATACTTTAATACCGAGGAGCTTGATGGTGCGGGTGGTTAGCGCTTTCGGCTGCGATCGTTGAAGTTAAGCAACTTTCGCAGTGGTCGATCATTGGATGGGTGACCAAAAATCTTCTATCTCGAGTTCCTCCGTGCTTCGGAAGGCACGTTAAGCCGTTGGTCCCGGCTGCATCTGCAGTCGTTAGCACCCGAAAATCCGCACTGGGCCCGAGTGGTAGGTCATGGTGCAATCTCCTTATTCCATCCATAGGTAAGGAATGTGCCCCAGCAGTGGGGACATTAATAGGCGGATGATGACGATGAACTTTAATACCTGTAGCGAATATCCAATGAAGGTTGGCGCCCATCCCTTAGCCAGACCTCGCATGCCTTCCTCGCGGACGGACACCTTGAAGCCAGTAACTACATTCTTGTACTTGTCTGCGTCCACTTGCAAACGGCACTTTACCAAGTCGAGCGGCACAACAGCAGTGTGGGTGATACCTGTGCAAGATATTTGTTTGAATAAATGAATATTCTTTATTGCACTATTACACAAAAAACATAGACCACAGGAACGCAAACACAAAAGGCGGCCTTATAGCTAAGGTAGCAATCTGTATCAGGCAACTTTTGGCTAAATTCATAATTCATAAAATATGGCGTCCTTTCTCTCCACTGCTCAGCCGTCATATAAAAACTTAACATCATTCTGAAGACAATTAGTATCGGCTATTGATAGCAAACGGATTTCGATACGTAATAATGGACTTGATTTCTCTTAAAGAAAACGGACTACCCACATTATACAGATGTTTGCGTAACAAATATTTTTATTGCATTGTTTGAACCAAGGCATCAATTTATAAATTACCAACAGTTTTAGAAAAAAAATGTAAAATTCAATAGTGATTTGTGTTATATCAGTGTTTGTATGTCCAACTAAATTGTTTGTTTATTTCGTACGTCTCGTGTAACACACGTAGGGTTGCAACGATATATCGGAATATCGATATTATCGATAATATCGAGACCAAAATATCGATATTTAAAATTCACTGATATCGATAATATCGATATCGGAAATTCCAAAATATCGATATTTCGTAGACTTAATTTGAAAACAATAATATCAATTAATTTACCTGCTATGACTATCTAAATTGAATAATATCGAAATAACTATTGCTTTGAAATTGCAAGAGCTTATAGATGTATTAAAAAAATCTTGAACCCCAAGAAATATACTAAACTGGTGTAGACTCTGGCATGTTTCTCTAAACCTAAAATTAAATTTGACAACAGTGTATCCTTGTCATTCTCTATACAGAATGAAAAGGAGAGACTGATGTTAAATTTAGTTTTAAATTTAGATAATCATGCCATCGACACCAACGTATATAGGTATAATCGTATACCTAATGGTAACTCATGCACTTAAATAAATCCTTGCCTCTCTTTCTAGATAATTGTCAACTACTGATTAATTGAAATTTAATATCATTGTAATATAACACAAAATAAAATTAAGAATCTTATATAAATCGTAAATTTTTTAAGCTCGCCAAGTCAAGAAAGTAATCTTACTTTCACATCATGAATTAGTAAAACCTACACATCAGGCTCCAGAATAGGGTAAGCCCAAAGCTTCCAAAATTACTATACCTATCTAGGTATAGCTTCCAAAATTCCCAAAGCCCAAAGCTTCCAAAATTACTATACCTAGATAGGTATAGTAATTTTGGAAGCTTTGGGCTTACCCTATTCTGGAGCCTGATGTGTAGGTTTTACTAATTCATGACAATTGTTTTTCATATGATTATCTATTCTGATTTTGGCTGCGTGCAAATATTTTAAACAAAATAAATATCTTTGATTCGAAATTGCTTTTGATTTGATACTTCTTACAGCGCTATAAAAAATATAGAAAATATCGTGTTGGAAATGTTGGAATGGCTGACATATCTGATCGGATTTCGATATTTACCTGCCCAAATTATAAATATCGATATTTCGGAAACCTTTGCTTCCTTAATTTAAGGTTTTTGCTTTGCAAACTTAATACAAAGCAAAAAAAAAGAAAAAAATATCGATATATCGATAATATCGAGTTAAAATGGTCGATATATCGGATATCGATATTTGCCTGACTTCGATATAAATATCGATATTTCAAAAGGCTTTGCATCCCTAAACACACGTACTGGATTAATTATTCTTTTGTTTTCTCATGTAAGTGAATAAAACCATATCATGAGAATAGAAGAAACAGCAGGCATTGTAAATAAATAAACGTAAATATAAAATATAGTAAGTACATAATTTGAAAAAATATCTCAAACATGTTTTAGTCTCCTTTAAAAGAGGTAGAGCATCGCGGATTTTCCGTTCGAATTGGAGCGCCCGTCTGGGTAACACAGTAAAATAACACTAACTTCTAGTGGTGTTGTTTCTGTCAGTGAGTAAGGTTCCAGGGCTCCAAGGGGTACTCCAGGGCAGGGTAGGCAACGACGCTTGATTTTTTTTGTATTGCTAGCGTCTATAGGCTATGGTGGCCGCTTACATTCAGGCGAGCCATAAGCTTATTTGAAACACATAAAAAAATATGCTTGGAAAGGACATTGGCACGGTAATATTATCTATACAGTATTGTGACTCCGCCCTGTCCTTGAAAATAAATGCCTACACCGAACGCTGCGTTGGCACGCAGTAGGGCCGCCAGCCAGCCTACAGTATTTTATGTAGTTTTGTTTTTAACGCGAGTGTAGGTAGATTACTCGTTTATCTCTTTTTTCATCCTAACCACTTATTTATATATTATTCCAGATATTTTGTCCGATGGAAAAACCGAAATACCTAAATATTAGAAACAAATAACGTACTAGTAGATAGGTATATAAAAATATTCTATAAAGGTAAGACACCTTTCCAATATTTCAGGTAATTTAAAAAATGATATCTCTGGGTGTGTTATTGAAGAGTTCAAGCAACCAAAAACAGCAATTGTGCTGTTGTACGATATTGATCGTCGTTTGTTCTTTTCCATACTAAATTATGTAGGTATCTACTTAATTAAATCAAATATTTACAATACAAAACGCATGTTTAAGCACGGCTAACTGCATAAAAAACAATTCAGACCGTCCGGTCGTCGTTTCGGCGCGGCGGCGCGGCGCATTCGCGACTGGGTGCACGCCGAGAGCAGTTGAGAGCACATCGAACTCGAGTGGCGTAGGTATGACTCGCTTTCCGACCGTTTGTATGAAGATAGAATACTGTATGATATTATTACCGTGACATTGGGCAAAAATGTATGCATCCACGTCCGACACGGCCTAAACTACATTTGTTTGAAAGGTATTATAGTCATGATCATCTGTGCCAAAGCGCATCAAATTCCATCCCGGGGGTCTTTAGTTATTTTAATTGAAATAGGTACAAGTACTATAACGAACGAACATTAATGAAACAAGGGAATTAATTTAGTTTGTTAGACCCTACATAGGGGGCTTAGGTATTATAGGAGTACTTCACAAGGTGCAAGGGTGTCCTCTTATGGTATTCTGCCGCGCTAGAGTAAATCCAAAAATCTCCGCATGGGTTGGGATGTTTTAAACATTCTGTTCGTTATAGTAAATGTCTTCTATGTAAAACGGACCAATAACAAAAGACACAAACTTGTCCACTCTTCGGAGACAACATAATTCCAGTTCATTAATACTAATTGACAAAACCGATAATCATGTTCCAATGTCCAAAGCGTGTTAGATAAAAATCAATCAAGTGACAGGGAGAGCGCACAATCACAACGAAATAAGACGAGTCGACTATTTGCAACTGCAAGTCCCTCAACCCCCGTAAACAGTTTTGAGGTGGCTCAGTAAGTGCAAGCGCAGGATGGTCGCCAGGCTTTGTTGTATATCTGTTTGTATAGTATGATATGGCATATTATTATGGTTACTAATAATATGAAATGAAAGTACTAAAAATGAATTTATTTAGCTACTTAAATATGCCCATGTGTCATAATTATGTTTTCACTACCAAGATATTTTTACGGTGTCATATCTTTTGACCACCAGGATATTTTTTTACGGTGTCATAATAAAAAAGGCTAGTTTTTTATGGATCTATCGATTCATACTAATTACATTGTTGGCGGAGCTGGGTGCGTTTTGCCCATTGTCCTTTGAACATTATTTCGGATAACCGAAATTACTGTACTGGCGAAATATATGCGAGCAGCGACTAAGTAGCAAAAGTTGTATGAAAATCCATATCTGTCGTGGTTTAGCGGCCAAATACATTACATAGTAAAAACTCTTGTCTGTCACGATCATCCATCAATGCCTTTCTTGCTGCTGCAGTAATGTACTAAATAGTGTTTAAACTTATTTTCTTGCATTGTTGTGGTATTACCTAAAACCCTACCCATGGAATCTTACTCACAGAATTACTAAAAGATAGTGTTATTTTCGGAAAAGTTAGGAAGAGTTTAATGTTGTTGCTAAACTTTGGGCTATACTAGATGGGGAGTAAATACTAAGGTTTCTCCCCCACAGAAATACATTGAGCAGTGTTCAGTAGGCCTATTCGCTAACTGCTGTTGAGAGATGCAAGTGACAATCACCGAGTTATTTAGTGATTCACTACTGCTTTATTATAGCGCCACTAAGATAGTTGTTCTGAAACACATCGATGAATATGCAATTTTATCTTTAGTTACACACTGTAAATGTCAAAAGAGTAAGCGAATAAATGTCGCCGCACACGGGCCACACGCCACAGCCACAAACGCCGCTACGAGAAGCTAGAAGCGGCAACTAAATGGCTGAAGCGCGCGACTAAGGCAAGGGAGAGAGGGGTGGGGAATCGCGCGAGTGACGTGTGGCGGCGTTTTGTATCAGCGCATTAAGTGGTGCGGGCCACAAGAAGCGAGCAACGACGATTCGTAGCGTGTGGCGGCCACCGTCGTACCGTGTGTGGCGAGTCCATATAAAATGTAAGAAAACTACAAGAAATATGCCACTGGCGGCGTTTTGTGGTTGTGGTCGGTGGACCGTGTGCTGCGACACAAAGCGCCCTCCCGATCCCGAGGGATCTTCAGTCGCTCAAGTCTCAAACAGATGCGGGTGCACATCAGAGTGTATCCGTCCTCTAAACGCACTGTCAAGTAGTATTTACTAAGGCAGCGCTACATCATCCCCTTCTCAGGAGTTCGTATCAGATGAAGCATGTAAGGCCCCTATGGCCATAGGCATCCCCCACGGTTATGATTTAGTCAGTAAGTCTTACATAACCCTACAGCCGGCTGTAGGACATCACCATCGCTGTCCCGCCTGGGAGGAAACGAATAGGCCGGCAGGTCTTACTGTGCGATTGACAAAACAACGTTAACTATTTTTCTTCGTCAATATACCCAAGTTATCAAAAAGTATTGGACACGTATTTTTTTATTCATTTACATAATCAAAACATTACAGGGATATATCGACTTGAAATGTCGCAATTGACGTCACGAGCCCCCACACCATAGATATACATATGACATCATGCCCCCACACCCCAACTTTGACGCATTTTAGCTTTACCAAAATTAAAAATAGGTTTTTTTATAGATAGGTCCGACTAATGAATCCACCCCACCTGATGTTAGGTGAAGGTGAAGTGCAGACGCAAAGATAGCTGATACAGCAGTTCTACCTGCCAAATTAAAATTAGGTTTTTTTTTATAGTAGGTCCGACTAATGAATCCACCCCACCTGATGTTAGGTGAAGGTGAAGTCCAGACGCAAAGATAGCTGATACAGCAGTTTACTGACGGACTTAATAGAATTTCGTTTACTTACCCTGTCATTATTCCTATTAAAAATCTTATAGTGTAATAAGTAGGTAACGTACTAACAGCCGTATTTAAAGAAATCAATAATTATAATATTCTTTATTGACACACACCTCACATGACATACAAGACATGACAACATGACAGTGAAAACGTACACAATACGCGGTTTTAAGTTTGTTGATTAAAGTTATTTTAACTTAACCCGGACTCTTCGCTAAGCGAGTGTGCGGGTTCGAGTTGAGGAATTTTTTCTAGTATAATTTTCTTTAGATTTAAACATTTAGCAGTTATTTACTTAAAAAGTAAATAATTTACCTAAGGTTATTTGGCTATCAAAATAATACAAGTCATTAATTCGTCTATCGCAGACAGTACCGGAACATCTCCGGAGGTTTTGAGTTAATTAAAGACAACTTCAAAGTTTTTCAATTCTTTAATTAACTCAAAACCTTAAATTTCGGAGATGTGCCGGTACTGTCTCCGACACGAATTAGACGTACCTAACTACGGCCGTAAGTATATTGGTACTAATATTATAAATGCGAAAGTGAGTGTATGTTACCTCTTCATGCTTAAACCGCTGAATTTTGGTATAGAGACAGTTTAAGTCCCGGAGGAGTTTTTATCCTAGAAATCATTCTTCAAGGAAGGAAAATAGACGAAATGGAAGTTTGTATAGGAAACTACTATACCCACGCAGACGAAGTCGCATGCACCCACTAGTTATCAATATGAATTGTTTTCGAACCCAAGCTCAAGAATATGTAGTTACAGAAATAATATGTTACTAGCAAACCAGTGAACCAAATGTTCACCAAAACCTGATTTAAAAAAAAAATTGAGAACTTCGGAGATTTTGAGTGGTTTCGTTTGAAATTCGTGATTTCTCGAAAACCGGAAGTGCTACGTTACTCAAATCCGGTTTGTAGTCTTATCAGACTATTCTTAACTTATAACTTAAATATTCTCTTTATCTATCTCTTACGGTTTGGCCGCTGAAACAGCACCACAGACGGACTTGTCTAATAGATAAGAGATTCATGATATAGCAGGATAGAATTTCTACTAACCCATGAGATAACATCGTGAAGTTTCGTTCATAATTTTTGCCATGTATATTTTTAGAAAGTCGTTATTTATCTTTCATTTTAGTAACCTTGCCCGTGATTGTACATATGATAAGGGCAGATAGTGCAGTAAATCCATCAGACTTACTACTTTGGAAAAGATTTAGGTTATGCAATCATATTTCGATATAAGTTTGTCAGAAACGATCAATCATAGCGTTAATCCAGATGAAAGCGGACTTAATCAATACTTTTGACTTTTAGATTGTATATAATAGTGCCAGTAAACTTATACTAGCTGCACTAAGTAGTAAGAATACTATAAATCTAGAAACTAGAAACAATTTAAGTCCAGCGCAAAGTGGATTATTAATAAAATTTTCTATAGATTTATAAATAAAGCAGTTTGATGCTGAAAATAAAAATATAATAGAAGAACTCTTCAGTCTTCATCAATGATCGTTGATTCACCGTCACCGGGCCGGTGTGATATACTTGTCTTTCTCAAGCAACGCGTAGATAAGAAGGACAAAACAACGCCCGACAAAAAAACGATTTAGTATCGACTTTTTTCCAAAATTACAAGTTTTATTCCATTTGCGTTAATAGTGAGTCTTATTTAATTCAGAGTGGTTGTTATACCGTCCATACTTGAATTGAGATCAAAACTATACGTGTGCTCGATGTTGTATAATAGCACAATACCGTCTTATCATACGTAAACGGTTATCAAGTGCCCAAATACTCGACGACAAGAATAAACGTTTGGCAATGTCTTTGGACATATCATAGACGTTTGACACAGTATGTATCTCCATTCCTAAACTGTTTCATTTAGAAATATGCAAAGCGGACATTCTCATAACGACGTTACTTCCTTCATACCTAGGTGACAAAACTCAATGTGTTATTATAAACAATGTAATCTCGGTGAATAGATTTCGGTGTTTCCCAAGGTTCCATGTTGTGGCCAATTCTATTTATAAATTTACTAATGAGTACTGAGTTGTGACCCGCTCTCGCTTCGCTTTAGTAAAGTTATTGATGTAATTTATAAAACACAGTATTGAATAATATATCTGTGTTCTGATATAAGACCAATATGAAAAGCGAAGTTTAAAAGAAAAATGTCAGTATTTTAATGTCATCGACAGTTCTGAATTAAATGAAACAAAAAAATCTATGTCGTCCGGTTTTTCCATAAGAAAAAAATCTTCCATGACTAATTCCATTCCATGAGAAAAAAAAATAGACAAGTACTGCTTGAAAATCAAACAGTATTTGTCTATTTTTTTTATCTTAAAACTGATTTTAGTGGTTGAAAGCTAATGGATTTCAGTTATTTCAAATCTCAGATTTGAGAAAACAGCGTGTCTAAGGGCCTACGGAAATAATCGGGTGGGTGTGATGCTAGCTTGTGTACATGTACATGCCGTGCAGTGACGCACGGTTTTTGCTTTGTTTCTCTATGGTTAGGTGTTTTTTAATATAGCAAGCATCATAGCCTATAAATCTTGCTATGAGTATCAATTGCATCATTGCCTTCCCTGATCCCGTCGTCTACCGCATGGAACCCTGCAAGCCCCGAGCCCTTTTACAAAATTGCGCCGCTGCCGTACTGATCGGCGCGTAAGTCGATTTGCACTAGTATATATTGCATTTTACGGGTGATATTTCGAGTCTTATAAAATGATTATTAATGAACTAATTACAAAAATATATACATATTTCAGTAGTTCAATGATGGTAAATTAGTTTTATGAAAGTTTTTGATAGTAATTCTATTTAATTCAATATCAAAATACGACGTAAATCTGCATTATTTTTTGAGAAACCTCACGGAGGTAAGATGTCTTTTTTGATATTGATGAGATGAAAAATCAAAATTCTAATACATTATGTTACAAAAAAAACATACTTCTGATGTCATAGTAATTAATTTGATCTAATTTATTGAACATTATTTAGAGATTGAGGCGCTTGAAGTTGTGCATATTATCGTTTTTTCAGTAAACTATCTGCGGTAGAACGATCAGTACAAAATAAGGAAAATAGTATTTGCAAATATTCTACATTAACTTACAAAAGGAAGAATAAATCTAGTGTTTACTTTTATTGGAAATAGTCAAAATCTTTTCTAAGGTGGTAAACGAGGCGCTCAAAAATTACGATTTTTTGCAAAAAATGTGAAAGGGCTCTTAACCACTAGGCAGATTACATAATATGTATGATGGAAATTACGCTCAAATTCGAGTAAAAATTTGCTTAAAATCTACCTGTCTATTCCCGTGCCTTAAAGGCCTCAGCCCATTAACTAGACTACGCTCCCACCCGGCAAAAAAATAAATAAATATGGGCTTTGAGTATTGCTCTTTAGATATACTTTACATTGGAAAAATAAATTAGCAGACAGCTCGCTCTCAGCGAGCTTACCACCGTCTACAGGTCTGTTGTTGACACGCAATGCTAGTAGGCCATTTTCGCATTACTACTAAGCATTCCGCTTAGGTTCAGTCTAAGACCTTAACTCTCCATACACCGATCATTGGCTGTAAATCAAGATTTTATACTCACCGCAAGACAGGATTCCGCCAAGTCCGCACAGGGCGAAATATTTTGGGGAAGCAAACTCGCAGGAATCGGTGGTTACCACAGCTGATGCGGCCATTGGGCTCTTGTAAGCAAAATAGCTTTAATTAGTACTTATCTACATAAGGATCTAATTGTAAAAACTTAATTACATTCTAAAATCAGCTCTGCCATAAGTAACAATATCTCGTGTCATGCCTTCAGCTCTCATAATCTTCGGGTCACAGGGCAACCCTGCAGTCGATTGTTTATCGGCCACACTGCACTGCAGAACGACTGATCAGGTCGTTGGTCCAAAGAACTCTCGACTGCAGCCCCCCTCAATTATAAGTTGTCATCATTAGGCTTTTCAATACCTTTATTAATTGTTACAATACTGTTTCAATCTCAAACTTATCTTACTTAATATATCAATGAAATCAATATTTAAGTACTTTATATGAAAGATACTTAAACACCCATACCAACAGTCGTGCAGACAGAACTTGACTTGAAATTATGTATTACCTATTTTCTTACAGCTTAGTGTGATTATTGTGAAGAAAGTCAGCACTTTCATTAATCAAATTTGTACTTTGGGTTGGTATGTTGGTAAGCCACCTATATTGGGATGTTATGCCAAGGAAAGAAAGAAATGTTCCACTTCGATTGTTGCGAAGTTGAGCAACTTTCGCAGTGGTTGGTCATTGGAGGGGTGGCCAAAAATGTACTATCTCGAGCTCCTCCGTGAAGCGGAAGGCACGTTAAGCTGTTGGTGCCGGCTTTATCTGCAATTGTTAGCACCCACCAATCCGCACTGAGTCCATGTGGTGGGTCATGGCCCAATCTCCCTATTCCATCCATAGGGAAAACCTGTGCCCCAGCAGTGGGAACATTACTAGGCTGATGATGAAACTTAAACTTTAACAGATACTTGTAGTCTGTGACAATGATTGATTGATGTCTCCGAGTATCTACGAACGGGCGTTTGTTTATAATTTATTACCTGTTCGATCTGTGGCGGCGCCAGTGTGTTAGTGGAGGCCTGGCACTGCGCCGAGGTCATGGGGCCGCGGAACGGTGAGTTCCGCGCCACGTCCATCAGGGATGAGAACATTATTCTGTGGGACAAGCAAACAATGAAATACAGATGCTACGAGAACATTATTCTATGAGCCAACCAAACGGTGAAATACAGATACCTACTCAATACACATGCTATTCAGATTCATAAGGAAGAACACAAGTGCCTTGACCACAAATAAACTCAAAAAAGGCCATTGCAGTTCCATGACGTGTGATTAAAAAAACCGTGGAAAAGTACCTACCCCCAACTTTAACTTTTTTTAAATTCAGCACTCCACTTCCCATGGGAAAAGAGATTTCTTAAATATTATAATAAATTTGCCACTCACCCAGTGGCACTATCTTTTATTATGTTAAAAGGGTGGCAAACCAGCACGTGGCCCACCTGACGGTAAGCGGTCACCATAGCCTATAGATACTTGCAATACAAAAAAAAATCGCTTGCACCATTGCCTACCCTAACCCAATCCCCTACACTTGGGAGAACAGGAACTTTACTCACCGACAGAAAGACAATAGCACCTTTCTATGATAATGCTTCTTATAAAATTTAACTTTAGGTCAGTGGGAATTCATTATATATTATACTAGTGGCCCGCCCTCGCTTCACTTCGGTGTAGAGCTGAAGTGTAGACTACAGTTTTTGTTCTCAGGCTTGTATTATACACAATGACATTCTTCTTATACCTGCATGCAGTCTCAGCCCAATCGGTTTAAAATTGACAAAGTCTAATACAAACTTTCATTCCCTATTTTATCCCCTTGACTGACTACGTCATAACATCTACCTGCATGCCAAATTTCAGCCCAAACTGTCCAGTGGTTTGGGCTGTGCGTTGATAGATCACTATGTCAGTCAGTCACCTTTGAGTTATATATATAGATAGATGGAAATTATAACATGAAAACTATCTTTATAATGTATAAACATTTGAGTTTATAGTAATTATTAACAACAGTAAGTAAAAAAGGAAAAGATAACATTATCTAGGGCATTGATCTAGTTTTTTTTAAACTGAAACCATTGAAAAGAGTGCAAGGTTAGCACAACTCTAACTTAATAATATTTTACTTGCTAATACAAACAACTATTTAAGTGGCTATGAGAGGATTTCCAAAACATTTTGATGACACCCTAGTTTTGAATGAATGCAAAGGTAAGGGTTAATAATTAATATTAATAAACATATTATAAAGTCAAGATGTATTTGAACAATGATTTTACCCAAAAAGTGTTACTTAACGGTCATTCAAAGGGAACAAAAAATGTGGCATTAAGTAACAGTGATACTAATCAGTATTTTTTTTACCAGTCGGTAACAGTGTAACACAAAATGGTGTGACTCAACGGGAACAAAGGTTATGGCCTGAGAAGTCTGCTTGCAAGTTTTATCGCCGAGGTTCAAAAGACTGCATCAATTTTCAAGAAACATTGATTCATATTGATGGTCCAATTTAACATATACTATATTATTTTGTAGAATGACAATATGCCAGATCTTAGACTGGGCATTATTATATTGAAAAAATATCTTTTACAGTTGTTTCTCTCAATAAAAGAGTTATTGTTAGTGCAAATAATTAAATTTTATTAATAAATACTATGCTGTGTTGTTGGTGGGTTTCTGGGTCCCTTTACATCAATAAGGCTTCAATCATTACTGAAGGAGGATCATACAAGAAAAACCTACAAATTCACAGTTATAAGTTCTCTTGCCCACAATAACCAAACCCCATTTTTATTGATAGCAAAATCTGAATAAAATAACTTATTAAATTTAGGTTTTTGAAATATAAATACATAAGTATGTTATGCTTTAGAAGACAGATAGAGAAATCGTCCAGATATTGATGTAGTGAAATTATATAGACAAATATAAGGCCTACTTGGCCAAATTCCTTATCAAATTTAAAAGCTAAACATCTTTAACCCTTCTTGGACCAGGGTTGAGCCTCATTTTATCTCTTCTATTTGATTTTAAACAATTGAAAAAGATAAAACGAAGTGTCAAACAGGATTATATGACTTCATTTTATTTAAGAATGTTGTTGCAAATCGAGCAAGAATTATTAATGCTTGATACTCTAACAAAGATAGTTAAAAGTGCTACTCTTTTGTGTTTTGGTTCGAAAAACGATTTGGTTCTGGTTTATTTCTAACAGTTGACCTTTCTACCTGAAGATAGTCAAAAATCAATGCCACTGCCAACATCAATACAATGAAGGTTAGGTAATGTCACAAAACACTGAAAATCTTTTGTTAAGCTCATAAAAATTAAAGCTACATCTCGCAAATCGAAGATAATTCGAAATTCAAATCTATACCTAAAATTGACGTTTTGAGAATTTTGAAATTGGACGTAGTTACGCGAAAACGTTCCAACCCACAGCGACCCCATTTTGAGATAAACGCAATTTTGTGTTTTAGCGGTACACTTTTTCCCTGTAATTATTTCAGGCAAATACTATTGGTGTTACTGTGGAATGCCAAACTGGTTATTGAATGATATGCATATTTTTTGTAAATACATAATACAAGGGGCATATAAATAGGTAAAACGAGTTTGAAACGTTTTCGCTAAATTTAATTTTGTATGAACCTTGTTAAATAGCAATTATGCATAAACGTTCCAGAACGAATTTAAGTGTATTATTTTATAAATATATCTAAAATAAATATGTAAAATAATAAATAACAATGAAGAACATACAAAAACAACAAAAAAAAATTGAAAATGTATTACAAAAAAAATAGAACGTGATCTTTTGAGCTTAGAACCTATGCCAATTTGCTGATATGGTTCCAAAAGTTATCAAAAACTTATATTATAAACATTCAATTTTCATCATCGTATTCTATGATCTCGAAGTCCGGAACTCCACCAAACCCATCAACATCATCAGTGCTTCTTCAGAACTTTGAAGCGTTCTATAAAATTGAAGGCAATCCACTTCCTGTGCACCTCTTCTACCTCTCCTTCTACCAATACATAACAATGCCCAGTATCATTAAATGCACTATGGATACCACTATTGTAGAACTAAGTAAAAAAGTTAAACCTCTTCAAGTTTACAAAATGACAAAGACTGATTTTTTTAGTACAACTAAACTGGAAAAGAAGATTATCAATAGGAAGAAGTTTACAGACTCATCTAAAGTTAGTTGGCTACATACAAAAGAAATTAAGTTGGATAAAGATAAAATGTTTTCTATTTTTATGCGGTCTACGATGGAAGACGATTTCAATGAGTTGAAAATTGATAAAAGAATAAAACGAGAACTGCAATACATAAAAGAATCTGATTTTTGCTTATTGTGGCCTAACGACAAACCGATTGCTCATACCCGAGGATTGCCTTCAATTTTATAGAACGCTTCAAAGTTCTGAAGAAGCACTGATGATGTTGATGGGTTTGGTGGAGTTCCGGACTTCGAGATCATAGAATACGATGATGAAAATTGAATGTTTATATTATAATATAAGTTTTTGATAACTTTTGGAACCATATCAACAAATTTTTGGCATAGGTTCTAAGCTCAAAAGATCACGTTCTATTTTTTTGTAATACATTTTCAAATATATTTTTTTGTTGTTTTTGTATGTTCCTCATTGTTATTTATTATTTTACATATTTCTTTTTGGTTTATTTTTATAAAATAATACACTTAAATTCGTTTTGGAAAGTTTATGCATAATTGCTATTTAACAAGGTTCATACAAAATTAATTTAGCAAAAACATTTCAAACTCGTTTTACCTATTTATATGCCCCTTGTATTATGTATTTACAAAAAATATGCATATCATTCAATAATCAGTTTGGCATTCCATAGTTAAACCAATAGTATTTGCCTGAAATAATTACAGGGAAAAAGTGTGTAAATTGCAAATTGGGGTTGCTGTGGGTTGGAACATTTTCGCGTTACTACGTCCAAATATACCATAGTTATTTATTTTGGTAAAAAATATCTTTTTCTCTAGAACATATTTAATAGCAAAAATGGATCAAGTATATGTGGATTGTTTATAGCAAAAAATTTGAAAATAATATATTATAATAAAAGGTTTCAATTTATTTAGAACAGTGTTCGCAGCTTAAAAAAACAGTATGGATTAATCTAAAAGGTTTCAAATTACATGGAACATTTTTGCAGAAATAAAAAATGTATAAAGATTTTGCAAAAACGTTCCAACCCACATGGATCATTTAAGAAACCATTAAATGTGCGTTTTATGAATTTAGTATAATGTTCCAAGACAAGTGGAACATTATAACGATATGTTATTCTATTAAGAGTTTTTAACAATATGTTTCAGTATGCATGTAATGTTTTTACTTTATTTTGAGTACACGTCCTTGGCATAATGGTGGGTTGGAACATTTGGGTTAAACTTTATTGATGAAACTAACTTAAAAATACTAGCATCTTTGTGTGCACATGATGTAATATGGCAAAAATAGTACCCTGGTTATGGTAACTCATTTTCGAGTGACTTGTGGGTTGGAACGTTTTCGCGTAACTACGTCCAATTAATCAAATCAATACTACTTCTCGCCGGTTAAAATTAAGTCAATGGAGATGCTTTTACAGCCAGAGTTAAAGCACTTTAAATTCAAAGAAAATGATCAAATAGAAATTTTAATAACGTTAAAAAAGCTAAAATAATAAATGGGGCAAGGTCACGTGCAAACATAATTCCATTACGTTACGTAAGGAGTAATTGACAGAAAATTAAGTACCAATAACATTTTGTTATACAGTAAACAGTGAAAGAAACGCCTTTTTCGTTTACAAATTTTATTTAGAGATTAACTTACATGTTTTTTATCCGATCGAAACTATTTACCACACCGCACCGCAACTGACGCACAGTGCTAAAGGAAACTGAGGTGACGATGACAGCGCCACAACGGAAGTTATGTAATCACGTGGACATTCCCACATTGACGTTAACAACCATAGATAAGTAACTAGACATGGACCAAATATTGATCCATGATTTAGGTATCATTTAAAGAGAAGTCAGAACTTTTAAGTTTGATTAAAGTTATTGCTGTCACTTTCTTTGCTATATCAATAGAGTAAGACAATAGAATATGGAGTACTTAAGTAAAAAATCCAAGTCTATGGTAAATTTCACTAGGGTAGATAGGGGAAATATGATCATAGGTATCTACCTATGATCATATTTAATAAAATCATAAAAAAAAAAAGTGATTCATCGCAAAGAAAGTGTCAGCTATCTAGCTGACACTTTCTTTGCGATGAATCACTTTTTTTTTTTTGAAATATATTGTTTTACGTTGATTGACATTCCTCTATTAGAAACTTCTGTTTAGAATTGATGGTTTCTATGTGGAATTTGAACAGATTTATCTAAGAACATTAGAAGAATAAAATCGAGTACATAAATACAAAAAAAAGACGCTGAAATGATTCTTCTTTTCCTTAAACCCAAATCACATTTAAAGTAAATTAATATCTTGAATTGGTGCCACGTCAACAAACATAAATAGATCTGAGTTGCCGTTCACTACTTGGGTTAGTGACTCCGACTCCATTTACTGTAAATTTTACTTTAAATGTAATTTAGATTTAATTAAAAGATAGGTGTAATTTCTCCTTTTTTGTTTTCGTTTTTATGGAGTCGATTACAATTTTGTCAAATTGGATTTTTAATTTTTCACTTTTCTTGATTCAGAGCAACTACAGCCTAATGTAAACCTATGTTGTTTTCCCGATTCAGAGACGTTATTGTAGAGAGAAATAATATGGAAAATCATACAGGCCAAATCGAGAACCGCCATCTTCTTTGAAGTCGGTTAAAACTAAACACATTAAACTTTTAATGGGTTGATCCCGTTAACTTTTGTGGATGCCTTGTATCCGCAAAACAAAAAACCATAAAAGTTAATAAAGGAGGACGGGCATTTTGGTATCCAATTGGTGTTTGGTATCAATAGCGATGAGTGATATATCATTGAATACCTCTTTTCATGTAGAATATTAGTTACTATGGCGGCATTCTGATATTTGCTGTCCGTTTTTATTTTTTCCAGAAAATACCAGAACCATTTTTACAAGACCGTCCTGGAGTGGGCACGGCCCACTCGCCCCCCCCCCCCCCCTCTATATACACCTATGGTTACCGTTCAAGATAACAAGCTAGTTATTGTTTTTTTTATTATGTTTTTTTATCATTTTCTTTTATTAACGTTCTCGTTAAAGATAAACATTAAATAGTTCTCAGGAGGTTGTATTGTTACTAAGTCGGAAGGCCACTGGTATCTGCAATACTTTTTTTTTAAACTATTGCAGATATCAACGCTCTAACCTAATGCCTATTGTTAATACTTACAACACTGCTAAAATAATGTAAATACTAAAATGTATAACAATTTATAAAGAAAAACTTTTTTTTATTATTTATTATATAACTCTGTTTCGACAACGTATCAGGGCAAGCGCCATAGTAGACATTATTGTATTCAAGTAGACCTTTCAAATGATATGTAACACATCTCTATTGGAACGAATACCAAGTTCCATAGATTTTTGCCCATCATCCTTTTTGTGGCAATTACTGAAGATTAAATAAAACTAGTTTTTACGGGTTAATGCACGAAACTTTATTTATTTATTGACGTTTCGCAGCCTTTTCAGGTCTGCATCGTCAGAATAATGATTTTTTATTTAAAATTGTCGAGCTACCTTCAAAAGACTTATATTGAGCGTTCGGTTATTTCATTGGAAGATTTTTAAAATGTTTATTGTCTATGTATGAATTTATTATTTATTTTACTTAATAAAGTATTTTATTTAAAATTCTTGTTTGTAATTTTGAGTTTATTTATTTGACCCTAACTACCGTAAACTACCACCGGTTCCAAAATTGGGAGACCTTCCTGAGAAGAACCGGCGAACCAAACTCAAGAGAGGCTTTCTATCTCCTTCTTATGTTAAATTATGCAAACAAAAAGAACTAATAGTATCTGATGGTCTTGCAGTGTGTGCTCGAGGTTGGGATTTTATCTCCTGTATAATAGGTTCCCAAGCTGGTGGTATATAGCAACCATCTTCCCTATTGAAATTTGGATATTTTTTAATCTCAATAGCCTCGCGCATCATTCGAAGAACGAACCGCCGCTCAGCTGCAAGGATCTGTGGTCTATGAAATCTAATGTAGTGGTTTGGTCCCCCTAATGCATGATCACACACTGCAGATTTATTAATAATCAGAATACAACCGCATCTCAGACTTCACTGTCTTGTAAAGAAACTCCTTCAGAAACCAGCAACTTATTTATTGAACTCCAAATAATAATTAGACACGTCACATCCAAACACTTCGACGGTTATCAGCAGAATTACTAGCAGAATGCTTCCTGTCAACTCGCACTGCCTCGCCATGATTCAGTCGGTCATACTTATTTCGCGCCATTTGACACTTCCGGTTTTAATTAATTTTAATACAACGATCGATAAACTACTTTAAAATATGATTTGACTAATAATTTGGACAAAATTAAATCAAACCCAATAGTATATAAAAATAAACAAGCATTTATTAAATCTGAACCTTGATAATCTCGGTCCTTGTAAGCTAAATATCTGAAAATTCTGAAATATATTATATAATATATTTACAATTAATCAAAGGTTTATTTTTCATAATAATTGTTTTCCTATAAAAGCTACCAAATCTAGCATAGTTTTAAATTTGTTGATACATCTGTCAAATAGCCAACTCGCTGAAACACTCAGTAAAAAGAAACCATGTCTTTCGGTATGTAAATTTTTATTTAGTTTTATCTTTATAGGAAAAATAAGGATGAAAAGCAAAAGGAGAATCAAGTTACCCCAGTAGGTCCTGTTCCTGTTCCAGTACTCTTTTTACTCAATGATAAGAAAATCGTTGACTGAGATTAGAATTATATAGTTATAATGTAATCTCTCAGTGAAATAATTGATTTGTTTGATAATGTAATTTGATTAAGGTTTGTCAAAGTGGTTTTGACTTTTGATCATCACAAAAAGAAGCAATTTGCTGAGTATGTTGTACAGAATTTACCTAAGAAACTTAAAGAAACATATAAATCACAGCGTCATTATTCACTAAAATTAAAATTAAAAACCATGTCATTATACCTATTACCTACAATTATTTAGCACCTAAAAACAGAATGTCCACTTAAATATTGTTTAATTTACTTAAATAGCAATGAAAATTCGAGTAACCATCTACCTACTCAACTAACTCTCGATGCCAAAAAGAAATAAGAAATGCGAAGAAAAGGTAGAGTCGTTCACTCGACCTGTTCTAGAAAGCCTAGATATTTGTTCAAACCAACAAAGGATCCCATCATGTAGCAAAGCTGATGAACACTCGACTTGTCTTTCATCGCAGTGCTCTAGAAAAACCATAGAATCTTCTTTACCTGCAAAATGTTGCACGGATCAAACATGTAGCTCTGCAGGCTGTGGGAAACCTTTATTACCATGTAAGAGCAAAGATAGCCAACTTTATGATGAGAATAATGAATGTCCGGCACCATTCAACGATTCATACACCAAGACGTATGAAAAGGTTGAATGTCGTGGTTGTTGTCCAGCTGGAGTCCAAATAAGGACTATAAAAGAAGCACTAGCTGAACTCAAAGAACTCCGAAGTCAGATTGGTGCTTCTAGCCAAGGAAGGCTAAATAGGAGAGAACAAGGTATTCAGAACACATCAAATATAAATATTCCATGTATCCAAGATAACACCCAAAATCAAGAAACTATAACAACGAGTGAAGTTCCAATGTGCTGTAAAGTGTCTGATGCCCATGAAAGCGAAGGTGGCAGTGACACAACAAAAAATGAACTCATCAGAAAACAATCTGAAACAATTTACTGTCCATACAAAATTCCACAGTGCTGCCACCCAAAACCATTGAATGAGACAAAACACGATTTACCTAAAGATGCAGCATTATCACTTCAAAAACACGAAGCAAACAAACCGAAAATCAGTTACGACGATATTGCAAAGGTGCCGCTTGAAGAACACAATGACTCAAGTACTGCAGACACAAGGCATGATGGATCGAAACTGTCGAATGTGAGATTATCTCAGACATCTGATGACAAGAACTCTTGTCCCTCTCCAACTTCTCTTGGAATCCAGATAGAATCAAATGTAACAGAATCTAAAAATAACGGATTAATACTTTCAAACTTAGGAAAATCTTCGACTTCAGATGTCGTAAAGTGTTGTCCCTCTCCAGTATGCGGTTTACATGTCAATGAGACAAAGGAACCTGAACGAAGAACAAGTTTGAAGGTCAAGGAAAGTAAGTCACCGAATACCAATGTGATCTCAGGCAATGAAGATTCTGAGAACGTCAAACTTATACCATGCAGTGGACCATGCGTAACTACTGATAAAATAATAAATGGGTCGAAAAAATGCGAGTGTCACTTCCCACCAGCCTATAATCAATTTGGGTGTACTGGCAATATTAGTGGTAATTGCAACTGCACTAACATTTGATAATAAAATCTGATTTAAACATGGATGAAGTAAATTTTGTGTTTATACTTAATTTATACAATTACCTGTTAAACGAAGAATTGCGCAGTGTATTGTTTATATACATCATCTCATCATTATCATCAATACACTGCACATTTCTTACAGTTTCATTACATTATTTTATGGTAAATTGTTAAACTTTACTCATTTACCTAGTATGTAAGTAATCAATTACACTTGACTTGATATATTTAGGTATACGACACAAGTGGGCGAAACGAGTAAGTAATTACAGTTCAAGGGCGTGATAGTGTACACCCGATACGAGTTGTTCACTCAACTTT